TTCTTATCTTTGAGAAATTTTTTTCAAACTCATGGTATTGAACATCAACGTACATGTGTTTACACCCCACAACAAAATGGGGTAGTTGAAAGGAAGCATCGCCACATTCTCACTGTTGCACGAGCACTAATTTTTCAATCAAAATTACCTTTGCATTTTTGGGGCGAATGCGTTTTAACCGCAGTTTATCTCATTAATAGACTACCATCACCATTGCTTTCAAACAAAACACCTTTTGAAATGTTATACAGTCGACCACCATCACTTGATCACATAAAAGTTTTTGGGTGTCTATGTTATGCAACTGTTGTTCACCCACTACATAAATTTGAATCTCGCGCCAAACGTTGCGTTTTTATAGGATATCCAACTGGTCAAAAAGGATACAAATTATATGACATCGAAACTGGAAATTTTTTTGTGAGTCGTGATGTCAAGTTTCATGAAACTACATTTCCATTTTCTAATTTAACACAGCCACATTCTGATTTCGTAATCCCTAATTTTATCTTTGAGACTACAGACACACGAGATGTTACATCACTACCTCCTTCTAATAATCACTATGATCAGCCCGACCCGATTGAAACAACCAATACACACGAAACCATGTCTCCCACATCTCCCGTACATGCACAAATCTCACCCACTGAAACGGAAACTTTACATTTATCTTCAAATATTCCCTCTGACCTTACTATAATTCCGACTCTGAGACAATCAACTCGAACCAAACAACCTCCAGTATGGCATAGAGACTTCTTAATGCAAACTCAAGTTAACCAATCTCCCTCGTCACCAAGTTCTGCAACAGGTACACGATACCCACTTTCTCATTTTCTTTCATATACACGGTTTTCACCTTCACATTCTACTTTTTTAGCTATCATAACAGCGCACTCCGAGCCCAAAACTTATGATCAGGCTATTCGTGATCCACATTGGCAACAAGCCATGAATACTGAATTGGAAGCATTACAACTAAACAACACGTGGAGTTTGGTTCCTAGGCCCATCGGTCACAAACCAATCGGTTGCAAATGGGTCTATAAAATCAAATATAGATCCGATGGAACAATTGAACGTTACAAGGCTCGTTTAGTTGCTAAAGGGTACAATCAAGTGGAGGGAATTGACTACCAGGAAACATTTTCACCAACAGCAAAACTTACTACCCTTAGATGTCTTCTTACTGTCGCAGCTGCTCGTCAATGGTTCATTCACCAATTGGATGTCCAAAATGCATTTCTCCATGGTGATTTACATGAAGTTGTCTACATGGAACCTCCACCAGGTCTTCGCCGACAGGGGGAGAACACTGTACGTCGGCTCAATAAGTCTCTCTACGGACTTAAGCAAGCATCAAGAAATTGGTTTTCTACATTTTCAGATACTATTCGGAAGGCCGGCTATCAACAATCTAAAGCCGATTACTCACTATTTACCAAAGATCAAGGTACTTCTTTTACAGCAATTCTTATATATGTTGATGATATACTCCTTACAGGAAATGACCTACATGAAATGGAACGACTTAAAAAGTTTCTTCTGAAGCGGTTTCGTATCAAAGACCTTGGAAACTTGAAATATTTTTTAGGAATTGAATTTTCACGCTCCAAGAAGGGTATTTACATGTCACAAAGAAAATATGCGATAGATATTCTACAAGACTCAGGGCTTTCAGGCGCACGTCCGGATAATTTTCCGATGGAGCAAAATTTGAAACTCACTACCACTGACGGAGCATTGCTAAATGATCCAACAAAGTACAGAAGACTGGTTGGGAGATTAATTTATCTAACAGTGACGAGACCTGATATAGTCTACGCAGTTCGTACATTGAGCCAATTCATGCAAGAACCTAGAATACCTCATTGGAATGCTGCCAATCGAATTCTCAAGTACATTAAAGGTACACCCGGTCAAGGATTATTACTTCCTTCAGATAACAAGTTAGATTTAAAAGCATTTTGCGATTCAGATTGGGGTGGTTGTCGCACCACAAGAAGATCAGTTACAGGATATTGCATCTTTCTTGGAAATTCTCTAATTTCATGGAAATCAAAGAAGCAGGCCAATGTCTCAAGGTCGTCGGCGGAGGCTGAGTATCGAGCCATGGCTAACACGTGTTTGGAACTAACGTGGTTACGATATATACTACACAACTTGAAAGTTCCTCAAACGACTCCTACTCCATTATTCTGCGACAACCAAGCAGCTCTTCATATTGCGGCGAACCCGGTTTTCCATGAACGTACAAAACACATTGAAATAGACTGTCACATAGTACGGGAGAAAATACAAGCAGGAACCCTCAATCCCTCTTTCGTGCCCTCACATTTGCAACTAGCTGATGTATTTACGAAGGCCTTGGGAAAGGATCAGTTTCTGAATCTACGTAGCAAGTTGGGACTTATTAACATTCACTCTCCAACTTGAGGGGGAGTATTAGAAGATATATCAATAATATTGTAATAATTATGTATATTTATGTTTCCATATTAATGTAAATCAAATCCCATTGAAAGAGGATCACGGCTGTCAAGCCTTAGGATTAGTTGCATGTCTACTGTACACTTTTGTATATATATGTGTTTCTCTGTTAATGAAAAATCATCACAATTTCTTCCATTAATTTATTCAACCATTATCATTATGCTTACTCTATTATTTTAGAGGCTAAAGTGTATAAATTAATACATAAATAAGCCAAAATATTAAAAAAAATAAAAAAAAAAAAAGGTAAAAAAAAAATTTCTGCAGGGGCGGGTGCCCCCCCAACAGAAGCCTTGGGTCCGCCCCTGCCTATCCACGCGAAGACGCCAACTACTAGGGCTTCGATAATGGCATTATGTGGGCGATCAATTCGAGAGAGATATGGCTAGCTGCGGTGGATCCAGCGACAACTTGAACTATTCCAGTTATTGTAGCCGGAGCAAAATCCGGTAATGAAGAACCCAAATTAAGCACCGATAAGAAGACTCGTAATTAGTATAAGAGATTACAACACAATGAATCCCTCAATGAGATCCCTAAACATGTCTACTATATATGCTCCAACAATAGATTCCTCTCTTTTAATTTCATTTATTTCTTAGTTTCATCTTGATAATTCATTATATTCGATTTATCTTATAGTGGACTCCCGGTATAGTCTCCTATGATGGGAATACCGCCGGCAGGCGTGGTACCGGTCCTGGTCGTTTTCTCAATGACAAGGTCGATCTAGCGACTGACTTGTACAACTAAAGCAACCTCGTTTGTGTTAGACGGAAGATAGAGTCCTGAATTAGGTTGTTAGTTTGTTACAATTGTATTTGATTTGTTTTTTTTCTTTTAGTTTTAGATTTATTATCTAGATCTCATAGATTGTGAGGAATCGGCCGAGCCCAAATGATGTATTCATTTTGGAAAGGGGCTGAATTCTCATATTGAATAAAAGAAGACTTTATGAACTGCCAACCCTTTGCATAGTAGGTAAAATTGTTTGGTAAAATTTTCAAAATGAAGCCCATTATTATGTATACAACTAACACCACGGCCCATCTAGCTATCTATATATGCAACCTTTTGCGGCTCAAAAATATCAACAAACCCCTTTATGTGTAATTGGCATTTCGCACCTCCAATTATGCTCGTTTGGCGCTTTGCATCCTTAAGTTAAAATTAAGGTAGATAGCACCCTCAAATTTAAGATTAGCTTGGCACATTGCACACCAAGACACTTTTTCTGCTAAAATTTACGTTAAAAAAAAATGATTTTACAATAATCCAATTGGCAAAATGGTCAATTATTGTTAATTATATCCGTGAACGACGAACAAATATATATATATATATATATATATAATTAAAAAGGTTGGTGGTGAATTTATTCACAAACATACACTTTCAGTTCCCCAAAAATCCTTTTATTCTACTACTTTTAGGTTTTGGGGTGCACTGTCAAGTAAATCTTAATTTGAATGTGCAATCTGTCATATTTTTATTTTAAGGGTACAAAGTGCTAAATGAACATATTACAGGATGCAAAATGCCAATTACCCACCCCTTTCTCTATTACAGATATTTTTCAATTGAGAGAGAGAGTTTCTAGAGAAATTAATGTTAGTCATAGTCATTCTTATTTATTTTGAAAGATTATTGGAACAAGTATTAATGAAAAACATACCGGAATATACCAACCTGACAGAGATACTTGTCAGCAAATTAAATAGTATAATAAATAAAATACAAACATGAGATTTCAGTTGAAATAAATAAAATAATTGAAGGGAAGAAGAAGAAGTAGTGCACGCAGAAACCAAAAGGAAGCACACAGGAAAGGACCCCCACAAATCGATGTCGCAGTCCAAGCCAAAATTTGCAAACTGGCCTCAACTTACTTCACACAACCCAACAAACTATTACTTACACTCTCTCAATCCCAATCAAAAAATATCATCCATCAGCTATATGACAGACAAACATACCCATTCTTCCACCTTTTCTCTACATTTTTTTCATCAATTCAATTCAATACCAAAATTAATTAATATTTCTCAACAAACCCCATTATTTTTCTTTGTCCTATATCCATGACCCATCTCTACCCATGACCCATCTACAATAGGTCAACTATGTACACAACTTATAACTAATCAACATAATTTCAAACCAACACATGTTTTTGACCTTTCAAACTACACCCCAATCAACAATATATTCATTGGGTAAATTCAAGCTTTAGTATAATAGCCTGCAAACACTGTGCAACGAGCTCGTTCTTTACAGCGTTCGTAGATGTACATACGTAATCATACGTTTCTTTATTATTTGTCGATTAGAAAAAAAAGATCAAATTATCTGTCACTCTAATATTTTAGTGAGACATTTGTTATATTTTTCTCAACTACTCTTATTATTCTTAATTTATAGAGGTTAAACAATTAATGAAATGTCGTATGTTTGTTTACGAAGTAATTCGCGTATGTTTAGTTTTCGACGTTTCGTACACTAGCTAAAAAAACCAACAATTAAATTAAGAAGGAGTATAAAATTTGCATGTCATCACTATTACATAGGATCTGATTTGGTGTGTCAGATTACCTAGATCAGGACTGAATCAATAGTTACGTACAAATAATGAATTCAATTGAGAATCTTGATTATCATGATTCATGAGCGTGTGAACACAATTAATTAATAACAGTAATTAATTAAGGCGGTAATCCCAATCTTTGACTAGCTAAATCACACCTAACCTCAGCGAGTCCGACTCTGGATCGCGCCAAATCAAACTCAACCCACATATTCTGCTGGTGATGGTGTCCAATCACATACGCCTCCACACCCAACAAATCCGAGTTCCCGAATGTGAAGCAATAAACCGAATCGCTCCCCCGGGTCAAACCCGGAACTTTATACAGCAACTTCTCACCCGCTACACTCATCTCCACTCCCCGAAACAACAAGTTCACACTCGGCAGTTGCGGCAGAACCGCCCGGGTCAACTCAACCCGGTAGCACAAATCCATCGCCCCTTGGAACACGAAATTCGGGTCACCCAGTGGCCGTAAAATCCCTTTTGTTTGTCTCAGGAACTCGTTTTTTAAAGAAGTGTAAACCGGACCGAGCAGGAAGGTGAACTGGGTGCCCGAGTCGACCATTGTCTGACCCGCTCCGGTGTGGTCCGGTTCGAATATGGATTTGGGTAGCGGGAGAACCGTGCCCGCGACCCGGATCCCTTCCAGCTGGACCGTGTACGCCACCCTGTCGAAGTACGGCAGAGGAGTAGATATCTGAATCATCGGCGTGTAGTTCAGAGGCTTCAGCCACGGGAGATTCGCCTCGCCGAAGAGGAGAACGCCGGATGAATCGGTGCCGGAGATGCAGTACGAGAACTGCCGGGAACCCATCTGAGAAACCAACGATAGAGACCCCCGGTTCATTCCGATCAGACCCGTCGTCTTGGAATCCTCTTCCGGGTTGGAGCTCGACCCGGAATCCATGCACCCGAAAACCATACCGGGTAGGGCCACGGAGTTGTCGAACCGGTAAGTGTCGGATGCCAAGTTGCCCTCGACGGAGGAGGCGTCGGCGTAGGAGAGGATTGCATGGCAGAGTTTGTTCGGGTCGCAGGAAACGGGTAGGGTGAAGTCGCGGGTCTTGGTGGTGCAGGTGGGGGAGGAGCAGGGGATTGGGCGGTAGGAAGTGGAGAGGTGGGGTGCGAAGGAGGAAGGTGTGGTGGGGGTTTTCTTGCAGTTGAGCCAGGAGAGCTCACTGCCTGTGTCGAGGACCATGGTAACTTGCTGTGGGGGCGAGCCGACGGCGAGTGCTACGGTGAGGGTGACGTTGTGGTGGAAGGAGAGCTTGTTCGGTGTGGTAACCGCCGGCGATTGTGTTAGCTTCGCTTTGAGGGGTAAAATTAGTGACGAAAGGCATGAATTTGGGTAGTGTAAGAAAATTAGCAGCGTGAAAAATAAAAGTGAATTTGTTGTTATTACAGGAAAATCCATGGCTGCTGTAATTAACACACACTATACTGTTACTGTGTGTTTGTGTGTGTGTGTGTTTGTGTAGAAGAAGCAGCAGCTGAATTGCGAAACAGAGTACACAGAAATGGATATATATACATTTTTAGGGCAAGCATTTTCATATTTTATTTTTATTTTATATAAAATTTGAAAATATGTATAAAATAATAAATTTTGATTTGCTACAATATTAATACACAATGTAGTATATAGAGAGGGCCGAAATCGTACTTATTGGATCGGAATTCACGTTTTGAATATTGAATTGTAAAAAATTTCGGGTTGGAATCAGTGAAACTCAAATTCGTGTTTTTTTATCCACCTATATTGTGAAAATAAATAAAATGATATTGATATGAAAAATATAATTTTCTAGTATCAAATATATATTGTATTATGTACATATGTTTGATTTGATCCAAAAAGTTTGGGGAACAAAAGAAATTGCAATGTTGTTATACAAATTAGAAGAATAAGTTTTGATCCAAGTGTGTGTGTGTGTCTCAACAAATTGATGAAATATATTTGTTCCAAAGTCTATTTCAAGAAAAGTAGGTCGATGTCTTTGTGTAGATATTCTTTGTGTTAGCGTGTTGAATTTCTAGAGCTATGGTAATTGGTCATGTTTGGGTGGTGTTTGTAAAAGTTGGTGACTTAAGTTGATTTTAAGTGCTTATTTTTAGAAATGTTGGGTATTTGTAAATTTACTGAAAAATCAATTTAAACAGAAAAATTAGGGTCATGAATGTTTTACAAATTATAGCTTATGGCTGTTTATTTTAAGATAATCAAAAACAAAACTTCATTTTGCAAACACCTAAAATTATAGATTATGAACAATAAAAAGCTTCTTATAATCTGCTTGTTAAAAGCTTTTGTAAACACCACCTTAGTACTTTTTAAAATTAATTATTAAGCTCACTTTTCGTGGTTCGGGTGAAAATTAAAAAAATAGTTTCCAATTTCGTCCATTTCGATCTAATTTTTTTTATTTAATTTTACAATAATAATTTGGGTAAATTACAAACACCCCCCTGAGGTATGGTCAAATTACAAAAACACCCCTCTTGTTTGGATAATTACAACCACCCCCTCAACTCATCAAATTTAGTGGAATCTTCGAGATTATATGGAATATTATCACTTTTGTACCCGTTTTATCCCATTCAAACTCTACATTATGAAGCAAGATGATCATAATATGTGATTTTTAGATTGTATATATCAGTTTGTGGTGCATCGAAAGCTGTATTTTTTACACAAAAAGAGTACAAACTAGAGCACATTTCACGGAATCTAGATGACTATGTTGAATTTGGCACCATAAAGGTGGAGGTCTAAGAAAAAATCATAGTTGAGGGGGGTAGATGTAATTATCCAAACAAGAGGGGGGTTTTTGTAATTTGACCATACCTCAGGGAGTGTTTGTAATTTACCCTAATAATTTTCATGACAAGTGTGTACTTATGAACAGTACATGTAGGATCTACTCGATGTAGTATACTATAAACCAATTTTCAATTTTAAGATTTTTGGTCCATTAATGAAGTAATATAAAGAAAACACGTAAGATATAACATCATTAAAAAAATGCGTATGAGTTAACGGTTAGCCGTCAAATCTCTAACACCGTTAGTTTATGTCACGTAATTACCTTTTTACCCTTAAATATATATAAGGAGTCTTGACATAAGAAAAATGAAGGGTGGTTACATTTTTAAGTGGATGGGTTAAAAAATGGCAAATATTCTCCAAGTTGAGGAACATTTAATTAAAAAAAAAATACTATAAATTGTGTGCTCGTCTAAACAGGTGAACTACAGCTACAGCCTACAATTGAAGACAATAGGGTTGAGATTTGCAATAGTTTGTCACACTTCTGCAAATTCAAACATTAAACATTAAACATTTAACATTAGTTTCTTGGATGTATAAAACTCTCTTATTTATTCAAGAACTGTGAACAGAACGAGATTTCTTTATTTGTCGATTGCATCAAATAATTGCGACAGTATAATTAAAATAAGATCCGAAATTTCGCCAAACACGGAGACTGAGACTCTTGTCAGCTGAAACAACCAATCAAAACAGAAATATTATTTATAATTTATCTTAACTATTAGTTAATTAATTACTCATTAAGTCCTATTTTATTTTGGTTTCATTCTGTTTATTGGATTTTAGACAATTATTGGATGATCAATTAGAGAACTGTATGTATATTAATGAATCTGGTTAGTAACTCACCATCAACATTGCATATAAAGATTCGCGCCTGATAGGAAAATGATTCGCATCAAATCATTAATTAATCCTGTGAGCCACTTAAATATCTTGAACAACTGTTATAAATTTGTGTTTTTATGAAAGTGACACCAATATATTTTTTCTTTGAGTGTCTATTTATAAAATCAAATTTTCAGAAAAAAAGAAAAATTAAAAAAACAAACAAACAAAGTACTCAGAGAATATATGCTGAAAGATAACCTTTGAGCATGTCTGAAAACATGTTAGTAATCTTGCTGCAAGACATCAAATTCTTGGGACTTGAAATTCAAGAAACTCACATGTGACACAGTGCTTCTCCGAATTGGAAATATCTGTTCATTTGTTCAAAAAAATAGTACTACAATAATTCGAGATAATTGTAACTCTAAATTTCCAGAGTTTTCGATAAATTAACCATGAAAGTGAACAAATTTCCTATATTTGTATGCTGCAGGCATGTTAAGAAAGTTACGAACAATTGTAGCAAAATCGACAAATACGAACATGCAGCTTTCTCCTCTCACCACTCAAAAAAAATTCAGTGTATCACAAAACTATCCAAAGAACTCAATAATTCATCGATTTTTTTTTTGGAAATTGTTACCTCAAATCCTAACCCAAAACAACCAAAGAAACGAACATTATTGCCATCCCAACATTCATCAAACTCGCTGTCAGTAACGAGCTCTGTTACAAAATCGACACCATAATATACTCCACATTTCAAGAAACAAATCAAGAGAGGTAGTAACAACAATAATTCATATAGAAACAATAAGCAACCTCCATTAAGAGTGTATATAACTTACTACATGTAATTCAATGATATATTATCAAAAAATTATCCATTGCTCATTAAGCATTACACGCAAATTAGAACTTAGAAATTACAAAAAAATCGTACATGGATGAATAAATTGACAAAAACATGAGAAAGAGGCAAAATGTAGGTACACTAACACATTCATAAGCAACCCAATGCATAAGATTAGGGTACCTTCACTTCTCGAATTCCAGAAGCCCGATTCTTTTCTTCTTCTTCGGGAAAAAAATATTCTCCTCTTTTTTAATTATCATGTCTGTGTGCTGATGTTTAGCTCACACACCTTCTCCATTTCAGTGATTAATCAATTGAGATTGGAGCAATCATCCTTGAGGTGTACAACAAGTACATTTGCTGTATAAATTCTGTTTTTTTTTTCCAACTATTTACAATGGATATTATAGATCCTCCCGACAACCTTAATCCCCGTGAAAAAAATATGTTTATGTTCTATAGGAGGAACCCAATTATATAATTCACCATCTTCTTTCATTTCCATCGTTAACATCGAAACCCCATCCTCTGCGCCTTCTAGAAGAGGAGCTAAAAACCGATGACAAAGAACCAGACCTACGACTCATTCTTGAATCCAAACTAGAACTAGAATTTGACGATTCACCCCTCCCGAAACAAGCGAACCAGCTATGGAAAAGTCTCCTCAATCCACCCCTATCCCTCGAAACACTTCCCCTAGACCCCCAAGAAATCCTCCTCGGTACGCCATTGTTATTAAAACCACCATCCATTTCTGTGTAGACCACCGGCAGCTCCCTCTCTCCACCTCTCCTCCCACCGGAAAACCTCCCCACAGCAAAGCCGCCACCTGGCAACCGCCAAATCGTCAAGCCAACAGTCTCGTCATCGGTTCCTCCAACCTCGTTGGCTCCTCTGTTAGTTTCGCTCGATTCCCGATTCTCGTTATCTGTGGGCAATTCGTGCCTGCATACGGGGCAAGAGTTTCTTAAAGTAAGCCAAGGCAAAATGCAGTCTTGATGGTATAAATGTTTGCAGGGCATTTCACGAGCCTCGATCCCCAATTCGAAGGCCTCTTTACAAACGGCGCAGTGGGATTCAACAGCTACGTGCTGATCGACTATTTCGATTGTAGGCATAGATTCGATAGCTGCCTTTGATGCAGGTGGGTTACTGTCAATTCTCCCAAACCCGTTCGCCTCGATTTGTGCCAGCTGATCCAGCAATCTGTCGAAACCCGACCCGAGCAAAAACTCGGACATGGTAGCGGGCAACGGCCGTAAACCCGATCCTGCTCCATCGTCGTAATACAATTCAAAGGCTCCTCCAGGTGGGGTTCCGCCTCCAGTTCCGGGTACACCTCCGGCCGCACCGTCGTTGGACCCGCGGAGAACGATAACCGGGTTAAATGGAGACCTGTCGCCTCCATTCCTGCGACTTCTTCTCAACCTAGGGCTCGATCCGGAAATGGAACCCGGACCCGACCCGGGAACGGGGACGGAATCAGCGGTACGCATCATATACATGGCGGCGGCGGGGAAACGGCGTCGTCTGGAGTCGGAGAGTGAAGATCGGGCGGGGCTCTCGACCTCTTCGACGAATCCGCTGTTGCAATCGGGGCAGGCGACGGAATCTGGGGACCAAACCCTAACGAATCTGTTGCATCTGTAGCACCAGTATGTTGAAGACATGGGAGATCGGGGGGAAGAATTGAAGAAGATAACCCAGAAAATGAAGGAATCGGATTTCAGATCTGAAAAAAATCCGAATAGTATATAATTGGGTCTAGAGAGAGAGAGAGAGATCTGAGGGTGAAGAAGAAAGAGAAAAAGAAAAAAATGGAGGATATATGAATGGGGGGGCAGGAGTGGGAATAAAAGTGAAGGGTCAGGGGTAAAAGTGGAAAAGCGCGTGGGAGATGAATTGACTGGAATATTGGCGTGTAATGAACGCTTGGGAAGAAAGCGGGAGACTTGTCCAAATGAACGGCGTTGAAATTGGGACGTTAGTGGGGGCGTCAACTGTCATGTGTGTGAACAATCTATTCTTAACAGCAGGAGCGTGGTGAGAATTTGTCGTTAAATATTAGTAACAATTCAATATTAACATATGTTTATTATGTTAATTATTTCTCACTTAAAACTGTTTTAAAGGGTTTAATTGGTTTAATTATCTTTTCTACTGTTTTGATATTTATATGCTGGGCCGTGACCACAAAGGCCCAATACATTGGAGTAAGTCCACTTGGACAATCCAGATAACTTGGCATATTAAATCTATTTTAATGGTGTAAATGAGCCGAGTTCAAGTCAAATTTGGTGAGTTTGAGATTGAGCTCAAGCTCATCGAAATTTTATTTGATGAGTTTGAACTCGAGCTCAAATCGAGCCGAGCCTATTGAGCTCAAGCAGGGGCGGGACCAAAATCAAAATGTAGGGGGGGCTAACTAAAATTTTGGGGTTCGGGGCAGCGCCACGAAAAAAAAATTTAGGTTCACAAAACATTGCAAAAAATAAGTTTATATTACTAATTTTTAATTAAAATCATATTATGTTATAATTATGTCATCACAAAAATTTCTAAATTAATCAAAATTATTCTAATAATGAATTGCACTTAATATTTCGGGGATTCATGGCACGATCTTGTTTATAAAGGCATTGATAAAAAAATTCAAAAATAAGTAATATTCATAAATTTTATTTAAAATAATACCATTTTATTTTATATTTTATATTAAATATGATATATTTATCTATAATTTATATAAGCTTATGCAGAAAAATAAAAAAAAATAAAGGGTTAAAACACATATTTTAAAAAAAACTAGGGAGGGGGGGGGGGGGCAAAAGTAATATTCAAAAAATATAATGCTAAATACCTAAGAAAAAGAAAAAGAAAATTCTTGGGGGTCAACACCCCCCCCCCCTAAGAGTACCGCCAATGAGCTCAAGCTCATCGAACTTTCATTTGATGAGCTCGAACTCGAGCTCAAGTCGAGCCGAACCTATCGAGTTCAAGCTCAACTCATTTTTCATTTTTTTAATTTTTTTATTTATTATTCCAATTTTTACATAATATTAATTTTAGTTTTTATTATAACTTATTTGTATGAAAAATAAAAAAAATGTAGAATAAAACATAACTCTATAGTTTTTTTATAAATATTAATTATATGTTTTCTGTTATACTATCAGTAATTTTTATATTAAAAATAAAAATAAAATTATATATAAAAACTCGGGAGCCGGCTCATGAGCTCATGAACAACGAAAGATGAACTCAAGCTCGAGCTTTGGTCGAGCCAGCTCATCGAGCTAATGAGCCGACTCAAGCTCATTTACACACCTAGTCTATTTTTCCTAATTTAGAAACATTTTATAAAATTAATATCAAATTATTGTAAATTCAGATTAAAATGCTGTAACTTCGGTTATCCTAAAATTATGAATTCTACTAGAAGTAGGACTGATTTGACTGGGCCCGAGGGCCCAAATGTTTACACGGGCCTTAAACGAATAGTGTTTCTAAATAGATTTTTGTCAACTTTAGAGCCCAAAAAGAATTTATATGACTGGTCTCGGCTGCCCAAATTATACTTTCCGATCCACTTAACCCAACCTAGAGCCAATCCTTATTGATTTTGATCGTCCAGATTAATTCATTTAATCGTGGATGTTCATTCGCACATAATCCCATTTTGAACTCGTCGCTTCTCTCTATTTTCTCCTTCCGTCACTGTTTTGCCTCCATTATATATCATCATTATGTCTTTCTCCGACAATTTTTTACAGAGTCTTCGTAGTACATGGCTGATTTTAACTCACTGTTGTATCTGATCGTTGGTTTTGTGCTTATTTATACAGGGATACAAATAACACTTTACTATTCATACCTATGAGTTTCTTCTTTGAATCTCATTATGTAAGTGATTGAAACTATGAAGTAAGAATGGATGATTGTGCAATGTCTGCATTCGTTGTTGAATCAACTCAGTGCGAGTTTTATGCATTTTTGTGCTGAGTGCCTTAGTTAGATATTTGTTTACGTATAAATGATAAAATGAAATATGAAAAAATAGACCATTAGATGCTACTTGGTATTTATATATGTACCTTTTTTTTTTTCCCTATATACTATATTTAATAAAGTACTAGGCCTTTTCTTCGTAACTAATTTCCAACCTACTTCGACTTGAACGTAACAAGTTTCCCATCATATCACCACCTGATCACACGTGGCACTATCAAATTCCAAAAAAACAACCCTTATGTCAACTTCTTTATCTAATTATTATTGACTTCAAATTTGCGTATACAATTTACGCAAGTCTTTGCTATATAGATTGGAGGAATCATTACTATAGATAGTCTCGTTTCATAAGTTTGATTCACCTTAATAAATTTACGGCCGCATGTCTTAGTGTAAGTCACCCGTAATCGAAAGCCAAACAAACAGTATGTAGGTAGATTTTTGGTGGGAGACGACATGGACAGGAGTTAAATGGTACACCTATATATATATATATATATATATATATATATATATATATATATATATATATATATATATATATATATGAGTGTATCTGAACCGTAGATTTGATTAAATAATTACTTATTGAGCACACATGCACATATGAGTTTGATTATATATAGATATACGGTTCAAATACACAAAGCATAAATAATCAGGTGTAATATATGATTTTGCCCAAAGTGAACCCTTAATAGTTAATACAAATTACAGCTCTGAAATTTAAGCAAAATTCTGACCTAAGTTGCTGAGGTTAAGTTATCAATATCTTTCAATACATGTTAAATTAATTAACGTGGCGTGTATGTATTATATTTATCCACCTAAATTTAAACAAAAATGACCAAACTAAACCTAGCCCAAAAATAAATAAAATAAAATAATTTACGTTGGATATAAAATCAGACAAAGCATGCAAAGAAATTTAGTTCAGCGAAACCGATATAATATCAGACAACGGTCGTATCCACCTTCACCCTCCAATTCTTGTCACACACCCATAAAACTAAACTTTTTTGCTCTTGCAAATAATTAATTGAAGAAACAAAAGATTAATTAATTAATAAATGAAGTCTGTAGTTGTTTCGGAGCTTGAAGGAACCCTACTGAAGAGCCACGATGTATTCTGCTACTTCATGCTGATAGCTTTCGAAGCATCCGGGCTCATCCGTTTCGCCTTGCTGTTAGCATGTTGGCCGTTGATTCGTTTGCTGGAGATTTGCGGGCGGGGAGATAACGGGCTTAAGCTCGCCATCTTCGTCGCCACGTGTGGGGTCCGCTTCTCCGAGATTGAAGCGGTGACGAGAGCTGTGCTGCCCAAGTTCTACCTGGACGACACCGATATGGCCGCGTGGAGGGTTTTCAGTAGCTGTTACGATAATAGGCGGCGAGTTGTCGCGACGAAAATGCCGAGGGTTATGGTTGAGAGGTTTGCGAAGGAGCACTTGAGGGCGGACGACGTCGTCGGGAGTGAACTTTGCATTAATCGTTTTGGGTTCGCGACCGGTTTCGTTGAAGACGATTTTGATTGTATTGGCCGGAAAGTTGGTGAGTTGATTAGGGTTGATGAACGACGTCGTTGTTTGGGCCTTGCAAGGCGTACACGTGGCTCCGTTGGTTCCTTATTTCTACCATCGTGCCAGGTTAAATTATTTACACAAGCAAATATGTTTTTTTACGAAAAACTCCTATTATTTGGATAATTACAGGCACCCCTTATTTTAAATATTTTAACATAAAATTTATGTAATTCGGTTATTTATCAAACCAAATCGTATATTCGGTTCGGTAAACGGTATGAAATGTTGGTGTACCGAAATTTCGGTACGGTTCTACCGATTTAACAACCCTAAATTTACCTGTGAAGGGGTATTTTCGTAAGATAATACATAGTTGAGAGGCGACTGTAATTACCCAAATAGGAGGGGGGTTTTCGTAATTTAACCATAAGTCAGGGGTTTTGGCCGTAATTTGCCCTAAATAAAATAAATGATTAAAAAAGTTCTTGAATAATTATATGGTAACAAAATTTGTTAATTTATTCGAAGTTTGCTACTAATTTTGAAACAGGAGCAATGTAATCCACCGTTTGCTAATTACAAATCAATCCAAGACGACGACCACCGCGCAATCCGCCCCCTGCCGGTGATCTTCCACGACGGCCGCTTGGCCATGCGGCCGACACCGGCCGCCGCCCTCCTAATCCTCCTATGGATCCCCATCGGAATCCTACTAGCAGCCATCCGCATCTCAGTCGGAATAATCCTCCCCATGTGGGCCATCCCCCACGTGGCCCCCATTTTCGGTAGCCGCGTCGTCGTCAAAGGGACACCACCCCCGCCGCCCTCCGCCTCCAACTCCGGCGTCCTCTTCGTCTGCACGCACAGAACCCTAATGGACCCCGTGGTACTCTCGTCCGTCCTCCGCCGCCGAATCCCCGCCGTCACCTACTCCATCTCCCGCTTCTCGGAGATCCTCTCGCCCATCCCCACCGTCCGCCTCACCAGAATCAGAGAAGTCGACGCCAGGAAAATCAGGCGGCAGCTCCAGAAGGGGGATTTGGTTGTCTGCCCGGAGGGGACCACGTGCAGGGAACCGTTTCTGTTGAGATTCAGCGCACTTTTCGCGGAACTAACCGACAGGATAGTGCCGGTGGCGATGAATTACAGGGTGGGGTTCTTTCACGCAACCACAGCGCGTGGGTGGAAGGCGATGGACCCGATATTCTTCTTCATGAACCCTAGGCCGGTGTACGAGGTTACCTTTCTTAACCAGTTGCCGGTTGAGGCGACTTGTTCTTCCGGTAAGAGCCCGCATGACGTGGCGAACTATGTGCAGAGGATTTTGGCGGCGACTTTGGGGTTTGAGTGCACCAACTTTACGAGGAAGGACAAGTACCGCGTTCTCGCCGGAAATGATGGGATTGTCGCCGCTCGAACTTGGAATCCGGCTAAGGAAACGGTGGACGCGTTCAGGAAGGTGGTCGGAAGTTTTATGCTTCACTGATAAATTTATAAAGAACAACGAAAGATACATATATATATATATATATATATATATATATATATATATATATATGTTGGTATATATATTTTTTTTGCATTTGTGATTTTATGTTATTTTTTTTTTTTTTTTTTACAATCAATAATTGTGTGAGTACTAGCATTCTTTTTGTGGTTGTTTTGCTTGGTGGAGTGTTGAATAATGTATTTGAATAGTGATCGATGAGGCCCTTTTGGACAACCTGTACTTGTATGTATTTGTGTGTATTTGTATGTACATTTCTTTTGGGCTGGTTGGTGGGTTTGGGCCGGAGAGAGAGAGAGAGAGGGGGCTGGTTTGGGGGCTTGTTGGTGGCTTGGGCCGGAGAGAGAGAGGGTGGTGGTGGTTAGTGGGCTTGGGCCGGAGAATTCGAATTCAATTGGAAAATTCAAGTTTAATATACATTTCAACCCATTTCCTAAGAATAGAAACTTTCAATAATACAATAATTATATGTTTTAATAATAATAATACTAATTATTATTATCATTTATTGTATGATATATAAAATAAATAAATAAGAAGCTCGTGAGCTGACTAGCGAGTTGTCGAACAACTATAATCGGACTCGAGCTCGAGTTTGTGCTAATGTCAAATACACGAGACAGCTCAGCTCGTTTACCACCCCTTGTTCCATCCTAGAGTCGGGCCTAGGTCTTGTTTCTAGGACTAGACCGGACGAGGTTTAGCCCAATATTGGTTTAGATTCCTTGCTATGGGAGTGGAAATATGAGTATTGGGCTCAGGTCCACTTTCGCAATGTTTTCGGCCCATGCACTCCCTTTTGCGGTTAACCTAAAATTTGGAGTAATGGTATTTATTTATTTATTATGTGTAAATAAATAAACTAAATAATTAAATAGAAACACATTTAATTTTCTCAGATTCAGTGTCAGAATTTTATTTTTTAAGATACTATTATTATTATTATTATTTTTCTTCAAATACCATCTTCTCATTTTCGGTTTAGAAATATAATTTCTATATTTGATATTTTCCTATTATTTTTATTTAGTTATATATGAATGTGATTCAGCAAAGATATTTTCTTTTCTAGTATATATCGTTACAAAAAAATCAGGCTTGCATGTTATATGTAAATTTCAGAAATCTAATTAATTTTCTATTATCGCAATTCAATTATTAAATTTAAACCCAAAATAGATATATCAATTAAAAAAAATTCAGGTAATTCCACCATTAGCAAGAACTGCAAAAAAACCCTAGAAACTTTTACAGTAACTAAAGCAAGGGACAAAGTCCACTCTAAGAGAAGAAAAAGGAAAATCAAATCAAAACCCTTTTCTTTTAACTTTTGATCGCGTCCGTTAACTCGCTTCATCGGACGGCCTCCATTCATCATCGTTCATGCTTATCACTCCCGTCCCCCATTTCTTTCACACTCTTCTCGCTCCTCACTTCTCTCTCTAAAACCCTCCGTCTCAGTCTCTCCCTTCCCCCTATAAGAATGACTTCACTCCTCCTCGTACTTTCACTCACTCTCACTCCGATCCTTTTCTCTCACCAAACCCCAACATCAATCTCAATGAATTGAATACAGGAAACACAACACACTCCGTATCCGTATGGCAAAAGGAAAACAACAAGATTTCTTCTAGATATTTTTTATTTTTAATTTGGCAATTAAAAAATATTCTGGGCTCGTTCATAAAGATTGGGTTTTTATTTTGTTTCTGTTTTTATGAAACCTTTATTCCTTTAAAAGCTCTGTCTAGCTTAATTCGAGATAAAAGGGTCTAATTTTTCTTGTGATATACGGTTCTGGGTTTTCGTTTTTTTTTTCTTCCCAATTGTTTCGAAGAATCTTGTGTACTTGTTGATTTTTTTTCTGTATATGATATGATTACCGAGAGCTACTCGGAGATGATATCGGAGATGGGTGTGCGATCGGTTCTCGGCCGGGAGAGCAGCAACAATTACAACGAAGAACTGGGGAGGCTGCTTAGGGAGAGAGCAACCGAGCAAGAGGCGAGTGATCGTGATAGGGAGCTCAGCCTCCTCCGCAGCGGCTCCGCCCCTCCTATTGTCCAGAGATCTTTGAGCTCCGGTTTTCTCGGTGGCAATGTTTCTGAGGAGGAGCTTAGGTCTGATCCGGCGTACAGCTCTTACTACTACCAAAATGTCAACATGAACCCCCGCCTCCCTCCGCCGCTGCTCTTGAAGGAGGACTGGCGCTCCGGATGGCATCTGCAGGGCCCGAGCGCGGCCCGTGGCGGGTCCGCGATTGGGGATAGGAGGAAAATTAGTCGCGGCGGTGATGGCGCGAGCGGAGGTGGTGGTGGGGAGTCTCTGTTCTCAATGCAGCCGGATTTGGGTGGTTCGAAAGAAGAGCATGTAATGCAGGCGAAGGAATGGAGTGGAGATGGATTGATCGGATTGCCCGGGTTGGGATTGGGGACTCACCGTAAAAGCATTGCCGATATGGTTCAGGTAGAAAATCGAGTTGGGATTTTTTTTATTTTTATTTGTTGATGTGTTAGATTGAGGGTTGATATATGTTGAGTTTTAAATGTGTTCTTGTTACTTGATTTGCTCTCTTCCTTAGAAAGTTGGATATATGTTTACGATTTTTTTATGCGTATATTTGTTATCGATTCTATCATTGATACACAAACAACTGTTTCATGTCATTCAAGAATGGATATCGTTAGTTTTCACAATCGTACAATTCTTGAAGGGGTATACTTTATTGCATTCGCTATATTTGTAAAAGAATCATTGTCTTGTCATAACGGTAGATACATCAATAAATACTCGACCAATTGCCGTGCTGATATATTCTACGTACGCGTGTCGTTTTTGAACATTTATTACCTCTCTTCATTACGCTTTGCTTGTGACGAATCTTTTCGCTTTATTGATTCTACGCCTTTTTTTTCGGGGATACAAATCACGAAATCCAATTTCCAATGCAGGATGACATAGGCAATGCAACGTCTATTTCTAGACACTCGGTGCCTCAAAATTACGCTTCTGCCATGGGCGCTTCTCTATCAAGAAACAACACACCCGACCCTCATGCTGTAGGAAGATCTCCAAGCCCTCGTATTCCTTCTGCAAGTGTTGCTTCGGACCTCGTCGCCTCTCTGTCCGGCTTGAGCCTTTCGATTGACAGCCTGGCAGATGAAAGGAAACACCCGAAAAATGAAATCGATGCTGCTCAACATAACCTATCTCACTTTCCAAGAAATAAAAACCCCGTAAAGCAGCATCCTTATCTGAACGAGAATTCGAATGGTCCATCCACACCGCCAGCTCAGTACCTCAATTTCTCGAGCCCAACTTCTTCACTGTCCAACTATGGCTTGGGCGGATATCCAGCGTCACCATTAATGCTCGGAAATCAGGTCCAGCCTTTGGTGGAGAGTATGAACTCTCACGGATCGAGAGCGTTGAGTGGCGGTGGAGGACTGACACATGGCGTGAATCTATTGGCTGCTGCTCAAGAGGATGCTGCTTTTCCAATGGGGCTTATGGATCCGTCTTATCTCCAATATTTGAGGTCGAACGAATACTCGTTGAACCGAGAATCTCTTGTGGCGAATTCACAAGGAGAGTTTCTTGCACTTCAGAAAGCTTACGTCGAAGCTTTGCTTCAGAAATCGCAATACGGGCTGGCTTATGGGAAATCGAGTAACTTGAGCAATGGCTTCCATGGAAACTCTGGCTACGGGGTCGGGTTTTCTTACTCAGGAAACCCAATGGGTCGCCCCGTTTACCCGAACTCACCTGTTGGATCGGGTGGGCCTGCTAGGCACATGGAACAGATGATGCATTTTCCTTCAAGTTTGAGAACTGTGCCTGGTAATTTCGTGGGCCAGTGGCCTTCGGAAATTGGATTGGACGAAAATTTTGCAGCTTCTTTGTTGGATGAGTTTAAGGGGAATAAAACGAGATGCTTTGAGCTGGCGGAGATTGCTGGCCATGTTGTTGAATTCAGGTATTCATTTTTCTTTAATTGAATTTTTTGACTTGTTCGTAATGAAACGTCACCAAATTTACAAAGTTATTAAATATCAACAAAACTTTTGTTTACAGTGCGGATCAGTACGGAAGTCGTTTTATACAACAGAAGCTTGAAACTGCCAGTACGCAAGAGAAGAACATGGTTTTCCATGAAATCATGCCGCAGGCTCTCTCCCTTATGACAGATGTGTTCGGTAACTATGTGATCCAGAAGGTAATGAAATTGTTAAAGACTCGATTTTTTTTAAAGGTTTTAGTTTCCTATTTTTTCTTGGATATGTTTTTCATGATTGTTTTTTATTTCAGTTTTTCGAACACGGAAGTGCTTCGCAAATTAGACAGCTGGCTGAGCAGCTAATTGGACATGTCCTTACCCTTAGCCTTCAAATGTATGGGTGCCGAGTTATCCAGAAGGTATATAACTCCGTGAAACAAACACGAACCTTCTAAAACTAATTTAAACTGTCGACTCATACGACTCGGATATACGTACTTGATTCTTATTCCCTTTTCTTATTTTCTTGATTCGGATAAATGTAGATGAATCGATTTTGATACACAGCATCGTCATCTGGTTTGAATATGTGTATCTTTATCCTGATCTAATGTATAAAGAGGAAAAAGTTTACGTTAATCTCATAAACATTGTAATAATTCAGGAGATTTATGTCTTAAGTTTACAACATAGGTTACGACTGCTTAATGGTCTCTGTACCGTCCTTTTGTTTGTGGATATGTACAGGCAATTGAAGTTATCGAACTGGATCAGCAGACTAAAATGGTGGCAGAGCTCGATGGCCATGTCATGCGATGTGTGCGTGATCAAAACGGAAATCATGTTATACAGAAGTGTATTGAGCGTGTTCCCGAGGCAGCCATTCAATTTATTGTCACTATATTTTACGACCAAGTCGTGACCTTGTCTACTCATCCTTATGGTTGTCGTGTGATACAGGTTTCAAGATTTTATCTTTTATTATTATTGAAATAATAATAATCGTGGATTAGGGAAAGAATTTGCTTTGATTCTAAAAGGTGATTTTTTTTTTTTTCATATAATATATATTTTTTAATTGCAGAGAGTTCTGGAGCATTGCCATAGTCCGAAAACTCAGAGTATTGTGATGAACGAGATTATGAAATCTGTTATCTTGTTGGCTCAAGATCAGTACGGAAACTATGTTATTCAGGTTAGCAACAAACCCTTATAAGATTACGTCGTGATTTTTATTTTATTTTAAATAAATTAAGAGAGAAAGGTTCATACTAAAAAAATATGTTCGTTTCGCTTGGAGTTGCTACTTTTGAATTGATTTTGCATTTAATTAGTGAAACCTACGATAACGTGAACTATTTGTTCGAAGCATGATTTAACATGAAAGACTCGTATTTCTCATGTAAAACGTGTTTCATGCGTTTTTTGTTTAAACGGCTAAGAATGTGTAATTTTGGTGGCATAACTGTCATTAATATATTTACGAGTCTATTTAAGGTTACGAATCAATGTAAATAATAAACAGCCATACAAATTCATAACCTTAAATAGACTCGTAAATAATCTTGCTGAGTCACTAAATCTCCTAATTTTATGACAGCATGTGCTGGAACATGGTAATCCTCATGAACGTTCTGCGATAATTAGCCAATTAACCGGTAAAATAGTGGAGATGAGTCAGCAGAAATTTGCTTCAAATGTTATCGAGAAATGCTTATCTTTCGGAACTGCTGAAGAACGCCAAACCCTAGTATTTGAGATGCTTGGTACTACTGACGAAAACGAGCCTCTTCAGGTTAGTCAATCAATCAGTCTAAATAATTGTTTTCTAATTTGAACTAATTTTTTTCGGGGCACTTGATTTATTTAATATATGAAATCAGGTAATGATGAAGGACCAGTTTGCAAACTACGTTGTACAGAAGGTTCTAGAAACTTGTGACGACCAGCAGCTTGAACTCCTACTTAACCGAATAAAGGTTCATTTAAATGCTCTCAAGAAATATACCTACGGGAAGCATATAGTCGCCCGCGTAGAGAAACTCGTCGCTGCTGGAGGTATTCTTTTAAAAAAAAAATCTTTCATTTTATTATTTTCCTCCAAAAAAAAAACGATATTTAACGAGGTTCTTGATTTATAACTTGCAGAGAAGAGGATTAGCATCCTTTCGTCGTATTCTGCCTAATAAACGGGCAATAGATGGCAGAAAAATTGTACAGCTAACTGAGAATAGTACAAGCACAGGCTTTTCTTTATAAAGAAAGTCTGGATGTGCGGCATCTGGTTCTTTTTCGAACGGAGGTCGGAACGGTTAGAATAAAATCATGTTGGTTGTACTTTTTTCTTTTTTTCTTTATTTAATTTAATTTAAAACTGTACATTTTTAGTATGTAAGGATAAGGATAATATACCTTTAGAGCGAGGTTTAACGGAGGCTAAGATGGTAAATGTACCTGATAGCCGAGAGCCCTTGAGAGGAGATAGGTTTTGACTGTAAAAGTTTGAGGGTGTAAAAACAGAAGGAGAGAAAGTGTGACTGTACAAAAAGTTGCCATGTGAGGAGCCTTTGTGTGTGTGGTGGTGTGTCTTTTAGGGTAATTTCCTATAATGTAATGATACATAAATGTTTTTTTCTTTATTCAGTTAGAACCTTCGTAAATTATATGATGTTTTCGTATTGTATGGTTTATGTTCTGCATATTCATAGTATGCCCAAAATATGCTTTCGAAAATAGTTGTACGAAGGCAAATCATTCATTCTTCTTTTGTAGTTTTCTCTGTTTAAAAATTTCCTAGAATCATTGATGGCTTTTCATTCTTCTTTTGTAGTTTTCTCTGTTTAAAAATTTCCTAGAATCATTGATGGCTTTTATCGGTGGTGGAAATTTAAACACGAGTTTTCGAATTCAATATAGTATGAACCAAAAAAAAATCAATTCTGGAAAGATACTTTTTTTTTTTCGTTTTGATTTGAAGATTACGTCGATTTTTTGGATTTTTATTTTTCTTAACATTTTCGATTTGCGTTGCTTCCGTCTGGAGAAATTTGGATCGAGTTTTTGAAATTCTGATTTTTTGATCTTTCTCTAAATAAAATTGGAGCAACTCCTGGAAAAAAAAAATGTAACTTTTTATCGGCTTTCTATGTACTGTTCGGGTATGTTGTGTGCGTGTGCATCGTTTCTCACTAGCTCTTGTACACTCAGGCACAGGTAAAGAACTACTACCATAGCTTAATCCTTCTTCTTCGGTTTTTTTGCCATGTTCACAAATTATATAGACGTTTTTTTTTAATATAGTTTGTGGTATTTATACTGTGTCGGAGATGCCAACTAGAAAGAGGTTGGTTTCTTGTTCGACGAAGTTGTTACATGTTCGATGTCGAAGGTTTTCGGTAATTGGCCGTTTATTAATATGATGATGTAGAGAAAATATTAAACTGAATAATCAAAATATAATTACAATTTTCACTGTTACTTGGTCTCTCCATTTTAGTGTTTCTTTCTCATTGTAATGTAAAGAACTAGAAAAACAAAATCATTTGCCTCATGTAAGAAGAATAAGTTTCAATCATTTAGGTTGGTAAATCAGAAATACAATACTCGCAATAAATTTTCAAATATATATATGTATATATATATTATCATCCTCTCTAAGCTTAAACTGTGCATCAACATAATAATACCCCTGTTTCTACATGGGCAAGTGCAACAAGGTCTCTCGTTTCTTGATCAATTTATCGGCTTCATCAAATACGACTCGATTGCTGTTTACGTACGTACTACTATGCCACCAATATCAACACCTCCACCACCAAAATAATCACAGCACCATAACAAAGAAAATCTGATGTACAAAGAAACAACAAAATACCGAGTAAGAAACATATAAATTTACTTGCGCTTATGGAAACATATACACACAAAAAACTCAAGAAAGACGCATCTTTTTCTCCCAAAATTACTTCCAGTAGTAGTTTTTCGTGAATTTGCCAGTGTAATCAGAATATTCGAATTCTTGATGAGTTGCAATATCCGAAATTTCATTTACGTTAAACTGATATGGAGAAGAGGAAAAAGGAAACAGCGGCCCGTATCAAGTTAAGACATCAACTGCCATGTCCAAGAAATCTCTTTTTTCGAGAACAATTCGACATAGTAAAAACACACAAGTTCAGAAGGCACTAAAAGGGCAACGGAAATTTTCTGTCAATTAACTACGTTACCTCTTCTGTGTGTCATTCTATGGTGCAGCGTTTCGGAAATGAAAGACGAGCTTCAAAGGCATTCGAAATTCATCACCAGAAACATGAAACTCCTCTTACTTTTTCCAGCCAATCGGTGGAAAATGAAATTTGCGCTAGCTTATCTATGTTAATTTAAGATATTTCACACATCAAAGTAATGCAGCTTCTTGCTGGAATATCTTTTTACATGGAAGCACAAACCAGGACCTGTCAGTGATTGCCTGAATCTTAATATATCTAAATTTTATCTTTTGCAAAGTTCATGTATATCGGCTTCGTAAGTATACAAGTTAGCACGTGTCAGGTTCAATGCGTAGGACAGAGAACCTAATACAAGGAACTATAGAACTAAAAATCTTCATTTTCACATCAACATGATGATCTAGACATGCTGTTTTCCAAGATTTGAGCAGTCAAACACAAATAATAAATCAAAAATAATTTGAATAAAATCCAATTAGTCTAATGTATGGCTTCTAGTTCTAGCTTCAACAGAGCTAGTTTTGCCCCTTGAATCAGCAAGCATTCCAAAAAAGCGAAAATAGTGTATTCAAAAACTAAAACACAGAAATTAAGATCAGAACACCAAAATCCAAATAAAGAATTTACCTGTCTATGTGCCTTAGAGTTAAGAACTAGACAACCAACGGATAATCAAGATTGCGTGTACAATGCAAATACCAAGTGCAATCATATTAATACAAATCAATGGACAAAATTCTGTTTTCTACACCACACCACACCACACAATTTGCAAAAACGTATACAAGAAGAAATCAGTAAGAGAGTAAACAAATCTCCGTTAATTTCACCATATCATACCTGAACGAAATTACTCCCACACGGATAAGAGGCAAACTCATGAGAATGCATATTGCGGTGGGGCCCTCGAAGCCATATTAGCAACCTGAGCTTGCATCTGAACCGCCCTGACCTTCGAAGCAGTCGCCCGGTGGAAAAACTGCTCCCTCGCAAGAAGTCTGACATTCCTCAAGTACTGATCGAAAGGCACCGCCCCTTCTTGAGCAGCCTTGTCCAACGCGTAAATTGTATCTTCCACCGCCAAATCCGAGGCTGTGCAATCCAGCATCTGCTTCGACAGTGCATCGCACGGCTCAAAGGCCTGGTCCACGTCAACTGCAGTGACATCAGCAGTTCCCAATTTCCCTTCGTTCTCCCTCAACCATACTTCTAGAACATCGGAATTCGTCAGAACCATTTGCAACTGCTGCTCCAGTGCTTCCTTTTCGTCCTGCATTTCCTTCAACCCTTTCCTCAATTCTTCGTCACGCTTCCTCAGCACCGCCTGAGCATTGAACAGACCTTCCACTTCCCCTTCCCTCCCCTTCCTCATCTCTCTGATGTCACCATTTAAACTCCCCACAAGCTTATCTATTGCATTTTTCTTGAAAACTTCAGCTGGGTCCTCCATTATTCTACCGCTGCCGTATGGGGGCGGCGGCGTGGGTGTCGGCGAATAAACCCTAGGTGGTATCGCCGGACGAGCTGCGTTTGATCCCACCGCCGAATTCATACTCCCGTAACCAGAATTTGGGCTGGGACTAGGGTTAGGGTTAGGGTTAGGGTTTGAGGGTTTCCGCTGCGAATACAAGGGCGGATCACGGGCGAAAAAGTGGCTCAAATTCCTAGCCAATTCGACCAAATTGGATGAGGGAAAGACCCAGGAATGGATATACGGGATGGAGACGATGCCGTTGGGGGAGACGAAGGGGTGGGGGCGCTTGATGATCATATCGCGCGTGGGGTTGACGAAGACCAGAGGCGCGTGCTGTGGGTAGGACTCCATCAACCAGATGATGACGGGGATGTTGTAGGTGACCCCCTGGTAAGACATCGGAACGGTGCCGTCGGCCTGGAGGAGATTGACGGTGCGGCCGTCGTTGTGGGTGAAAACGGCGGTCTTCGGCTGGAGAGAAGCGTAGGCTTCGATTAGGTGAAGTAGGTGCTGCCGGATGTGCCATTTCATGCCCTCCGCGTACGGCAGCGCCGCCGGACCGCCCTGCGAGAGCACGCTGTTGAGGAATTGCTGTGTGTATTGCGACATTCTGCAATCAGTTTATATATTGTAGAATCTATAGCTCTACAATCAATCTATATATATATATATATGTATATATGTATGTATATGTATATCGGCGTGTGGATCTTGTGTTTGTGGTGTTAACTCTAGAATCGGCGAGAGGAAGAAGTTGACTATTATATATTGATGAAAGAAAAAGTAGAAAAATCAGATTACACGGTTTCGTTTGTAATACTCTTCGTTTTAAGAGAGCGAAGCGAAGGCCGAGCTTTCCTTTGATAAAAAGGATAAATACCACTTTACCCTCAACACTTTATCATTATAATACTTTCACCCCTCAAATTAATTAGATATAACACTTTAGCCCAAATCAAATTTATGACCAAGACTATTTATTAATTCTCATTTAGAAGTACATATAAACATACGCACAACAATAGTTCTAGTTGTATAACTTGTATTACAATTGCTGTTGAATATTCATTGAAACATTTTTTTACCCCCAATTCTCTCTTAATCAAATAAGAGGTATAAGGGCAAAATAAACTGGTGAAGAGCTTTTCGATGAAAAATGAAACAAAATATGATCTTAGGAACTAAAGTATTAATATAAATATAGGTTATAGTTGTAGGGTTGAAAATGAAAATCAAATTAGGCTCTTCGATACACTATTCGTGAAAACAATTAAAAGCGTCAATTAGAAAATCAATGAAGTTTGGCACGAGCTTCAATTCATTGATTTTTTTTTTTTGTGATAAAATAAATCAAGTTACTCGAGTTTGATTCGTTTTCTACTTGATTGCTTATCAAAGCAAGCACTACACGTATCCTTAAAAGCTCGATAAAAATTCAAATAAATTTGGACGATTGTTCGTTGTTGAAGAAGTCTCTTAAGTACTTATAGACCTATCTACTTGGATTAATTTAGGTGCATGTAAATCTTTGTCTAGACTAAAACCCCAAGTAATTATATATCTTTTGTCTGATTTCCACAATTCTTTACTACTATGAATGAATATTTCAGCTCTGTTCGATAGATTTAATAGGTTCTTGATTCTTGGTATAGTTTTACAGCTTTTTATGGACACTTACTTATATTCCACAAAAGCATGGAGAATGTTAAAAAAAAAAAAAACACATAGCAAATTGTTTTATTATACAACACAAAATGACATGACAAAGGAAAATCCACAACAACACCAAAGTTATTATTGGCAATTAAATAGAAATACACTTTGTGGATCAACTCATTTTTTCACCAAAAAACAAACAACACAACGAAGAAAAGGCGAAAAAAATAAGAGAAAAAAAGAAAAAAAAGAAAACAGCTTATAATGGGTATACGCAAGTCCCGTCGTCACTTCTTGCAGTTGGGTCGAAGTTCTTTGCATTCGGGTCAGTGCAGCCTTCAGGCACAGGAAGATTCACTTGCTGTGCTGCTTGCCCTACATTAACACAAAAGAAAAAAAAATATATATATTAATTGCATTCGAGTTAGGAAATTTAATATTTTTTTCGTAAAATATTTGCGATAGAATTTGTGGATGCAAACCTCCAATTGTGAAGGGCCAAGAAAGAATCTAACCGTAGAAAGCTCCGCTATCAATGGAATCTTTGTTAGCATCTCCGAGAGCGGCGTCCTTCAAGTAAGTCTCGGCCAATTGGACCCTCTTCACATTGTCTTGCTCCTGGACAAGCATGTTTCCGTATTCTAGAAGCTTCTCGATTGTCATCTTTGGCTGCTCGAATTTCGGTGGGCCCGACCTCGAGTTAACCAGCTTCTTTCCGATGTTGTCCACTCCGATCTCTGAGATCCACTTCCTCACTTCGTCGTCGTACACTCTTGCCCTCAATGCACCGAAGAAATCTACCAATAACGTAAACGTTTCATGGATAAGTACAGATTTGGAATTATAAATAGATATGCGTAAATTATATCGAAAATAAACTAATGTAGCAAAATTACTAAAATACCCTTGTCATTAGTGGAGATTTTCTTTAATTTTTGCTAGATTTTAATATGCATCAATTATAAGGAAAATAAAATAATATATTAAAATTACTAAAATACCCTTGTCATTAATGGAGATTTTCTCTGATTTTCGCTAGATTTTGAAATTTCCTTTGTTTGTATAAAATTAATATGCATAAATTATAAGGAAAATAAAATAATATATTAAAATTACTAAAATACCCTTGTCATTATCCGAGATTTTCTCTTATTTTTGCTAGATTTTGAAATTTCTTTTGTTTGTATAAAATTAATTATATATATTCTCAGATATTTAATTTAAAAAAAAAAAAAAAAAATTTGAAAATTACCGATGGATTGGCCGGGGAAGGTGTCGACGAGTCTGACGACGGCCTCGTCGGCGATGTTGTCGGTGCGGAAGATACCGAGGCAGACACCGATACGGTCCTCGCGGGTGGGGGCCCAGTAGAACTTCTCCATACGTCCGTCACGGATGAGGGGAGCGTACAGCGTGGAGAAATCGTTACCGGTGACGATGATCGGCACGCGGGGGTTCTCCTCCTTGTTGTACATGCCGGGGAGCTGCACGTTCGTCGGCGCGTCGGCGATGTTCATGAGTGTGGCGTTGACCATCTGGTTGTTGACCGTGTACTGAGTGGTCCCGCCCATGCGACCCGCGCCGGCGTCGAGATCGTTGATGAAGAGGCAGCACATCTTCCCCTTCTTGATGATGTCGGCCGCCTCTCTGTACCTCTGCCTGATCAGCTTGGCCGGCTCTCCGGCGTTCCCGCTTTCCAGCTCTCCGGCACTCATCATGATTGGGCTGTGTTTATTAACATTATTCATTAGTAATTAGTTTAATTGAAATTAAATAATTAAAATGAAATAAAACTCACTTAATTCCCATCTTGGCGAAAACAAGTTCACACTGGAATGATTTACCCTGTCCTTTTCCTCCCCACACACCCAAGATAAGTGGAACCTGTTGTAGTTTAAAAATTATTAATAACATTTTAATTTTACTTAATTTATAAATAACAAAAAAAAAAAAAAAACTCAGGGGGTTTTTGGTAATTACGAATAGATGGAGGTGGTTTTTGTAATTTAATGTAATAAAAAAAAAAAACCTTGATGTTGGGCAACTTCATGAAGTTCTTGGAGATGTGGACCATGAGCTTGTCCATGAAAGCAGGGGCGATGTAGAAACCGCTCATCGTGTTGTCGAAGTCGTATCTGCACTCGATCAATTATTTAATTTAATTAAGAGAGAGAGAGAGAGAGAGAGAGAGAGAGTGAAACGGCGTCGTATAGCGTACTGTTTAAGGCCCTGGCTGATATAGTCGTAGGAGTTGAGAACGGCGTCGTGTGTACCCATACCGGTGGGGGCTTGGAAGAGAGAGTCGACCATGCCCTTACCTCTGGCGATGTCCTGCTGGTCGTCGGAGATGTCGGTGGTCAGACCCTTCCATTTGTCCTTGTCTGTCTGTTTCTTGCTGTCTTCGATCGCCGCCACTACCTTAAAGCTGCTTCCGCCGGAGGCGTATTTGGTTTGGTGGGTGTTCACCTTCTTCAAGCTGCTGCCCAAGAACGATGAGCTCGGTACTCCCACTCCCGATCCACTCAAGTTCAACTGCATACATACATACATATACATATCATCAGCATGTAAATTAATGATGAAAAATATGTAATGATCTCGTTATTATTTATTATATATACCGGGACGCGGTTGACAGCTGCGGCGGTGGAGACGGCGGCGGCCATATTGTTGCGGTGGGGTTATTAGCTGTGTGAGTGTAGGAGGTGGTGTGGAAGTGGAGCAACAGGGAACTTATAGTAGTAGAAGAAGGGTGACACAAGTTTATTGAAGGGGGTGAGTGGATTGGGGTTTGGATATTCGTCGGCCACACAATCAAGATTGCCCATCTGACACGTGGCGATCAGATATTGGTAATTTCATCGTTTCTTCTATAAGGTTCCTGAGGTTATTATTTTTGCTCATTTCTACTCCACTTATATTTCAGATCATATTACTTTCTTTCTTCGATATAAATAAAATAAAATAAATAAATAATATATTAGATGAATTACCACATATATAGGTATTGGGTCACAAGCACACATCCCTTGTGGAATTATAGGCCCAATTTGTGTTCTTGGCATAAATACAAGACTATTAACTTCACGACTCTGGATAGGCCTTTTTTTTTTTTTTTTTTTTTTCTTGATTTCAATTTTATTTGCAACTTCATCAGAAAAAATACAGTTTTCAATTATTCTACATTTGGTCCTTCATGTTTACAAAAAACACATTTAGTCCCTCGTGTTTCATAAATTACATTTTTAGTCATTTTCGTCATTTTTCCGTTAAAACTAACGGAATCAATTAACGTGTGTGTCCATCACTGCCTTAACTGATGTACTAATGGTAAATTGACAAAAAAGGACCAAATGTGTTTTTTTATGAACAAGGTGGTCCAAATGTGAAATTGATGCAAACTTAAGGGATGAAAACTGTAATTTTCACCAACTTTATCTTATTATTTTACGGATTTTAATTATGATAACTATAGTTATTTGTCCTCATTTTGGTTTTTGTGTTGGCTTCTTGCATGCATTATTGGGCTTTTCTTCTAGCTTTTTCCTTTTCTTTGTAATAATATATAAATAGCTTAGGAAATTAAAAGATGTCCACATTTATGATGCCTGGAAAAGATAGAGATGGGAAAAGACTTCCATAATTAATCTGTATATTTATTTTTATTTTTATTTGTTTTAATTTTAGTTTTCTTGGGCTATCTGAGTTGCATATATATATATATATATATATATATATATATATATATATATATATATATATATATATATATATATATATATATATATATATATATATATATATATATATATATATATATATATATATATATAGTTTTTGTTTTGAATTATTCACATTTGTAAGAATTAATGACAATTTTATTTTATCTTGAGGATTTGTAACTGTGTCAGTAGCTATTATATATTTGGATAATATCTGAAAATCTTAAATTAATCAAACTATATAGTATTTGATGCAAATTATAGTAATCTTACAATTAATTGTTGGCCAAAATGATTTAGCGGATTGGGTATTTGCCACAAATAATGAATCACTCTATAATATATTTGATGCATATTATAAAGCAATTAAAGAAAATTACTTAACTTAACAACCCAATTACCCATAAATTCAGTCCAAGATAGAGTCTAAGTGAGGCCCAACATGTATTCAGATCGGCTTAATGGGCCGGGTATGGGTCGAATTCTGCTGGTTAGTGAGTCTAGGCCCATCATTCCATCAGGTCTGCTAAACGGGTCTGGTTTGAGTCGACTCGTTGCCAAGAAACTAGAGGACTATGCAGTTAGGACTGATCGACAATCCATTGATGATTTCAGTGTACACTGTACACTATTTTTATTTTTAATACAATTCTAACGTCAAAGGGTAACAAACACTGGAAAGACGGATTTATCTTACATGTGCCAACAAGCGGTTTTGTTTGATGTTACGACCGATGAACTTCGTCGTGTTTTTCACCATGCACGTGTATTGATAAATATTTATTTTACACGCATTCACATGTATTTTGTACGTCGGTCTACGGTCTATAACTAAACAATATAATATATTTGATCAGATGTAGCATTTAGAGAGGCTCCTCCACCTCCTCATCCCCCATATATCCACAACATTGTTCTTCCGTTCTACGTATTTCGATCCAAAAACAAAATAAAAAAAAAAAAAAAAAAAAAACTTTAAGCCTTAGACAAGACCGAAAGTTAGAATTTTTCATATGAAAAGAATACCATTTTGTCTCCTAGTTGTCTCTTTTAGAGCACTGAACCATAACTCACAAACTGTAGCTCAAGCACTTAAATATATATACATATTTGTATATTACATACATACATGCATGTAATTTATATTATATAGTATGTTTTATGAATGTGACAGATTTTGAAGATTAAATTATGCATGTAAGATAATGGAGAATAAAACTTACGTGCCCAGACAAATTGGAGATGTGAGTCATCCTGCCTACTTCCATTCCTGGGGAAAAAGGGCTACCTGCTGCCATAAACAATACAAAAAAAACCATTCTTAATCGCATCGTTAATATCGAAAATTCAAGAATTAAGACATCCTTAAACTCCCCAAACAATAAACCGTCGGGCTAAAAAAACCATCTAAAGTATCTGCATATTCGATGTTCATAGCACAGTCAGTAACACAAGAAGACTGCTTAATCGAAATTTCGACGTGGGGACCGATACTAACTGTGGTATTAACGATAAACTAATCGATAATGGGCGGAACATAAAACAACTTTCACTTTCATCATTTCCCATTGGTACACGCACGGTCGAAATACGAACAGTGAAAGAAAGTACCACGGGACACCTCATATTTTTTCCTGGGAAAAGCATAATCACTTTACTTCATTATTGAATTATCAAGAGATAATAAGTAGACTAATCACTATTGTACTTGCCTACTTACATAGGCCCCCCCAAAATAAATTAAAATAAAAACATTTGTATAAACTATCAATCAGCAATATTCGCTCCGTTTCCATTAGTGTGTGTGTGTGTCATGGCCCTGATTGGGTTTTTGTACGAGTCGAAACGGATAAATTTAAAGCAATTTCCAAAGCACAAATGAGGAAAGAAAGTGCACCCAATTTGTAAAATGAAATTGTTGGCCACAAAGGAGACCCAAAACACTTTACTTTCTAATAAAAGTTAAGTATGTCTTTCAGCCATAATGAAAAGGGCATTATAAAGCCAGGATATCGATTACTCGAGCATGCATATTCCTACACTAAACACAGATTTTTGTCATAAAACTTTAGGATTAGCCAAAACAGGGTAAACGAAAAAGCTCGAGACAATGACTGGAGTTAGCTCGTCGTGTGGAGCATGCAAATTCCTAAGGAGAAGGTGCACTAACGAATGCATTTTCGCACCTTATTTCTGCTATGAGCAAGCAGCGAATCACTTTGCAGCTGTGCACAGGATATTCGGTGCAAGCAATGTGTCGAAGCTATTGTCTCACCTGCCGGTGCACAGCAGGAACGATGCTGCCATAACAATATCATACGAGGCACTTGCTCGTATTCAAGAACCCGTTTACGGTTGCGTTGCTCATATCTATTCTCTACAACAACAGGTATTATCTACCATTTTAGCGGGAAGGGTATTTTAGTCATTTTTTTCTACAAAAATATATTCATATTTATTAGCTTTCTTGATAAAAACGAGAGAAAAAAAACGTACCTTGATAGGTGGCCAGCCTCGAGGAGGAGATAGAAATACTCGGAAACCAAATAGCTAATATTGGAGTCAACATTGCTCCTTACGAGACCAGTAACCCTTACTTCGCTGCACAATCTGAAATAGGAAGCAACTGCAGTAATCAACAGAGTCTGCCGATTCTACATCCGGAAGCATCCGGAAGCTTCTGCCACGCGGGATTGCAGACTGTGGATGAGGTTTCCGAAGGGTTCCTCAATTCAAGTATATTCGAGATGCTACTCGAAGAACTGAACCAAGACTATTATCTGCTTGAAGAGCTGAGCCAGGACTACTATTATATGCACTCATAGTAGATGAAGTAATAGCAGGAACCAAATTTTGCAGCACCCCTGATTTCCGATTTTGCGATTACCTTTTCATTCTCGTAACTCCGTTTCTCTGCTTCTTTTATGTATTAAGCCTCTGTTTGGCTCCCCTCTACTCTGTAAAGATGCAAGTGTTATAGCTCGTGTTTAATTCGGACTTCATGGCTTATGATTTAATTTATGCACATGCATTGACTGTCATAGGATGTTCATAATTTCGTTCGAGCATCTGAAAGAAGACAAAATTAAGTAAACCATTTAAGGAGATTTTTCGGACACTTACGATTTGTCTTGTTCGAATTATCACCTGATATCAATCCCTAAAAAAAACTTGTCTTGGTTTGAACATTATCCATGCAAAGAAGGCATAACCGAATAGTTCAACCTGGCGAACAAATATAGAACTTGTATTGTATAATCTAACGAAACCAGATTTAAAGGTCGAACCAACAGATTCAACAAATTTCTTCATAAATTCAACTCTGATTGAATCCCAAACATCAAAATCAAATCATTCAATAATACAACCAGGTGTAAACCAAAATTACGTTCCCAATTTCGGAAAGAAAATAAAAATACATAAGATGTTTCCATGATAAATGATCAAAAGTACTAAATACTCTATTGCGAAATACACTCTAACCAAAATATGTAAGGAAATTCAAAATGCTAAGAGTTGGACTCAGAGCCTCCTACATGCTCCCCTCAATACTCGTCCGATGAACCACAAATTCTGAAAGAAAATAATTAAAACGTTAGCACAGAAACTGACTTGAGGTAAATTTTTATGAAATAAAACAGGAGTTTACTACTGCATTGTATTTATAATCGAACCACATAAGAATAGCAGGTATTCCATTCACTAAATTAAAAGTAACAGCAATTTCCACATTAAAACAAAAACGAACCTCACGAACACCACTCCCTAGCATTTTGGAACATGCGCAACCAAGGGCTGGGGCCTTTCTTCTCAACGTTCCAGTCCTTGGGATACCAAGGGTACTGCCACATCAAGAAGCACCGTTCTGGATGCGGCATCATAGCAAGATGCCTACCATCTGGAGAACAAATCGCCGCCACGCCTAGCGGTGAACCGTTGAGATTGAATGGATAGACTTCTGTAGGATTCCCATCATCATCACAATATCTCACAGGAGCCAACTTCGACTTCATAATACTGCCACCAACATTATCATCGGGGAAATAAGCCCTTCCCTCTCCATGGGCGGCCCACACACCCAACGTACTCCCTTCCATTCCTTTGAACATCAGAGCAGGTGACTCTTCAATTTTAACGCTCGTGAAACGGCACTCGAATCTACCAGATTCATTGTGGATGAACCTCGGCTGTGATGGATCACCTTTCTCCCCAAGAACCCCTCCAACTTCAGGACCCGGGACCCACCCTAAGAGAGCCATAAGCTGACAGCCGTTGCAAACCCCTAAACTGAAAGTGTCTGGCCGTTCGTAAAACTCTTGAAATTGTTTCAGGAGAGGCTTGTTAAACCGTACCGAAGCTGCCCAGCCTTTTGCGGAGTCGAGAACATCCGCGTAGCTGAACCCTCCAACAAATACAATGCCTCGGAATTCTTGCAACGAGACTGCTCCGGTGAGAAGGTCGGACATTGCAACATCCCACGGCTCGAAACCAGCGGCAAAGAAAGCAGCAGACATTTCTCTGTCCCCGTTGCTTCCTTCTTCACGAATGACTGCAACCTTTGGTTTTGAAGTCGCGGTCATGTATTTCTCATCAGTAGGTGTTGGAGTGAAGGACAGCTTCCATGAAGGTTCACGGCGACTTCTCAAACCTTCTTTCTCTAGCTCCACACAAGATGCCAGTCTTTGTAATTTTTCCAGCTGAAAGCTGGTTTCTTCCCACAGGTCCCTGAGTACTGATGTCCCTTCATTCATATGGACCGTACCATCAATCTTCAGTTCAACTGTCGGTGAGGCGGTCACCTCACCAATTATCTCAGCAGATACTCCAGCATCGGAAAGATTTCCAGAGATCACATCAAGATTCTTTTTACTGACCTCCAGAACAAGGCCAAGTTCCTCTGCAAAGAGCATATGTGAAGCACTACAGTTCTCCTTAGAAGTCAAATTCAAGTTAATGCCACAGTTCCCTGCAAATGCCATCTCAAGTACAGTCACTAACAATCCTCCATCGCTGATATCATGACCAGCTGAAATGAGCTCCAAATCAATTAAATGTTGCACCGAGTTGAAAACTTTTCCAAGATAGGAGACATCATCGAGATCAGGACACTCATCCCCAATTTGATCGAAAACCTGAGCAAGAGCAGATCCACCAAGCCGCCGCTTTCCTTTTGCCAAATCAATGTGAAGGAGAACACCATCATCACCAAGCTTCAAGTCTGGGGTCACGGTTTTAGTTATATCTGGACAAGTGACATAAGCACTGATTACGAGATTTCCAGGAGCCTTGAGAACTTCTCCGGATGCACGGGCTGCCATCGAAAGACTATCTTTCCCCCCATCTATAGCAATACCAAGTTCAATCATAGCTTCTGAAAGTGCAATGGCAGCATCGTACATGGCTGCCCCTTCCCCGTCAAGTTTGGCTGCATACATCCAATTGCCACTAGCCTTAATATCAGCAAGAGAAGTCACCTTAGCCCAAACAAGATTCGTAAGAGCTTCTCCTAAAGCCAGCCTTGCCATAGCTTTGGGATCCAAAAGACCTTTGATTGGCTGCTCCCCAATCGAGCATGCACCGCCAGTAATGCCAGTATAGCTTTGAGCAATCACAGCGACATCAGCAAGTGTAATTTGCAGGGGACCCACAGTTTGCTGCTGTGCTACAAGACCTGTCACACACCTATCAACTTTTGTAGTCAAAAACCGTTTTGAGGCGACAGAAGGAAGTCTCAGGACTCTTTTCAAGGAATCCATAACAGATATACTAGGAGCAATATCGAGTGGCTCTCTCGCATTAACTGTGCGGTGGAATTCAAAAGTTTTTTGAGGCATGTCTCCAAGCACCTTTTCGAGCTCAAGGTCGACCGCAGGTGGTGGAGTAGGCAGTCCTTTTGAGTTGCATTTCTCTATAGCTAAACTATCCACCAAAACAATCCGCCCTTCACCACTAATTGTTCCAATAACAGCCATTGAGAGTCTCTCTCTTTCACAGATGGACTGCAAAAAGTTGCGACTTTCGGGCTTCACCAGAATAGCATCTTGCTCCTGGTACTCTGCTCCCCATATCTCCAGGATTGACATAGTGTAATCACCAACTACAATTTTCCTGATATCAATAGTAGCACCCTCTGGATATATTATTTCCTTGACAACGTTACAGTTTCCACCAGCACCCTGATCGTGAATACTAATGATAGGATTCTTTTCTCCCATTTCAACACAAGCACGCACAACTCGGTACAACTTTTGTGCCATCTCCGCATCTCCACGCTGCACAGCATTGAAATCCAGCTGGGCGTCGTTTTGGCCACTAACCATGCTAGATGCAGCGCCACCGCCCATTCCTATACGATATGCCGGCCCTCCGATCTTCACAACTAACATCCCAATTTCAGGTTCGCCTTTCGTTATATGGGTATGATCAATCTGACCAATACCTGCACTGAACATGATTGGCTTCAACCACTCCCGCCTTTCCCCGCTTGGCAGCCTCATTCCAAAAGTCCTTGTGTAACCCTGAATCAAAGGCTCCCCAAATTTGTTGCCATAGTCCGATGCACCATTGCTAGCATCAATGAGAATCTGAAGGGGTGGAGCCAAGTTTGGAGGATATGTAAATGTTGCATCCTCCCACGGTGCATACGAACCTTCGATATTGAGATTTCCAACACAGTATCCAGCTGTAGATGCCACAACATACGATCCCCTTCCAGTGGCATGTGTATCTCTAATCCTGCCTCCAGCACCAGTCTCGGCACCCGGGTACGGGGCCACGGCGCAAGGGAAGTTGTGAGTCTCCGCTGTAAATAAGATATCTAGATCACGAACAGTCATGTCTAATGGGCATGATGAACCTGGTTGGACTGGCCGTAATTGATTTGCAGGAAACCCTTTGATCGCACTGGAATTGTCCTTGAAACCAATAACAGAGTTGTTAGGATTCGCTCGTAACGTGTTTTTAACAATTTGCATAAGAGTACCGTCCACCGGCTGACCATCTATAATAATTTTCCCAGTGAAAAACCAATGCCTGCTGTGCTCACTGTTAGACTGGGCAATATCAAATAACTCAACATTTGTTGGGTTTCGTTTTATATCATCCCTGAAGAGCTTTGTGTAGTACTGCAAATCCTGTTCGTCAAAAGCCAAACCCATTTTGACGTTTATTTCCTCCAAAGCCTCCCGACCCTTCTCCATGACAGGTATATATCTGACCTCCTCAGGTACCACATTCATTTCGAAAGATGTGAGCTTCTGAGTATAAACACACTCAGTCATCCTGTCATGCACCAACTCAGCAAACTCGCTTATTTGAGTGTTCGACAACGGCGCACTTCCAGCAGTGACGTACAACAAGTACCTCCTTGATCGTTCCAACCTACTGACTTCGGTCAACCCACATGCTCGGCAAATTGATACCGCATTTGAAGACCAAGCAGTGGTGAAAGACAACCGCGGGCCAACTTCGACAATTACAGGAGTCGAACTGTCTTTTGCATCTGCATCGAGAAAACTCTCAGTTCCCAGATTATCGGGCTCGTATGTTTCTCCCAAAAGCCATTTAAGCACAGCTAGTTTCTCGTTCGGAAGGTCTCCGTCTAGCCCGATGTTGAAACACTGCTCGGTCTTCAAACCGATTATTTGGTTTGAGACTTTGGTCTGAACCAATTTGAGAAGCTCCGTTGTTGCACTTTGTTGAATCAACGGGATTCGATAAAAATGCATGACCTTATCAGCAACTTTCCTGCCCATCCGAGAGTCCTCGCTTACGGGATTGACTACATCCCTTGAGACCACTGCATTGATCTTCCCTATAGAATGAGGTCTGCATCCAATCTTTCCACGAGAAATTCTTATTGAAGGATTTTTTGTTGGTATTTTACCCCAGAGCAAACTGTTTGTTTGCCTTGACGAATGCCTAGGCAAAACTAGCTTTTGCCTATGGGATCCCTGTAAACACAAAAAATAGAGAGATTTAGCAATCAACTCCGCAAAATAAAAAACATATGATATTGAGAGAGGGTAAAAGAACATACTCGTAAGAACTCTGCTGCTGTAATTTCACAAGCAGCAGCCATTGCTCTGTCTTGTTAACACTCTCTGACAAACACAATGACTGCTCAGTAAAATAAAAAGAAGCCTATAGCGGCCGGAACGGTGTTAGTGAAACCGGAACGTAGACCACCGCGACAAAGTTCCGGCATATACCGGAATCTAAAAGAAACGATTTTTCCGCCGGAACGGCAATATATGCGGCTCACGCGCACCGCGGCGGTGATTTATCGGACGGGACAGACGGACTAGAATAGTCGAACGGGTTGTGGCGGTGTTCGTGGTGTAACTGTGCTCTTCGTGGCGGCGGAAATCGATTAGGGCTGGTGACGCAACAATTTTATATTAGTTCTGATTGCAAGAACACAAATGTGATTGGGATCACTTAAGTTTTCATATATTTCAATTTAGTCCCTGTATTTTATGATTTCTATTAAAATAAAGTGATATATTCAGAACTTATACTTTAACCCCTAAATTTGTAATTATTAATTAATGGTAATAAGAAACTTCGTAAATTAATATATATTTATAAAAAAGTTATAAAACGTATTTAACATAATCATTTGAAAAAATGATTGAATAAAAAATTATGATTTAAGTCAGGAATACACGATTGAATATGATTTAATTGCTTTCAATAATTCTTTTATAAGTCACAATGTTTGGTTTAATTTATGTTATAATTTTTGTATATTAGTAAGAATGTTTTTTTTAGGTTATGCTAGATTAAGAAATTATATTATGTGTTGAAATAATATAAATATGTAATTAATTTGGACAAATGAGGGGTTGATTGCTTGAATATTCATCCGCAATATATAAATAATATTATATTATAAATATTAAGCAATATTATATATGGAAAATAATAATTAAAATGCACGAATTTTGTGGATTCTAAATTGAAATGTCAAAATACATAATAAAATAATTAATAAATGTATTTGAAAATGGACGTTATTTGGTGGAATATGCATTGTTTGTTCGAAGAAAATAGAATTTCCATTAATGACGTAACTCAAAATGAATTATAGTATCGGACTACCTTGATGAAAGACGAGCAATTTCATATGCCAAACGATTCCCTTCCCTAAGGATACGATGAACCTTAACCACATCAAATTGAGGTTAAAATAGGAGATAACGTTTCTTGATTGTTGTATCTTCGTTTTGTATATTACATAGAATAGCTATTGAGAGCGTAAAGAATGCTGGACAAACATCGAATGTGTAAAGTTTCAAAATACTATGATTCGAGGGTGGAATCGAGCTTTCGAAGTTTGGAACATTGGGCCGCCGGCCGTGGCTGCGACGAATATTTATAATTAAAGATGTGTTAATTAGATTAAATGATTTGAAGTTGATGGATTTTTTAAAAGAATTGATGCTCCAAATATATAATTGTTTTTAAATTGTTAAAATAAACTTATAAAAAACTAATTCTTCAATTGAAATTTGATGATTTGAATTTTATATTATAATGAATTAATACAAATAAACCCAACATATTCATTATATAATATGCTAAATTCTGACACTCAAATATAACATGAGATTATCCAGTGGAAAATTCTTCAGATACCTTAATCAATAATTAAATATTGTTTGCATGATTAATGTATGACCAACGCAATAATATAACATTCTCATAATATATACAAATCAACCACGTACAAATACAACATTCTCATAATATATATATTATATATATTCAACTATTTGATTCTTTGCATGATTAATTAATTAATACAGACAAAATTAATTATTTAATTTGCAGACAATCAAAATTAATCAATACACACATGACATGATGAATAATTAATCGTTTTGCACCATTAGTTTATGTTTCAATCACAGAGCAACAAAAACCTATACACTGATCATATATATATATATATATATATATATATATATATATATATATATTAGAGAAGCCATCTACAATGCAAGGAATATAATTAATTAGTTAATTAAGAGCAGATATTAATGGATAATTAAGATTCTAACCTTGTTTTTTTCATGATTCCTAAACAACTTCCACAGATGAATACAAGTTATTAATGTAAGCATTTTTTTTCCGGCGTTAATACGGCGGAGGAGGAAGACGAGGCGGTGGAGCCCAAAACACATCATGCGCCGCCATTAGGCCACCGCCATTGATGGGTGGAAGCAAGTTTGGAGCTATATTATTATTATTATACAACGCCGCCGGCGAATGATGATTATCTGCCAAACCACCACGGCTGAGAGAGCCAGATGCATCGGCGGTTTCAGTAGTGTTTGCTCCTGACGATAAAGTCAACGGCGGCTTTGACTGCACTCCTTCTCCGGGCGCGGGATCTTCTTCCAGAGGCAGCCTCTCGTAAGCGGCGTTGGTAAACGTAGCGGCGATGACCATCACCGGACCAGATGCCACCAGTGCACCGACCACCGTTCCGCCGACTATCTGACCCTGGCCTCCGGCCAAATACACTGTCAGCCCACTAGCCCCCGTTGGCGACGGCGGAGGCAGGAATCCCCCAGATAAGGATAGTATCTCGAATCTTCCGTGGAGGTTGAGCACCCCACCTGGGGCAGCCGGCTGCCGGAGGGTCACGTTGCTCACGACCCCACTTCCGCTGAGGACGGAAACTCCGACGTGGCGGCGCTGGGCGAAGGTGGCGATGCTGTCGGAGATGTCGCTGCCGCTGCTGATTTCCAGTACGTGGCTGCGGAGGGAGTTGGGGCTGTCCTTGGTGATGACGATGGGCGGCTTGGACTTGTTCTTCGATCCGGCGGGCCGGCCCCTGGGGCGGCGGCCGGAGCCGCCGCCCGACGGCCCGGAGATCTCGATATCTCCGGTTGGGTTCTGGTGAGCTTCCTCGTAATTATCACCATCGTCAGGGTTCTGGTTAGGGTTACTCCCGCTGCTATTCGATAGGTTATGGTTCAAAGCAGCATTTTCATCCTCGGAGTTATTTCTCAGGTGGAGAGATGGGCCGCCGCCGCCGCCTGACGGAGACGACGACATCGGATTCATCACCACATTTCCTGCCCACCATCTGTTCGCCATAATGCTTTCTTCTTTTTTCCTTCTTCTTCTTCAACAATTAATAAACTATTCTCTTTAATCTCAAGAAAGAAGACGACAAACTACAATTCAAATATTCAAACCCTTCTTCGTCACTCTTTCCAAGATTCGTTGAACAAACAAAACCTTAAATAAATTACTCCAACTACACCGCAAGTTATAATTTAAATCTCCATTGCTGGATCTGTAATAAAAGCTTAGCCTTTTCTTACAGATAAATCTAAATTCTTATCTCCTTCGACTTTCTTATATATATAACCTAAAGTCAAGACCGATCTATGAATAAAACTGCAGAAAAAAGATTTATTAATTCAGACACACACAAACAACAACACTTTGGATAGGATAATAAAAAAAGAAGCAGAGATCTAAGCTTCATAAAAACATTTGAGCTGCCAAAAAATAATAAAATAGAAATAATTTATGAGCACAACTTTCAGTACCAGATTCAGTTGGTACGGGCTAGGGTTTTCGGGTCAGGTCCTTCATATATTCTCTCTCTCTCTCCTTTGGTGAGATCTTGACAGTGTTGGTAGTGGAAATAGTAATAATATAGTACTGTGAATTAGCAGAAAATACAGTTAAAAATATAGAGAGGAGAGAGAAACTAGAGTACATAAGGAGTGTACCTGGTTTTTTCCGGTTTGGATATTGATGAAGGAATCGGGTCGGGTCGGGTCGGGTGTAGGTAGGTGTTAGAGAATACAAGTGCAGTAAAGAGTAAAGGGTCCATAATAATTAATAAAGGAGAGATGAGCACGAGAGAAATTTAGGGTATGGGTTCGGGTGTGGGTGCGGGTTAGTGGGGCAACGTGCACACACGCGCTCCAGACAAAACCCGCCTGTCACCCTCGGGTAGGTATATCGGATGCCACCACGTCTGAACCCTCAATTCTTTCGCCGTGACTGTGTGTGTGTGTTGTGTTTTTCCTTGTTTTTTGGTTTTCTTTTTTGTCTGCTTGTGGTTGAATATTTTTTCAATTAGGGTGTACCTAATTAGTCAAATATTGGCCTAATTAAGTGAACCACTCAGTTTGATTTTAACTTCATTAATTAATATTTCATGGTAGGCTTCATAATTACTAAAATAGGATAAATGGTTTATTTCCTTAGGGTTGGTTACCTTCCATATGGAGAAATCAGAAGAAAAAAGGATGAAGAGATATATGAGTGAGGGGCGGGCACCGCCATAATCCACCAATCAGATTCCATGTCACTTCTTCCCTTCGCCCTAGGCAAGGGTAACTATCCCATAACTACGCATATTCTCACCCTTCTACCTAAATTGGGTGATGGGACTGAAATTTTATGCAAACTAACGTGATTTGCCACTAATTAATTACTTGCCAATAATATATAAATTAAGGGGAATGATGTGCTACGGTCCCACGACACGTGTTTGCATCGTACTTATTGATCCCTCTTGTGGGCACTACTTGCATCACAAAATGTTATTAGGGCATTGGGATTGATCCCGATAAAAGCCCTCTAACGTTCAAATCAATTTTGTATAATAGAAGAATTCAAGAGACTTCTCGGGAGTTATAAATTGCATACTTTTGGTTGTGAGCTTTTCGTGTTAATATGAGACATATATTCTCAGAGTCCTAAGTAGAGCTGGGATTGGATTGAGTCGATCGATTACCAGCCTAAAAACGACCCATCCGAGAAATCAATTTTGCTCAAATTTGAAAATCGTTGCGATCCAACCTTTGTGATCGGTTGATGGTTGGTTCACTTTAAAAAAAAAATTATTTTTTTGAGTAAACAATATGCACATTCTGCACAATGTCATTGGGTGATCATCATTTACCACTTTAAAATAATTAATAACAATTTGATAAAAAACATAACTAAAAAATGTAAAGTAATTAAGAAAATACACCCTTTATTTTATAATTTTTAATAAACTTTTAATAATATAGTTGGTTGACCAACTTTTGATAATTTTAGAAACCATCATCCGATTCATTATAGATGTGTTGGTTGAAATTTTCGACCTGATCTAATGGGTCGATTAAAAAATTATTATCCACCTAAAAATATGCTCAGTCATTGATCAGTTGGTAGGTAAAAACCAACACAGTCCTAGCCCTAGTGTTAAGCCACTTAACATAGGTCGACTTGGGCCTAACTATTTAGTTTAGATCCTGTCATTTTGGACCTTAATCAACTTAGACCTGTATTATTATGTTTAGTCAATTTGAACTTGATTCGTGAATCTCTATGGGCATGTCGATATGGGCTTTGAGTATGGTCCATCAATGTATAATCGTAAATAACATTTAGTAAATTTTGTCGAAACATTACACGTGTCATTTTATTCAACTGTTTTTTTTTATTAGATAAACAAATAATACTTTATTAAGTTTTTAAAATAAAATTAATTCCACGTGGATTAATCAAATCAACGAGTAGGCCACCCTTTTGCGGCAAATTATACTCTCAGCATTATCCAAACAAACACGAGCAGCAACAGTAGTTCATCAATGGCGGCTCTCAACGTTTGCTTCTGTTCCAAACTCCCTCCATTTTCGAGCCCAACTAAACCCCTCCCTCTCCGACGAAATTCTCCCTCTCAATTCGAAACCGTCGCCCCTTCTTCCCTCCTACGCTATTCTGCGCCGCAGGTACAATTCTACGTGAATGATTTCTGTATTTTTCTCGAATATAACATGCGTTCTTTTACAGGGTGCTCAAATTCGGAGCAGTTTATCTTCATTATGTGAATCGATCTCGAAAGCAAGCGTTCTAGCACTGTTATCTGCTTCAATCGTCTTTGCTTCAGATCCCGCTCTTGCTTTTAAGGTAATTTTGATAGTGTTTTTTCTCTCTCTTTTGCCCTAATTGCTTTTTGTTAATGTCGATTGATCTATGTTTTGGGGGAAAATCGAAATCAAAAGGGAGGAGGACCCTATGGTGCTGGAGTGACCAGGGGGCAGGATCTCACTGGGAAGGATTTCAGTGGCAAAACTTTAATCAAGCAAGATTTCAAGACGGTATTGAATTTTTCGTTTTGATTTTTTCGCAATCATTTGTTTATTTGTCTGTCTGATTCATGATTAGGTTAATTCTGTTCTAAGGTATGCTTTTGTTAAATAGTTGGTTATTCAGATTATCCCAACTGTGGTTCAATGTGAATTTTGGATGTTTGTTCTACGGTAGATGCGAGTCTTGTGTCTATTGAGCTCAGCTTTTGCATTTTCTTGACTATGAAGTTTTGTCGTCATAATTTTATCTTCAGTCGATACTAAGGCAAGCGAATTTCAAAGGTGCCAAGTTATTAGGGGCCAGCTTCTTCGATGCTGATTTAACAGGTACTTCACTTAATCACATTCATCGACTTTCTTTTCACTTTAATCCATGCTTACCTTTGAAATTTGAGTCGCCGTAAGTCTAACAGTATCGTGGATACAAGATTTTAGGATGGAATATTTCGACATGAATTATTGAACACGGCCTTGCTAAATATTCGTCTTCTTGTCTTAGACTTTTCAGACTTTGTACAAATTGGAAGGAGTACTGAACTTCATAATCCCGTAAACATTTAAAGATGTTTTATTCGATGATAGATTAGAAAAAAATAGTTGTGTAGTTTGGCCAATTCTTAGTTAACCAGCAGCAGGGGTTGGATTCTTTTCTCCATGGATTTGTAGCTCGAATCATGTGGAATATCCGAATTATGGTTTTATGATCTTTTGGACTTTATTATGCACAATTTAGCCTTATGATTTACCGTTAATGTTTCAAAAATGATTATACTGTCATATCTTTATCTTAGACAAGCTCAGTCGAAACTGAAATTTTAGAATGGTGTTCTGTTTGTAGCAAAAAAGATATATGTTTGATTTGTTTTTTATTTATGTTTTCAATTTTGTTCATCTTTGAATTTATTTATTTTTCGTGTTTCAGGAGCCGATCTTTCTGATACTGATCTTAGAGGTGCAGATTTCTCTCTGGCAAATGTAACAAAGGTGCTAATGCCCTTAACTTGCTAATAATATTCATACTTCTATATCCGAAGTTTTTGACATTGACCTGTGTTTTCAATACTGTTAGTAAGTCGTATATCTATATTCTAAATTTCCGATAACAGAATCCCTTTCTCAGTTTGCTAGTTACAAGAAAACTAGAGATACTCGTGAAATATTTCTTGAATTTTTTTTTAATTTTTTTTTAAATTCACGAAAACTGTCTTCCCTGGAGGTGTGATAATGATCCATAAACACCATTAAGGAACATGTTATAGTGTTTTTCATTTCTTTAGTGCTGTTGGTATCAATGCCGATCTTTTCTTGCATATTGTTTTCCCGTTAAACCCCAAATTTTGTTCCGTTTTATGACCCCCTTTCTGGTAATAGGTTAATTTGAGCAATGCCAACCTCGAAGGAGCACTTGCAACAGGCAATACATCTTTCAAGGGTTCAATTATCACAGGTGCAGGTATGTATGCGAGACCAACAAATACGTACAATATAAAGCTATAAACATAAAAGCTTCTTAGATTTGAATTACGATGAATTCAATGATATCTTCATTCTTGCTTTACATGAATTTTGACTCTTAAGAAGAAAAAAAAAACGAATAATTTCTACAATATAAACATATAAAAACTTGTTAGATAGGCATTATTAGTAAGCAGAAGAAACAAATTGGGATAGAAAGAAATCTTTCTTTACGTAATATGTTTATGCTCTGTTTGCCAGACTTCACAGACGTGCCGTTGAGAGATGACCAACGGGTGTACCTCTGTAAAGTTGCCGATGGGTAATTATTATATCTGAATTTACATTATTTTCCACAGTCGCGTTTTTCTTTGAGCTTTTGTCTAAAATCATTTCTTCATATTTTAACAGGGTGAACCCAGTAACAGGTAATGAAACAAGAGAGACATTGCTTTGTAAGTAACATTTAACACATCGTTTTGGAGGTAAAATTCGAATGAAGAAACCGTGACATGGGCTTTTCTGCCAGTAAATTTTCTGTATAGGTTAAAGTTTGATCTTTAAAAAAGCTTTTGGAATTATTTTTTCGGACATTGTTTTTCGACATTCGAAATATATTATATATACATGTTTCAATAAAATAAAAATCCAATTATATAATATATATATAATATATATATATGGGTTTTGAGTTTTACAAAAACCCATTGGTTCACCAACAGATAATTGTAGCTAGGGGAATATCTAATCAAGAAGTATTACTTGTAATAATTGTTTGATTGCAACAATAGAAACAGACATGTCAATGCCTCCCTGCCATGTGGAAACTGAAGAATCATTCATTAATTTAAATAATATATAATGGTACGTAATTAATTAACTCTGGGACTACTGTCACATACATACATACATAGTAGTATATACTCTGAACATTGCTATTTGTTACTTGCTGGTTGCTCTGTTGTTTCAAATAAAATCAACCCCTTTAATCCCTTGTTCATTTAATGATTTTTTCTTACACTACATCTAATTAATTAATTTTAAAAAAAAGGCTGTCACATTTACTTTCTTGGACCATTATATACATTCTTGATATATCTTAATTTCCAGTACATGAAATCTATTATGGGTATTAGCTGCAGTCTGGAATATTAAAATGGTTGGTAACATTAAATTGTTACTAATTATGTCTATTCAATTGCCATGTTACATCACAATATATATATCCCCATTTAATAAATTAAACAGATATATATATATATATAATAGCACTGCTGTGGATTCTGCAATAACCTTCTGTACCAAGTCCCAACTGTATAACATGAAAACTTCAAATTAATTGTTGCATGCTACAGTTGTTGTACCTATGGTTTCACAAGTTAGAGAGAGAGAGAGAGAGAGAGAGAGAGCTATTTAATTTGTATTATAATTAGAATTTGAATATTTTGGTTAAGAAAATATGATCGATATGGATAATTAAATAACAGTTTTAAGTTGACACATGAAAACAAGTGGGAATTAATTAAATAAATAAACAAAGAAACAGCATATGTAATTAGAACATGAACTGAGTAAACCATAATTAATTAGCAACTACTAATTAATAACTAAAGCATCCATAATATAATATTATTCTAATAATATAATTAATTATCAACCATGAATGTGAAAACCCAACCCTAATCTGAGCTCAAGATCTATCTCAGTTGATGAAGACACGAGTACTTTACTGTGATAGAACAGCGGCGCCGCCGCCATTAACGGACTTTTTTTATGTCTCTTACAGACCACTGCAGCTGATAACGAATCACGTTTTTCCACCGACTTTTCGCCATCTGCACGCTTCTTATAAAAATTGTGTTTTTGGTGGTGGTGGTGAAGAATTCCAGCAGTTTCACCAGCAGCCGCCTGTGGCGGCGGCGGAGGAGGAGGAGAGGGTTGGTGCTTGAGCCTCTGCCTGGCCCTATCACGGCGGTGGACGTTCATGTGGCCGCCGAGAGCTTGTGCCGACCGGAACTCTCTTCTGCAGAAGCTGCAACTGTACGATCTTGGCGGCCATGCGAATCTTCTGAAGGCCGCCTCTTCTTCAAACACACCTCCGTCTACTTCCGATATTGATAATGAATCATTATTCATCGGAGATGGAAATGGAAATAATTTCCGATGAATGTGTTTGCTATTGTTGTTCATCCACATCATATATCAGAAGAGAAAGCTAGGCCGGAAATAATACAAGTGTGTGTGTGTGTGTGTGTGTTTTAGATGGATTTATATGGAGATGGAAGAAGGGTACGGTGTATATATGAATGCATGAAAGGTACTACTAAAGAATATATATATATATATATATATATATATACGTACAATATGAGATTTTGATTGAAAAAGGTTTAATTTGTTGGTAGTTTTGCAGTTGTGCTTCTTTCCATTTGGCCCTTTCCTTTCCCTACTTACTCTCTTGGATTTACCTTCTTTTCCTATGTACAACTTTATGAGTTTATATGTGTGTGTGTGTGTGTGTTTTATAGTGGACATTTATTTATAAACCCTAGCTAATTTCTTCTAAAATAATACATTATATTAAACAAGTATGGATATGTTATCTATATTTGTAATGAGACATCAATACTGACCTTTTTACACAACTATATGTAAAGTCATTATGATTAGTTAGTTGAGTGTGAATTAAGCTAATTAATTAATTTTAAAGACTTTATCCAATTTTCAACAAGTTCTATTTAAAATTAAAATTGTTTCCCAAACTTCCAAAGAAGTTAAGGTTGCATTTGGAATGCTGGAGATATTTCAAATCCCTCTTAACTTAATCCTCATTTATTTGAAGTTCAGTTTTCTATGTTACGTTTCTCGTCCAGAAAATCACCAGTGGTGACCCCAATAGTTCACACAAATTAAAAGCACCAACAACTCGATCTTGACCAACTCTCTCATCAAATATATACCCACCATCTCGCACAGTTTAAAACCTTTAATTTCCCACACTTAGAAGTGGATCTCACTCGCTCAGCGAAGAACAAAAATCTGAAAACTAAATTAAAATTCAAATTGCATGTGTATTTCTCTCTCTCTCTCTCTCTCTCTCTCTCTCTCTCTCTCTCTCTCTCTCTCTCTCTCTCTCTCTCTCTCTCTCTCTCTCTCTCTCTCAAACTCACATGACATATAGATGTGCCCAAAATTCAACATGTACTTGTACAAAATTGAGCAACTTGAAGTAAATAATCTTTTAAACCAATTCAAATTTGTCGACGTACTATTTTTTCACGTAGGTATATTTAATTCCAAGGTGAGCAAATGAATGTGGCCAGGCAATCAACTAATTTATTCAGCGTAGTATAGATGTTTCCATTTGCAGCGCAATTATCCTTATTAAAATTGCATTATATTTTAGGGCTCTTTGACATAACCCTCCATTACTTTTTTTAATGGGGATATGCTCAAAATATCTTAGACAATTTGAGAAAAGCCCATATTCCAATTTCAGTCATTATTAATTCCAGCTTTACCCCCGCCCGCCACCTCATCACTGGGTCACGCGCTCTGCGAATTCTTTTTTTTCCGTTTTTTAATCGACTATGAAGCATAGTCGATTAGTCTTAAATCGACTGTGCTTCATAGTCGATTAAGGAAATTCTTTATTTTAAAAAAAAAATTGTTCTTTAATTTATTTTTTTATATCAGGTTTATTAATTGACTATGATGAAGCATAGTCGATCAAAAGTTTGCTACTAAAAATAACAAATCAAAACTGCAAAAAAATGCAAAATCAACTATATTTTACAAAAAAACAAAAATATAAGAACATTATAATTGATTTATACAATTGGAATCAATAAACAAAAAAACCAAAAAAAAAAAAACGATTGGAGTCGATCAACCTTAATCGATACCAGCGCATAGTCGATTAAGAATCTGCTACTAAAAATAACAAATCATAACTACGAAAAAATGCAAAATCACCTATATATTACAAAAACAAAAAATATACAAACATTATAATTGATTTATACAATTGGAGTCAATAAACGAAAAATCCAAAAAAAAAGAAAAAAGAAAATTGGAGTCGATCAACCTTAATTAATCGACTACCAGAACATAGTCGATTAGCTTAATCGACTACGAATATGTACATAGTCGATTAAGGTTTCAGCCTGCGCGAAATTCTCTACACGCGCCGTTCTCTGTTCGATCCACAAAAAAACTCAAAATCAGTCTCCCCATCGTCACCACACCGCCGGACTTGGTGGGAGTTTTCTTTTCCCCTCGGCTGAAAATATAAATGCGATAATTACAGTAATGAAGAGAGAAAGGATAGCATATATCCATATTTGTTTATGAATTACTTCACACCCAAGTTCTGGTCAAACTCTGTTGGAAATCTGCTGCAAAAAATCGAATAATAATTCGTCGAATAGGCAAGGTGAGGCGCGGACTAGGTCGCTCTCTTAAGACGAATTTCACGATCCCTTCTCGAAGAGGTGCAGAAAGGTCTCAATCGTGTCGCCTATGGGATACAACAGCCCAGCCTATTTCGTTGCTGTAGCTTCACAAGAAACTGCACTTTCGAGCGAAGCAGAAGCTTGCACCCGACACTTACAAGAACTCAAAATGCTTTAGAAAGAAAAAATATATATTATATTATTGCTGTTTTTCGTGTCTGCCAATGAAGCAAATGGTGGCTCCTTTTTATAGTTGAAAATTTGATGGTGTAATGATGAGAGAATTAATAAGAATAAATTTGTTTGACTTTGGGATTTGAATTTTGAAAAGGAGCTGATTATTCTAACTTATAAAAACGCATAGGAGAATTAAAAAGGCAAATTTGTAACTCATGAAAACGCCTAGGAGAATAGCAGACAGAAATCAATTTTTGGTCAAATCAATTGAAAATCATTTTTTCGTTTCTGACAATCTGTCATTCTTTAATTACATATACATATATAATCTCAAATTATATATATATATTTATATATAGATACATATATTTTATAAAATACTCCAACAATCCCCCACTTATTTTATAAAAAATTTAAAATAATTTCTAAAGTTTTGAGCTCTTGAAAGAACATTATGCATAATGAAAGTGTGCAATGCCTTCAAACTTTCACTTAGTATAATACGTTTCTCGTACTAGAATCAAAGTGGACTTAGCCTTCAAACAGTGACCCTTGGGACACGTAGAAACGTATTACACACATAATACTCAAGTGTCCCGAATAAGCTTCTTAAAGCCGGCACATTAACGGCCTTGTGCCTTACCCCATCTTTAGTGAGTGCTCTAGAGAACAACCTATAATTCTCATAGAAAGCGGCCCCACTTTCACACTCACATAGGTGAATTCTATCAAGGATGTTTACGTAACTCCAACACCCCACCCGTCCGGACTATAGAATTCATTAAGAGATCTAAGTCTCATCCTCACAATTCGTTACGAGCTTTATTAGTGCACACGCATCATAGGGTTGGATAATAAAAGTGTGCACTTTTATCACAATCAAGTTGCTTTCAGATTCGTTTTTCTTCGCCTAGTTCTTAGGATCTCTAGTCCCTAGGCGGTAGTATCCTCATCAACAACTTTTACAATTATTTAGGCTTTAGTCCAATCCCCCTCGATGCCATTAAGACTTTCTCTCTAGCTAGAGATTTTGTGAACGGATCCGCAAGATTATCGCATGATTTTACAAATTCAATGGTCACAGCACCATTGTTCACATATGACCTTACAGTGCTATGTTTTCTTCTAATGGTTCTTGATTTACCATTGTAGAATTTATTTTGCACTCGGCCAATTGCAGCTTTGCTATCACAATTTAGCAAGACAGGAGGCATTGGTTTTTCCCACATTGGAATTTCATATAATAAGTCTCGCAACCAACTTGCCTCTTCACTGGCTGAGGCTAGTGCAATCAACTCGGCCTCCATAGTGGATTTAGCAATAATATGTTGCTTTTTAGAGCGCCAACATATAGCTCCTCCACCTAATGTAAACACGTAGCCAGTGGTCGAAAATGAGTTATCAGACTCAGTATTCCAATCAGCATCACTGAAACCCTCAACGGTAGCAGGATGTGATTTATAAAATATTCCGTAGTTCATGGTTCTCTTAAGATAACCCATGACTCTTCTCAAAGCTTCCCAATGTTCAGAATTAGGTCTATGTGTGAATTGACTCAACACCCCAACAGCATAAGCAATATCGGGCCTTGTACAATCAGTTGCATATCTAAGGCTACCAATGATACTTGCATATAATTTTTGATCTACCACATCATTATCACTTAAAGTAGGACGTAATTTAACAACATTATTAAAGGGAGTGCACATAGGATTGCAATCAAAATAATTATATTTTTTCAAGATTTTTTCAACATAGTGACATTGATCAAGACATATACCTTCCTTTACTCTAGTTATTTTCATGCCAAGTATCACATTTGCTTCGCCCATATCTTTCATATCAAAATTATTTTTAAGTAAAGCTTTAGCAAAATTCACAATTTCTATATTAGAGCCAAAGATTAGCAAATCATCAACATATAAACATATAATAACATGCAATTTTTCTCTAGACATATAATAAATGCATTTATCACTCTCATTGGATTTAAAACCATTATTAAGCATGCAATGATCAAATTTCTCATGCCATTGTTTAGGAGCTTGTTTTAGGCCATATAATGATTTAATCAATTTGCATACTTTTTTCTCATGACCAAGTTGAATAAACCCTTCAGGTTGTTCCATATATAATTCTTCTTCTAAATCACCATGTAAAAATGCAGTTTTAACATCCATTTGATGAATAATTAAATTATGAATAGATGCAACAGCAATTAACATTCTTATGGATGTAATTCTAGTCACAGGAGAAAAAGTATCAAAGAAATCTATATCACCTTTTTGTTTAAAACCTTTAGCAACTAATCTCGCTTTATATTTATCAATAGAACCGTCGGGATTAAGCTTCTTTTTAAGAATCCATTTACAACCTATCGCATTGCAACCGGTAGGTAAGTCAACTAATTTCCAAGTCCCATTAGTAATTAGAGAATCCATTTCATTATTAATGGCTTCCCTCCATAGATCAGAATCAGGGGATGATAGAGCTTCATTAAGGGTCATAGGATCATTTTCTACGTTATAAACTAAATAATCAGGACCAAAGTCTCTCTCAATTCTAGATCTCTTACTTCTTCTAGGTTCAATTTCAACACTAGGTTCTTCTAAGTTCTCATTTGTTATAATGATCCTAGAAGAACTAGGTTCTTCTATAGACTTGTTATTACCCCCACTATTTCTCAATTTATAGGGAAACTTATCTTCATGAAATATAGCATCTAAAGACTCAATCACAACATTATTTTCTAAGTCAAGAAATCTATACGCTTTACTAGAATCAGCATAACCAAGAAAAACACATTTATAAGCTTTAATTCCTAATTTAGGAATTTTAGGATCGGAAATTCTCACATAAGCAAGACAACCCCAAATTTTAAAATAACTCACATTTGGTTTTCGATTTTGCCATAATTCAAAAGGAGTAATTAAATCATGTTTTCTAGGTACTCGATTTAAAACATAATTAGCAGTTAAAACGGCTTCACCCCACAAATAATTAGGAGCATTTGAACTAGCGAGCATAGCATTAGTCAAATTAATCAAAGATCTATTTTTTCTTTCAGCTACTCCATTTGATTGAGGGGAATAAGGAGCGGTGACTTGATGTACGATCCCTAAAGATTCAATATGAGATCTAAGTCCAAGTGAATCATACTCTTTACCTCTATCCGTTCGAAAACATTTGATTTTTCTTTCAAAACGATTTTCCACTTCTTTAATAAAAATCACAAGTTTTTCAAAAGCATCACTTTTATTTTTCAAAAGATAAACATAACAATATTTTGAAAAATGATCAATAAAAGTAATAAAATATCTTTTTCCACCTCGAGTTAAAATACCTTCAAATTCACAAATATCAGAATGAATTAATTCTAATAATTCATAGTGCCTTTCAACTTTAACATGAGGTTGTTTAGTGATTTTAGTCATACTACAATATTCACATTTTTCAAATTCATTTTGTAGGTTAGGTATAAGACCTACTTTACTCATGTTTTTCACATATTTACTATTAAGATGACAAAGACGAGTATGTCTCATTATTAACCCAAGAAGCAACATAAGCAGAAACATCATTTATTTCAACATTAAGTTTAAACATGCCATCACAAGCATAGCCTTTACCAACAAAGGCACCACCTTTAGAAAGTACAAATTGATCAGCCTCTATGACTTGTTTGAAACCAGCCTTGTTAAGCATAAAACCAGAAACTAGATTTTTTCTAATAGCAGGGACATGAAGAACATCCTTCAGAATAACCACACGGCCCGAAGTAAACTTCAAGTGGACGTCGCCCATGCCCATCACACTCACAGTGTGTGAATCACCAAGCAGCACCTTGCTATCCTCGGAAGAGGTATAGGTTTTGAACAAGGTTTTGTCGTGACTCACGTGCCTCGATGCACCAGTATCTAACCACCACCCATCATTATTTTCAAGCATGTTGATTTCGGTGACCATCGCCACTAATGGCTCTTCAACAGCTTGAGTTACATTTGCCTGTGGAGCACCGGTTTTTCGATAGTTACAGTCTTTTGCCTTGTGACCCGGTTTTCCACAGACAAAGCAACCATTAAGTGCATAACCATTGTTTCTCGGTGGTGGCCGATTATAAGATGGAGCATGGTAACCTTTGTTTGGGCCATAGTGTGAATTCTGACTAGGATACTTGTTAGGTGCAAATTTATTATTTCCATTTGACTTCATAAATCTACCTTTAGGTTTAAGGTGAGCATAATTCTTTTTAGGTCCATTATTTGCAGAAACTAAATGTACCTTTTCGTGATAACTTCCTTTGTCTTGTTTCCTTGCTTCTTCCTCGATTCGCAGCCGTGCCATGAGATTGACCAACTTCAACTCGCTTTGTTTGTGTAAGAGCGTCTTTTGGAATTCCTTCCACGATTCCGGTAGCTTGTCGATTATGGCGGCGACTTGCATTTGTTCGTCGATCTTGATGCCCTCCGTTTCGATGTCGTGGACAATCATTTGGAGATCATGGATTTGATCGAGCACCGGTTTCTCTTCCACCATGCGAAAGTTGAAATATCGGCTACATGCGTACTTCTTAGTGCCAGCTTCTTCGGAGTCGTACTTGTCTTCCAAGGCTGCCCAAATTTTTCTCGCGGATGAGTAGGAGTTAGAGTAGAAATCATACAACTCGTCAGAAAGACAGTTGAGTATATAATTTCTACAATCTTCCTCGTCGTTGGCCCATTTTTTGAGCAATGTGTCGTGATCCCGCTTTTGTTGTTCGTCAAACGCAGCAGCGTCTATGTGATTGGGATTGTCATCGGTAATAATCCACGCCACCTTCATGAGTTTCAAATAGAACAACACCTTCTTAGCCCATCGTCGAAAGAACTGCCCATTGAAGCGGAATGGTCGGTTGAGCTCGTTTGTTCCGGTAGGGGCAGCAGAAGTTGTAACAGCAGCAGGCCTCTCCATTGGGAATAAGAGAATTCGTCTTAAATTGTTGGAAATCTGCTGCAAAAAATCGAATAATAATTCGTCGAATAGGCAAGGTGAGGCGCGGACTAGGTCGCTCTCTTAAGACGAATTTCACGATCCCTTCTCGAAGAGGTGCAGAAAGGTCTCAATCGTGTCGCCTATGGGATACAACAGCCCAGCCTATTTCGTTGCTGTAGCTTCACAAGAAACTGCACTTTCGAGCGAAGCAGAAGCTTGCACCCGACACTTACAAGAACTCAAAATGCTTTAGAAAGAAAAAATATATATTATATTATTGCTGTTTTTCGTGTCTGCCAATGAAGCAAATGGTGGCTCCTTTTTATAGTTGAAAATTTGATGGTGTAATGATGAGAGAATTAATAAGAATAAATTTGTTTGACTTTGGGATTTGAATTTTGAAAAGGAGCTGATTATTCTAACTTATAAAAACGCATAGGAGAATTAAAAAGGCAAATTTGTAACTCATGAAAACGCCTAGGAGAATAGCAGACAGAAATCAATTTTTGGTCAAATCAATTGAAAATCATTTTTTCGTTTCTGACAATCTGTCATTCTTTAATTACATATACATATATAATCTCAAATTATATATATATATATATTTATATATAGATACATATATTTTATAAAATACTCCAACAAACTCAAAACTCTTCTTCTCCACCATCTTCAGAAACCGCAAGCTCTGCTACTTCAACACCTGAGTGAGTAATGGTGATCGACCTCGCCAAGTGGAGGAGCCTCGAGTACTGGATGAGCATCCAGAAGAGATACAGGATCTACGAGCTGGGATCTCTGCCGCCGTTTCTGCTCGTCTTCGCCGGAAACGTGGAAGCTGTGGAACGACGAGGGGACGGTGGTGGTCGGTGAGGATTTGGCGGTGGTAACGGTGGACGGCGGGGGAGAGGCAGTGGCGGTGGTGAAAGGCAGGTGAATTTGGGAAAGAGAAATTAGGGTTTCAAAATAGTATATTGACAATTAAGGGTAGATTTGAAATTATAAAAATAATATTTGATGGAATACTAACCAAGGGGGTTTTCTCAAATTATTTTTGGAAGAGGGGTTTTCTTAACTACATTTACTAGATGAGGGGTCTTGCTAATAATCCCTATATTTTAATATTATCTATTTATTTATTGGGATTATTTCACAAACACCCCTCATATGCAATGTCCAATTAAGAGAGGTCCAAATTTTTTTTCCCATTTTAAGATAAATCCAAAATATTATTTAATTAATTATAAATAATTTAATTCACTATTAATCATCAAAAAAAAAAAAAAATTCACTATTATACCCTTTACCTAACCCTATAACTCACGTTATTATTATTTTCTTTTTTTCCTCAGATTTTTTTCTCTCTCTCTCTTCTTTCCATAGCCGCCCTCTTCCTCCACGTTAATTGCGATCTCTTCTCCAAATCTCGGCCCTCTTCACCGAGGGTGAGAAATCCCGCTCCACCGCCTCCCCATCATCACCGCATCTGCCTGCCTCCTCGTCATCCACCACATCAGTCGTCGCCGCTCGTTCATCTTCGTAGTTCCCCGACGGAATCCGGCCGCTTTTCTCCCACTTCGATTTGCAGATGCCTGTAATAAAATCCGGCAGAAAAGGTTAGAATTTAGATTTAATATATATTTTAATTTTTAATCCCAAAAATGAGTCCCTTATGAATTTGGGCAGGGCTTGACGTCATCCGACGGGTCTACACATTCTGAGGCCCAATTCTCTATCCGATGGTATTTGATGGAGGTGCAGAGCACGCGCCACGTAGCACGTGATATCTTTATCGAAAAACTTTATGCCCAACCATGCTTTCTCTTTCATCTTTATCAACAGTTGTACAGCTGATTCATTCCTCATGTTTGCTTCCACCATAACCTGGTGGATAATTAAGACTCTTCCTGATTTACAGTTCTAGTGTTTCTGTTATTTACAGTATATAATCCCAAAAATGAGTTCCTCTCTTTACACATTCACATATGCTAGTGATGTTGACGTTGATAATCATAAATCTATTTCAATTTTTATAATGATTTTCTTGACGAAATTGTTGATGGGAGAAAGAAGATGATGATTTTTTCCAAATAGTGGTTTACGTTTCAAATAACGAGAAAAAGAGAAAAGATGATTACACGGACTATGCTCTAGGGTTCATTGGAGAGAAGATGGTGTCCTTTATAGTGGTTTTATATTTTCTTTTTCGCAGATTTTTTGATGTTTTCTTGTTATAATTCATAGTAATTTTCGATGTTTATATAGTTGTGTATATAAAGTGGTTTTCATGTTTATATAGATGTTTTATATAGATTGGTTTCCATGTTTATATAGCTGTTTATACGGAGTGGTTTTCATAATGTCAGGCTTTGTTATTGATAAATATATAGTGGTTTTCAACAATTTTATAGTGGTTATATAACTGTATATACAGAGTGGTTTTTATGTTGGCATAGTTGTTACACATAGTGGTTTTCAAGTTTACATAGTCGTTTTACAGAGTGGTTTTCATGTTATATAGTTGTTATACATAGTGGTTTTCATGTTTATATAATTGTTTATACATAGTGGTTTTCATATTTATATAGAGTGGTTTTTATTTAAAAAATCTGGAAAGCAAAAAAAAAACCATTAAAAAAAATTGAAATTAAGAAAAAAGAAAAACCATGAAAAAACGAAAATAAAAATAAAACCATTTTTTAAATTAAAATAAAAAACATGAAAATTTATAAATAAAAAAAATAAATGAAAATAAAAAACCGAAAATAAAAAAGATAATTACAAAATTTTTTTAAATCGAAATAAAGAAAACCATTAAACAAAATAAAAAAGAAAAGGAAAGTGGGCCTCCCTGCCACGTCCCTCGGTCACGTACGAGATATCTTCAACGTTCGCCATCGTTGAGAATTCGATCAACACAAAGCCCTTAGCCGGGCTCTGATACCACTTGTCACGGACTTGTTCCCTTAACAAAGAACCGTGCGGCCTTAGCTCCTTCTCGCCCCTCGCGATAGCTAAGTCAGCCTCTCCCGAATTGTGTTGCTCGAATGCTTAAGTGATGGAAACGAAGAAAGAAAGTAGTAGACAAGAGAGTTGGTAGGAAAAGTACTTTATTGCTTGAATACTTGTTGGTGAATGATTACAAATGAGGTCCCTACCTCTATTTATACAAGACCACCTCCTCAATGGACGGTGGAGATCGATATGATCTAACGGATGGGAGTGGAGCAATCCCTTGATTGTCTCTACCTACCACCACCTACCCTACCTACCAAAAATAGCTCTACCTACCACTATACAATTGGGCCAACTTGGGCCTAACCCTACTTGGGCTACAACTTGGACTCTTTGTAACCTCCCCAACCCAAGGGAAATCGGCAAGGGGTTGGGTCAAAACTAGCGGGCCGTGACAGGGGGCATATATGGTTTTTTAGGCCCATTGGATTTATCTCAAATATCATTTATAGAAAAAGGATTTATTAAGAATTAAAATCCCAATGAAGGGTGTTTGGCATATTGCCCCTTATTTATTTTGTTAACTTAGTGAATGTCTCAGAATCTTTCCTCCAATATCGAGCCCCCCCAAAAGTCAAATAACGCAGCCCCCCCTCTCTCTTCAATTTTTATTTTATATTAATATATTTATTATTTACTACTAATTAATTAATGTACATGATGGAATTGAGGAAATGGCCAAATAACCGGGAATAAATTATTTATTTATTTTACTTGACTATGTAATATAAAAATGAATAAAATAAATAAATATATTTACTGATATTCTTATTAGTACATACATATTAAATTTTGGGGCTGTTCGGCAGTTCAATTAACTTCAGAGAATATGCTGCAGCCAAACAATACAAGACATCATGTATATATATATATATATATATATATAGGTATATATATATATATATATATATGGGGTATATATATAAAAAAATATTATTTATTTGTAAATGTTTACTATATAATTTAACAACGTAACACACACCAGCTCTACGTTAGTTTGTATCGTTATGAGTTTGGAATCGAAATGTTTACACATAATCAAATTACAAGAATCTTTTTTTTTTCAATGTATTTCCATGACTTGAACAATTAATTCCGAGATACACTAATTTAAAGAAGGGTGAAATGAATAAAATAAATAAATATATTTACTGATATTATTATTAATTTGGGGTATTGGGGTCTTTAAATTAGAATACCCTAACATGTTTCAACTAAATGGACTATTTCACGTTTGAATCCACTTCCTTTCTTAACAAACTCATTTGACCCATTAAGGAAAAAAGAAAATCATTCTCTTGCTACCTAAAAGTAGATATGAAAGGATGTATAATAATAAATTCAGCATTAAAGTAATAATTTTTTTTAATTTTTTCAAAGGAAATATTTACAATTGATTTTAATTTATATTTTCTTTTACATTATTTTAATTAATTCAGTATAGTTATTTTTTAAAATAAAAAATCAAATAGATACAATCATTCTTTTTTTCTAATGAAGGAACCCGCAGCCAACCATACAGGTGCACTGGGTAAACCTACCTTCTTGCAAACCATAATTAGGCAGATTCGAATCAATTAATTGAATGACACGTGTAGTGTTTAATAGAAAGGGGTAATATGCCTCACACCCCTCAAACCAAACTTAATTAGATATGAGTGACAAACTCAAATAGAATATTTTAACTACATCCTTATTTTAAAATAAAAGTTGATACACATCATTTGATTTTTATTTAACTAAAAAATACCCTTACAATACCTAATAAAATTCACGTGTCTCTTTTTTTTCTTATTTCTTTCTCTCTCTTTCTTCCCCCCTCTCTTTCTCACGCTGCTCGATCTCAACATATTCTCTCTCTCTCTCTCTCTCTCTCTCTCTCTCTCTCTCTCTCTCTCTCATGATATCTCTCTCTCACACCCCCCCCTCCCTTCCTCCTTTTTTTTTTCTTTTTAATTATAGTGAAATGATTATGGCTATGATGGTGGTTATGGTAGATGGCGGCGGCTATGATGGCGGCGGTTATAGTAGACGACGACGGCTATGGTGACGCTCGGTGTAGGGATTGCATCTAGAGGTTATGTGATGGCAGGCTCGTTGTTTGCTTGCAACCAACAAGGATGAGTAGTGAAGGTAGGTCTGGGAGTGGGGGGATGGAGAGGGGGAGTAGTGGCGGCGGATCGGATTTAGGGTTTGGTGGGGATAATTTAAGATTTTCCGATTTAAATGTCTATAGATGTCTATGAGTGTCTATGGGTGTCTATGGTGTCTGACGGCTAGAGTTGAAAGGAGTTAGGGTTTCAAGATGTCTATGGATTGCTACGGATTACTACGGTTTCTATAGATGTCTACGGCAAAAAAAAATTAAAAAAAAATCATAATTTTCAATTTCTCTAGAAAAGAAGGGGAATAAAAATAAATTTCATATAATGAAAAAATACGAAAAATGAAAATAAAAAAGAAACCATAATTTTTAATTTTATGTAGAAAAGGGGAAAAATAAATTTTTATATAATGAAAAAATATGAAAAAAAAAACGTGTTGCACGAAAAAAAATGGTAGATGCAAATTTAAAAATGTTAGATAATACCATAGTTTATCATAGTATATTTATAATCTGCTGTAATTTTGAATTTGTAACTAGATCGCCATTTTTTGAATAAATTTAATAAATAATGTGAAGCAAATTTTAATTAGACTTGTCATTTAGTTCTAATACGGGTTGTCATCAGGAACTTATCTTAAGACCCCTAATAAAAATTGGAATGCGGGTTGTCAACGGGGACTTATATCTTAAGACCCCTAATAGAAATTGGAATGCTGTGGGGTCTCATTAAACGTGCCTATTAAATAAGAGTTAATTAACTAATTTAGTTTAGCAATAGTAGTTGAGTCATTTAAATTTTCCATTACAATATGTAAAAAAAAAAACTCTTTTTATTATTATGTTTAAATTATATTTTATCATGGACTAATTTAACGGTGAATTAGGAGTGTTATTGAGAGCATTAATTCAATTTGCACACGCGGCTTGCAACGGTGGATTGGGTGATTTTTTCTTTAATCAACACTCCTTGATTCAGTCCACTTCTCACAAGTTTTTGTTTCACGCACAAAAACAAGTGAGAGAAAAATCAAATGGCGGGGATCGGCAGTTCAAGATGGTCTCTTTCCGGCACCACCGCTCTTGTCACCGGCGGCACTCGTGGAATCGGGTACCCAAATTGTTCTCTCATCATTATCTCTTTTATCTGTGATTAAAAATCTTAATTGCACGTAAACTGTTTGTGAAAATGCCATCAGGTATGCAACCGTGGAAGAGCTGGCGGAAATGGGTGCAACTGTGTACACGTGTTCGAGGAACCAAGAGGAACTCACTCAGCGCCTGCAGGAATGGAGTTCCAAGGGTTTCAAAGTCAGTGGGTCTGTGTGCGATGCGTCTTCTAGAGAGCAAAGGGTGCAGCTCATGGAAAAAGTGTCGTCTTCTTTCAATGGAAAGCTTAACATTCTTGTAAGTCCCTCCTCCGAAAAGTGTTACATTCTTGTCATTGTTTTTTTTTTATTTGATTTTTTGTTATTTATTTTGTCTTATTTCGTAGACCCACCCTCGGTTTTTGGTATGTGTAGAAAATTGAGATTTCTTATGCTGCTATTGTTTGGTTAAATTAATGGATTGATGAAACACTTTCTTGCCTTAGTTCAGGTTTGTACTTTGACATTTGCGAAGTTGGAATATTATTTTTCATCTCCATTTCGAATTCGAACCTGATTTGAAAAGGAGCGAACGAACATAATACTTGTCCTGCATGCAAGCGCACAAAATCGCAAGTTTTCATCATCTGCTTATGGAAACCAACTTGAACATGTAATTTGATTTTGAATGTTAACTTGTTAATCTTGATTATCCAGTCCAAAGCAGGGATTCCCGAAGCTATAGCTATTCGTTGCTATGATGTGATTAGATAATCTTTCAATTTCAATCATGTTCTTTTGTGGTTGCCGAAAATGCTCGTATGCTGTGAACTAATAGCAGAAGGTGTTACTAATGTCCAGGTGTATATCATATATAGACAAAGTTGAACTCCATACAAGGAGAAAGAGGGGAAGCTTTACGGTTACAGTATCGATCGTTAAGATACTTTTTTTTTTTTTTTTTTAAATGCAGAATATTGTGTCTGATTGTTTTTATCTTGCAAGAAAACGAAAAGATCTGAGACTAACTGGTACAATTTTTGATGTGTAGATTAATAACGTTGGGACTAACATTAGGAAGCCAACTGTTGAGTATACTGCCGAAGAATACTCGAGCATCATGACTACGAACTTAGAGTCTTCGTACCATCTATGTCAACTTGCCCACCCTCTTCTCAAAGCCTCTGCAAACAGCAGCATTGTGTTTATTTCCTCTGTTGCTGGTCTGGTGCACCTATATACCGGATCTATTTATGGTGCAACTAAAGGTGACCTATATTACGTTGACTTTTTTCAAGTGATGAACTATATGAAACCAGATAAAAGTAAAAAGATTTTTTTTTTTTTGTTTTTTAACCAGGAGCAATCAATCAACTTACGAAAAATTTGGCGTGCGAATGGGCAAAGGATAACATTCGGGTGAACTGTGTTGCACCCTGGTACATTAAAACCTCTCTGGTGAAGCATGTACGTTCTCTTTTTCCTTCATTTCTCGTAAATTTATTAATTTTTCGTCTTCTGACACGCTAAGAAACTTCCCTTTTGCAAGATGAAAACCATATAATTATGCCGTTGTTATTTTACAATTTTTTTTTTTTGAGAAATAATGTAGAAACTCAGAAAAGTTTCCACACTGAAAATCCCCTCAGGCTTCGCTTAACTAAAAAAATCGACCATTAAAGAGTGTGTTGATCTTATTAAACCAATTGCCTTGATTAACTAACTGTATACCGCTTTTCATCTTCTCTATGTTTGAGAATTACTTTCCAACAATTTGGTAACTGATAACATAGTGAAATATTCGACACACATCAATCTGTTAATCGGACGGTTATGAATTATGACCAATGTGTTGATCAACGCGCAAAGTTGTAGTTATTTATTGCAGAAGCACCTGTGGAACAAATATTGCAGCATTTTGAATGTATACTATTTAAGCATTTTGTGAATACATATAACTAATTGTGATCGCAGTTGCTGGAAAACGAAGAGTTCTTGGAGCATGTAGTATCTAGAACTCCTCTGAAGCGCCCCGGTGAACCGCAAGAAGTCTCGTCTTTGGTAGCATTCCTTTGTCTTCCAGCTGCTTCTTATATCACTGGTCAGGTTATATCTGTGGATGGTGGGTTCACTGTTAATGCATTTCCTGCCTGATGCAAAAGCTTGGTCTCTTTTTTATTTTATTTCATTTATTAATGTCATTTACTTTCAATTTGAAACCATCAGGTTTCTGAGTTTTGATGTGCAATTATTTACTGTTTTTTAACTGGGTAAGGTACAGGTGAAGATTTGAATAAAAATTCCGAATTCCGTCAATTCCTATGAGATTTTCTTTTTTTTCAATTTTGGAGCAATACTTTTCATTCCGATTTCGATTTTTTTCTACGGCATTGGAACACTAATTATATTTTTTTTCTTGCTGAAATTTAGATTTTTTCTGAATTTATATGGTTTGAGATTGAAATTAGTTTTTTGCAATCCAAAATAAAATTGAATATTTTTTCGGAAGTGTTGATTTTAATTTTTACTAATAAGTAATATCCAACATTTTTCCCAAACCCAACATGGCCCGACCCAATTCATATTGGGTTTATCTGGTCTTAACGGGTTCTCTGAGCCCAGCCCATTGGACTACTTCACAGGTCTACCTGCAAATTACAATCACCAGTTAGGTTTAGTCTAGATCTTTTTTCCAAGGCTGGCAAGATATTTTAATAATTTTACCAACCTTAAATAAAAATTTAAATTCAAAACGGAAATAAATAGTAATGTAAGAGAGAGAGAGAGAGGGAGGGAGGGACACGTGGTGAAGGAAGCGGGAGTAGGAACAGAGATATTATGGAGAAGCGTCAATCGAAATTGACAGGTGGTCCCATACGTGTTTCAATCTGCCCTTGTTGCGTACACTTCTTTATTGCTTTTACCACCTCCCTTTTCTCCTCCCACTCGCTCCCCTTTGTCGCGTCACGTTTACTCTCTTTCTCGTAGAAATAAGTCAATTATCTAACTGAACAGTCTAATTTTATTTATAAGTAAAATAGATGCATTCTGTATTGACGTCACGCGCGCAAGAGCATGTGCGGGAGGCTAACAAACCCCAAATCTGGCACACCACGATTCCGCCACGTGGTGACAATCCTCGTAACAAGGCATGTATGAAAATTACGTGCCCTATTTATAATTTATAAATAAATAAATAAAAAAGCGAATAATAGGCGGGAAGCGGGTCCCACAAAGAAGACCATATTCGTGTCGTTGCAGCGAGGGCCTCAATTTGTACGGTACCGTGTTGGTTTCTGATTGGCCCACGTACCACCCATACCTACACGTGGTACCCTAGATAGAAAGAGAGAATCAAAAGACCTCTGAAAATCAACGGTCCAGATCTTCCCTCACATTCAATGTTTCGACGTCACACCAACTGTGCATGTCTGGTACTTGTCACTTTCCTGACCAAGAAGGTGACGGGCAGCTACCCGTAACCCCCCCCCCCCCCCCAACCCTAATATTACAACTAGCTGTAGTACAAAAAGCCATTTCAATTTCGTAGTTTGGGTCGTCTCTTCAGATTTTAATATTCCATCCTTCTGAATGTTCTCTGATTGAGGTTTTCGTTGTTTATTATCTTCCTTAAATTGATCGTCGTTATTAAATTGATAAACCAGAAAAGCATTATATTTTGTTAAATAATGGCTGGTATGTGCTGTGGGATGAATATTAGTGAGACGGAGACGAATTCCCTGGCGGAGCCCGGCTCCAAGTCCGCCAGGAGGAGGAGGTTAGAAATCCACCAGTTCAATTTCGGGCCAACCGATTCCGCCGGCGGCAGCGGCGGCGGCGTCACGAAGCGACGGAGGATCGATTCGCTGCGTCCGGTTAGTTCGGCGCCGGGTGATTGGTCGAGCGCGGCTCGTAGCTTTAACGGTGACGAGAAGGCGAAGGAAGTCGTCCACCAAACGGCGACTAACGGAGGAGCTGTGCCGGTTCCGTTAGATATGACGGCGGCGGCATCTGGATCTGAGGAAGGGCACGTTTCTTCCTCGGTTTGTCCGAAATTCGGGATGACGTCCGTTTGCGGGAGGAGGAGAGATATGGAAGATGCGGTTGCGATTCATCCTTCCTTCTGCGGCCATGACAGTGATCTTCGGAGCGGCTACCATTTCTTCGGTGTTTACGACGGCCATGGTTGCTCACACGTAAGCAAATGATTTAATTTCAGTTATAGTTTCCGTACATGTAAGTACTTGTCGGAAATGGTGTCTGATTCCATATATGTACGATGTATTTTTTTATTGCAGGTTGCAACCAGGTGCAAGGACCGAATGCACGAGATAATGAAAGACGAGTTCAGACACAGCCACGATTCATGGGAGCGCACGATGTCGGAAAGTTTCACGAAGATGGACAAGGACGTGACGGAGTGGTCCAGCGGCGCCGCCGCCAGCGCCTCCGCCTCCAACTGCCGGTGCGAACTGCAGACGCAGCAGTGCGACGCCGTCGGATCCACCGCCGTCGTGGCGGTAGTCGCCCCCGACAAGATCATCGTCTCCAACTGCGGCGACTCCCGCGCCGTTCTCTGCCGGAACGGCGTCGCAATTCCTCTCTCCGTCGATCACAAGGTGCGTTCCGTTTTAAATTCCACATAAATTATATATTACTTTAAAATTAAAAAAAAGTAATTTAATTTTATGTTCGTATTTACAGCCGGACAGACCGGATGAGTTGAACCGGATAGAAGAATCGGGCGGGCGGGTTATATTCTGGGACGGGGCTAGGGTTCTCGGGGTTTTGGCCATGTCACGTGCTATTGGCGATAACTACTTGAAGCCGTACGTGATACCGGAGCCCGAGGTAACAATAACGGGCCGGGCCGAGGGTGACGAGTGTCTGATAATCGCAAGCGACGGGCTCTGGGATGTGGTCTCCAACGAAACTGCCTGTGGGGTGGCGCGCATGTGCCTGCAGTCACGGAGGCCACCGCCGCCGGCACCGGAGGTCGGCAGCATCGCCGTTGCGCCGGCGCCGGGAGAGAGCTCCGATCAGGCCTGCTCCGACGCGTCGATTCTGTTGACGAAGCTGGCTTTGGCGAGGCATAGTACGGATAATGTGAGTGTTGTGGTGGTGGATTTGAGGAAGATCCCATAATACGACGGCGTTTATGTTTTTTTTAATTTTTATTTAATTTCTTTTTTTACCTAATTAAGTAGTTTTGCTAATTAATGCATGTTTAAAGTAATATTAGTGTTGCCTTGAAGAAGGAATGAAAGAGGAAAAATTATGAGGTGCATGTGTGGTGGGGTATTAGGGTAGTTTATGAGGTTTAATATTTTCATATTGATGTTTTCAAGTGTAAATATTTTTTTATTTTTTTATTTTTGCTACTTTATATCAATTAAATGGTTTAATATTTACTATATCCCAATATTCTTGAAATGCGTCAAAAAAGCAGCTCTTGAAAATGTGAATACCAGCAAATATGTCATCTTAAAGGTGGTGGCTACGTTACACGTGTGATGAAGCTAAAATATAGCTCACCTAAGATAGTATAGAAAACGAGCTGGGAGAGCAAAGCTGATCAGTAGCTAGTCAACTCGATGTTCCTGAGGTCCCTACAAAATGAGCACACGTGAACTAAGCCGGGGGTTGATCCGGCGGAAACCCCTCCGACGCTCAAGTCAGATGTGTGGATCGTAGAGAGAGTAGAGAGAATAAAACTTGAGGTGAATTGTCAATAATCAGAATGTACCTTTACGAATGAATAAACCATCTATTTATATATCGTTAAATGGGTTGGGCTTACTTTGTTGGGCCCAAGCCTTATTTTGAAAGAGCTTGGGCTTTCGCGTGATGGGCCCACTTGGTAGATAAATTTGAGGGCCCATTGGGCCGGCCTATTTAGGTATATCATTAAGCCCCCCAACTCTCGATTTGAGACGGGGACGTGTGTAGAGTGATCCGGGTCGTGTCGAGAGTTAATTGCGGCGTTGGTTGAATTGTTTTCGTTGCCGGTGAATTAATTCCTTAATTTTAAGTAAGGAATAATTGTATTTATTTGGCAGCGAGGTATATATTTAAGGGTTTTAAATATTGTACCAGGGCCAGATAAATAGACTCCTTTTGCGGTGGAAAGTATTAAACTCCAACTCTTGCAATAACTATGGGTATGTTTTTTTTTGAACTCTAGGTTTTCTTCTGTGCTATTTGCCTCTTGAAAAAAAATTTTGTGTGGTAGAGTAGAATATTTTTTGTTTCTTGGTTGCCTTGTCGGCGAAAATTATTTTTCTCATGTTGAACTCGGGTAATTCGAAATCTTTGCGGATTAAACTTCGAGATCCAGTTGAAGGGGGCAAGAAAACTTTTGGTACGGTGGGCTTGGAATCCGAAAATCTTGTAGTATCGAGTGCAAAAAACGGTTCTACATCCGGAGGTGTGCGAAATTCCGTGCAATGGGGGGGTAGATGGCTTGGATGTGGAGGGCGGCTTGAGCCGCGTTTCCAGCCAGTCAAAAACGCGTGAGGGCGCGCGCTTCGAGGTCAGAGAGAAGCTGAGCCGAGCCGTGGAAGGGGAAGCCGGGTCGGTGGCTGAAGAGAGGAGGGTTGGGGCACGTGGTCCAATGGGAGGAGGCCACGTGCGCGCCTCGGGTAGGGCAGTGATGAGCAGCCGCCCACGTGGGCCAGCTGTTGGTAGGGGCGCGTCAGGTGTGCAGGGACGCGCGCGCGGGATTGGGGCGTGTCCCGACGCGCGCGTGGTGGCGGATGGGGAGGGCGGTGATGACGCGCGCGCGCTGCCCAATGTGGGCGCGCGTACGCGCGCGTCGCTGGAGGGTTTCGGGGCGCGTGAGCGCGCGTGTGTGGCTGGGGAAGAGCCACGTGGGCTAGCTGTACTGGGGGACGCGCGCGCGCGTGATTCAGCCCCTTTTGGGGTCGCGCGCGCGCGTGAGGGCGCGTGTGAAGTTGGTTTCGGGCTCGGTTCGCGCGAAATTAACGGTCAAATTTCCGAGGTTGCTAATGTGCGTGATGTTTTACATGGGGAAAGTTTTGGTCGGCGAGAAATCATTGAATCGTGGAGTGACGATGTAGAAGTGTATAAGGATATTACTATTCCCCCACCGTTGATGAAGTGGGTTCTAGTAGACGTCATTATAGGCGTCAAGTCGTGGATTTTGGGAGTGATAGCGATGATTCTAACCAATCGCCTTCGCCGAGTGAACATGCGGTGGCGAGTAGTGAAGTTGAGCCGATGGTCGAGGAGGAAGATGATATTCCGCCGGGTGATGTTGAGGTTGATACTAGAAGGCAAAAGAAAAAGAAGCCAATTAATTTGGATTTAGTTGATTTTGATAGTGTGTTGACGGAAGAGAAGCACTCTATTCGTCGTTTATCTGGAGCGCCAAGTAATGTTGAGTTGTTGTTGCCTCAGAAGGGTGACCGTTTGTATTCGCCCCCCGATGGATTTCATACGGTGTTTTTAGGTTACTTGACGTGTACATCTCAGATTACACCGCATCCAACCTTGTTGAAGGTTTGCGAGGAATTTAAGATAGGGTACAGTCAGTTAACGCCGACTGCAGTTCTTACGTTCGAGGCGTTTCACCATAGGGTGTCTTTAGTTGGTTTTCCTATGACCGTGAGTTTGTTCAAGGCGTTATTTACGTTACATCGTCCCAATATGACGCCTTTCTTTTGTTTTCATCCTCGCGTTCCTTATCAATTCGTGAAGAGTGTGAAGTTATCTTTGGGGAAATGGAAGACCCATTTTTTTTATGTGAGGGCTCCCACTTTTGACGTTCCTGTTGTTTGGAATCCTACGTGCGAGAGTTTCACGATAACTGCGAATATGGCGAAAAGGATTGAAGAGTCGGGATTGTGTGACGTGGAATTTGACCCGAGGGTTTTAATACCAAAGCCGAAGGGTCAGCGCTGTATATCCTTTTGTTGCCTTGACTTGTGTTTTTTTTTTTTTTTTTTTTTTTTTTTTTTTTTTTTTTTGTAGTTCTTTGGTAGTGTATACCTCATGTCTCTTATGTGTTTGTTATCTTTTGTAGATGGGGGAATCACTTTTGCGGCACTTCAAGCTAAGGCGAATGGGACGTCGAAGAAGTCATCGAAGAAGGTACCCTCTGCGTTGGGAGGTTCTTCAAGTGGTTTGCCTCGTGAGGAGGTTCATGTAGAAACTCCTCGAATAGTCGCAGATGACCGTAGTAGTGCTGGTGAAGTGGAGGAGCGTCCACCGAAGAAGGATCGTGGCAAGGGGAAGAGGGTGGATACCGAGTATGTGGCTGTGCCTAAGCGTCCGCGGGTAGACCCAGAGGAGACTTATGCTTTCCATGGTGGAGGAGGGAAACAACTGTTTACTTACGGCGTTAACCGCGATGGTAAGGAGTCGTACTGGGATGTGTCGGACTATGATTTGCCGATGTTGAGTACCGAGGGATTCGTTCGGGAGTATGACCGTGCTCGGATGTCCGGTAAGGGTCCTTCTCACATGCTAGAGTTAGCTGGTGGGGACATATGTCGGGTGAGTACTTGTCGACTTTGAAACATCTTTTTATGTTTTATTCCCTCTTGACTTGCGAAAAATATTTTTTTTTTTTTTTTTTTTTTTATATAGTTGGTGGCGACTTGGAGATATCTCATGGAGCACGGTAGGAACGTGGAAGCTAGGAAGGAAGAGGAGCGGGCTCGAATTCAGGCGCGTGAGGATGATTTTCTAAGCCAGTTGGAAGTAGCGCGGTCCGATCTTGCTCAATGCTCGGAAGATCTTGCTCGGAGGACAGAGGAGCTTGAGGTTATCCGAGGTGAAGCGAAGGCGTATAAGGATGATGTTCATAAGTTGAACGCATGCTATGACCAGCTCAAGGAGAAATACGAAGTCGAGAAGGCGACGGGGAAGAGGTTCCTCACGACATCAGGTGGTGTGGCTTATAAGGAGTCCATTGTGGAGGAGATCAAGGCTAATTTCTGAGGTAGTGATGAGTGTGCTGCTATGATTGAGGAGCATGCATTGGCTGTGGTTTATAAGCCATTAGTGCGTTCTTGTCGCAAATATCTGCGCGATGCGGGTGGGATCAGCGAGGAAGTGATTCGTGGGATGGAGGCTGGTATATCCGATGAAGAGGAGGATGAGGTCGATGGCAACGAAACGGGCACAGAGCTCGTGGGTGACATGGTTGTTGATGACCCCACCGTGAGGGCGTCTTCTGCCCGTGGTGGTGGAGTTTAGATATTTTTGCTGGGATAGTTAAACTCTTTTTTATTTGTTAGATTCTTAGTTTTATTTTTATCGGTGATGTAGATGGGTATGTCCTCTACTATTTCGTTTGAATTTCTCCTTTGTTTGACATTTGAAGTTTGTTATCTTGAATTATTTATTTTGACATTGTCAAGAGTTATTGCGCTGCTTATATGTATTTACATTTAGCATTGTACGCGATGTACTTGAGGAGGGGATCAGTCTCCCAAGGTTTTTGTTAAGGGTCGTGCCCTTTGTTCTGACCGCGTGGGTCTTAAATATATTTGTCCGTGGCCACGTTTTAAAATTAACACCTCGTGAAACAAATAAAATGACTTAGCTAATCCAGCTGGCCAGGCTATACGGATTATCTAAATCTCTCTAAGTGTTTGTAGGGTGGTATTGACTTGAACTCATGGTAAGAAGTAATTTGTATAGGCGTAAAGGCGTAGATATTAAAGCGAAAAGTATTATTTATTCAATGATAGCAAAGGAGAATTGTTACGTGCCTATGTGAGGCGAATGTAAGTAAATGACTAATGCGATAGGCCTACGTGAGGCGAAGGTAAATAACTACTGGTGGAGCGAGAAAAGAAAAAATTTGACTTGATAAAATTGTTCTAAGTGATTGTACTACACTTGTTCTTCTTCTTCCACGTCTTGCTTGTATTCGTTCGTTTTGCTGCGCTGATGGTAGAATGAATTCCTTTGGCGTCTCTATGACTGTCAAGTACAGTTGAGAAAAAGAGAATTTATTTAATCACTTGTATTGAGGATTTAGTAATTGAAGCTATGGTGATGTGTATTGCTTTTTCACGTACCCTACTACGGGGGTTGATTTTTCTTTCTCGCACTCCAAGATATGAAATGAACTCGTGAGTTGTTGCGAGTTGCTAAGCGATCATGCCTGCTAATGGGATTTTTTGTCACGTTAGTAAGCGTAAATAAAATTACCCGTGTGTTGAACTCTAGTAGAAGTATAGTTACCCTTGGCGATGTGGTATGGAGTGTCTTCGATCAAGCAGCGCATTGATTGAATATATACATTTTCTCGTAGTAGGTTCTCGACCTGTAAGGACACGATGGGATGTGATTATAAATTTCTGATGTAAGTAACAATTACTAGCCCCCCAGCTTAGGTGGGACGTTAACGCACCTTGTTATGTGGTGTCAAATTTCCAACCATGTAGAAGCAACTTTACAAGACGAGTGACGTGGAAGGTCGTGGGGTCTGCATGGATGATGAATCGTAAATAACTTTCATATTGAAGAACTTTGGGTGATGATCTTAACTTATCTGAAGCAAGGTAGATGTATACCTTAGGCATAGAACCGTTTGAGGTTCCCTATATTCCATGTTCTGGGTATAGGGTGTCCGTCAATGTTCTCGAGGCGATATGCTCCAGTGTTGACCACCTTTGTGATTTTATATGGTCCTTCCCACTTTGGGTCGAGCTTGCCAATGGGGTGAGAGGCTTCAGCTTTCCGGAGGACTAAATCCCCAACTTGAAAGGAGCGGGGACGGACCTTTGAGTTATATGCCTTGGCCATGCGTGATTTGTACATCTGTTGCCGGATGTATGCGATCTCTCGTAGCTCATCTACAAGGTCTAGGCTTCCTCGCATAGCTTCTTCATTAGCTGCTGGATCATAGTTGGTGATTCTCCAAGATGGTTCACCTATTTCAACGGGTGCTATAGCTTCTGTTCCGAAAGCTAGATTGAAAGGCGACTCTCCGGTTGCTGCGCGTGGGGTTGTGCGATAAGCCCATAGGGCGTTAGGCAATTCTTCTACCCATTTTCCTTTGGCACTTCCCAGCCTTGTCTTAAGGTGTTGGAGGATGGTGCGATTTGTAACCTCCGTCTGGCCGTTAGCTTGTGGATTTGCTACCGATGTGAAGAACTGCTTGATGTCCAAGCCGAGGCACCAATTTTTTACTTTGTCACCGCAAAATTGGGTTCCATTATCCGAGATGATGGAACGCGGGATTCCGAAGCGGCACACGATGTTCTTCCATAGAAATTGGATGACTTCTTCTTCTCGGATGCGTGCTAAGGGTTCAGCCTCCACCCATTTGGTGAAGTAGTCCACTGCTACAATGAGGTATTTGCGTCCTCCTGTGGCGGGCGGGAATGGTCCAACTAAATCCATCCCCCATTGGGCAAAAGGGATGGGGCTGTCAATTGGTTGCATTAACGCTGCTGGCATGTGAGTGATATTGGCATGCTCTTGGCAGGGCTTACACCTCCGGACTAATCTTTTTGCATCTTCATGCATCGTTGGCCAATAGTAGCCCTGCCTCAGTAGTTTGAGAGCTAAGGTCCTCCCGCTCAAGTGATTGCCGCAGATGCCTTCGTGTACTTCTCTAAGTACATAATCCGATGTGGTTGGGTCGAGGCACTTGAGATAGGGGAATGAGAACCCTCGTTTGTACAACTCTTCTCCCACTATGACGAATCGAGCGGCTCTCGTTTTTAATTTTCGTGCTTCGGTGGGATCCGTTGGAAGTTCTCCTTTTTTGAGATACTTCAGGATTGGAGTCAACCAGCATGGTTCATCCTCCTCGGTGTACTGTACTTCAGTGGGTGAAGTTATCTCCGGCTGAGGTGAGCTGAGAAGCGTCACCTTCCGACTTCCGATGCTAGCCATGGAGCTCACTAGCCTGGCTAATTTGTCAGCATGGATGTTATTTGATCGGGGTACTTGTCTTATCTCGTAGCTCTCGAACTTGGATAAGAGGGTGTGTGCAAGAGCTAAGTATTTGGCCATGGTGTCTTCTTTGGCCTCGTACACTCCGAGTACTTGGTTAACGACGAGCTGAGAGTCGCTTTGGATTAGGAGCTTGCGCGCTCCGGCTGCTAGGGCGAGGCGGATTCCCGCTATCAATGCTTCGTATTCAACAACGTTGTTTGAGGCTGTGAATTCGAATCGTTGAGCGTATTCAAACTCATCTCCATCAGGATTCGTTAGTACGATACCCGCTCCCCCTCCTGTGGTAGTGGAAGATCCGTCGACGTTGACAGACCAAGTAGGTAGAGAAGTGCTTTCTTGTATGGAAGTCATTTCGACTAGAAAATCTGCCAGTACTTGCGCTTTGATAGCTGGGCGGGGTTTAAATTCTACTCCATATTCACTTAGCTCTATTGCCCATTTTGCTAATCGTCCGGATGTTTCGGGACTTCTTAGTATTTGCTTCAGAGGGTAATTGGTGAGAACCACCACCTGATGTGACTGGAAGTAAGGTCGAAGCTTCCGAGCTGCGTTGATGAGGGCGAGAGCGAGTTTCTCCATGTTGGTGTAGCGTTGTTCGGCTCCTTGGAGGGCGCGACTTATGTAGTATATGGGTTGGTGGCCCTTTTCTCCATCTCGGATGAGGACTGCGCTGACGGCATTAGCTGAGGTAGCTAAGTACAGTAGGAGGGTGTCTCCGGGTTGATGTTTTGTGAGCAAGGGTGGGGATGCTAAGTACGACTTCAGCTCAACGAATGCCTTTTGACATGCCTCATCCCACTCGAACTTTTTTCCTCCCCTTAAAATTTTGAAAAAGGGGAGAGCCTTGTCCGCTGATCTTGAAATGAATCTGTTCAGGGATGCCAAACAGCCGTTGAGCTGTTGAACTTTCTTGATCGATGTTGGTGGAGCCATGGAGGTGATTGCTTCAATTTTCGCGGGGTTAGCTTCGATTCCTCGTTGCGAAATCATATATCCCAAAAATTTGCCTCCCCGAACTCCGAATGAACATTTGAGGGGGTTGAGCTTCATCTTATATTTTCGCAGGGTGGCGAAACACTGATCAAGATCCGTTAGGTGGTCCGAGACCTTAACACTTTTGACGAGCATGTCGTCGATGTACACCTCCATATTTTTACCGATCTGATCTGCGAACATTTTGTTCACTAGACGCTGGTAGGTGGCTCCTGCGTTTTTCAACCCGAAGGGCATGACTTGATAGCAGTAGATGCCTTGGTCAGTGATGAAACTGGCCCTCTCTTGATCTTCTGGCGCAAGTAAGATCTGGTTATACCCTTGGTATGCGTCGAGGAAGCTGAGGAGCTCGCATCCTGAGGTCGAATCGATGAGTTGATCGATTCTAGGCAGAGGAAAAGGGTCCTTAGGACAAGCTTTGTTGAGGTCGGTGAAGTCTACGCATAGTCTCCACTTCCCCCCGGGTTTGGGAACGAGTACTACGTTCGACAACCATTCAGGATACTGAACCGGCCGTATGTGGCCCGCGTCGAGGAGTTTTGCCACTTCCGCTTTGATATGCTTGTTGCGTTCGGGACCAAATGTCCGTTTCCTCTGTTTGACTGGCTTCAACCTCTTATCGACGTTAAGCCGATGTAGGGCTACCTGAGGGGGAATGCCCTACAAATCTTGGGCTTTCCATGCAAACACATCTCCATTGTGTCGTAGGAAGTTGATAAGCTGCTGCTCCGTGGTTGGATCTAAATCAGATCCTATCCGTATGAGCTTGGAGGTATCTCCGGGAGTGAGTTCTATGAGCTTAAGTTCTTCAACAGCTGCTAGCTTGATGCTGTCATCCGGCACACTGATGAGGATTTCTTTATTATCCTCAATGACCGCGTTGACCCACTTCCGTTTGTCGGATTTTTGGGTGTCGTCTCCCCTTCCGGGTGGTTTAAGCTTCTTGGAAGGTTCTCGTAGGGCCCTTGCATAGCACTCTCGAGCGAGACGTCTATCTCCAAGTACTTCCCCCATTCCATAGGGAGTAGGGAACTTCCACTTCTGATGATAGGAGGAAGGCACCGACTTAAATGTGTGGATTGCTGGTCTCCCCAGAATGATGTTGTAGGGTGATGGTCTGTCGACGACGAGGAACTTGATTAGTTTTGTGATCCGACAGGGGTCTTCCCCTAACGAAACTGGCAGTTCCACTTCTCCCATGGATAAAATGCCTTCTCCTGTGAATCCTTTCAGGGGTGTGGCAACGGGATTAAACCGGGCATTATCTATGCCTAGCTGCTTAAAAGCGTGGAGGTACATGATGTCAGCTGAGCTTCCACCGTCCACTAATATCTTCTTGACCAAGAAGTTGGCCACCGTTGTTGTTACTACCAGTGCATCGACATGGTCTTCATCCGGACCTTCGAGGTCGGAGGAGTTGAAGACTATGCTGTGATCAGGTCTTCGTATTTGATATATGCGTGCGGAGGGAGAAGCATGTTCTTGATTCATGCGTGCTGATCGAGCGAGGGTGCGTCTTGCATTTTGTGAATCGCCACCCGCCGGTCCTCCGGAGATAAAAGAGATGATTCCTCGGGTAGATTGGTTATCGTTGTTATCTAGGTCACGTCGATGACCTCCATCCTCTCGTCTTTGCTGTTGATCTCGATTGTTATATCGGCGTGGAGGATCATCACGGCGCTTATTTCTCGGCTTATCAATGTATTCGCCTAAATGGCCCTGTTTGACCAGCCTCTCAATCGCCATTTTGAGTTGTGCACATTCTTCCGTAGTATGCCCTCTGTCCTTATGGAATCGACAATAACGATCCGATTTTTCTCGCTTTGCGTTTGGCTGCATAGGACGTGGAGGTTCTGCTAAACCTTTCTGCTCTATCACGTGAAGGATTTCCGTGAGGCGAGCGTTTAGCGGAGTGAACCTATTGTAGGAGGAAGAGGGTTGGCCTTGAGGTGGAAGTGGGGGACGTCGATCATCGCGCCTCCTATTGTCCTGACGGTCATCTTCCCTCTTTCTTTTAGGAGGAGCATGGGTAGAAGCTTCCTCTATCCGGACGTATTTTTCGGCTCGATTCAGCAACTCCTCTAAGTTGCCTGGGGGTCTTCCTGCAATAGATTCTTTGAATCTACCAGGTTTCAAGTTTTGCTGCATAATCCCGGAAAGCATGTCTTGCCCCACACTGGGGACTTCGTGGACGGCCTCTACGAAACGCTTGATGTAGTTGCGGAGCGTTTCGTTATCTCTCTGTACTACTGAGAAGAGATGAGCTGGGGTTTTGGCATATTGTTTGTTGATGGCGAATTGGTTGATGAACCGGGTTGACAGCCGAGCGAAGGTGTCAATCGACCCTATGGGTAGGGAGTTGAACCAGTTCATTGCCCTCTTGGAGAGAGTGGTACGGAACATTTTGCACATCGCAGCATCCGTCGGGCCGTATAAATCCGCCATGGCACTGAATTTCTCAATATGTTCCTGTGGGTCGGTGGTTCCTTCGAATTGAGGTAACCCCGAGATCTTTACTCCTTGAGGTAATACCTCGTTGATGATGTCTATGGTGAAGGGACTGCGTCTTGCTGGGAGAGGCATCCTCTCACCCATTTGATTATTTGGTTGGGAGAAAAGGTTTTGGCGAGACATTCGGCTGTTTACTTCGCCTTCTCCCTCATTAAAGAGAGGGATTCTCGGTGGTGATGCATTCCCCCGTAGGGGTGAGCGCCGACGTTGTTGTCTGGGCTGTGCTCCTCGGTGATTAGTAGATAGCTGCACTCGGGACCGTGGGTCCGACGTAGAGGAGGAGACACTTATTTGATTCTGGATTGGCGGTGGGGCCACAGGTGGTACTATAGGTGGAGCTTGTGCTGGTATCGCATTGGGAGCGTTTGCTCCCATCGTGGCGATATATTGAGTTACGGCCTCCGTGGCGGCGCGAGTAGAAGCTTCCGCTATCATACGTTGGAGCGCGTCCTCGGTTATTTGAACCGTTCGAGGAGCAGGGAGTGGTGGATCGGCGAGTGGTGGGTCCCGAGGGGGGATCACCTGAACCTCGCGAGGTGGATCTGCAGCACGTGGAGGAGCTGGCTCCGTGGCCCGTGGAGGAAGTTGCTCCGCGGCGCGTGGAGGAGGTGGTATGCCCGATCCTCCACGGGCTGGGAGGTTATTAGCTGTGTCGTTTTCTCTCCGAGCTGACGCCTCAGGAGGATCTTGTTGGCTACGTGATCTGGTTTGCATCGTTCCCACAGACGGCGCCAAAATGATGAAGCTAAAATATAGCTCACCTAAGATAGTATAGAAAACGAGCTGGGAGAGCAAAGCTGATCAGTAGCTAGTCAACTCGATGTTCCTGAGGTCCCTACAAAATGAGCACACGTGAACTAAGCCGGGGGTTGATCCGGCGGAAACCCCTCCGACGCTCAAGTCAGATGTGTGGATCGTAGAGAGAGTAGAGAGAATAAAACTTGAGGTGAATTGTCAATAATCAGAACGTACCTTTACGAATGAATAAACCATCTATTTATATATCGTTAAATGGGTTGGGCTTACTTTGTTGGGCCCAAGCCTTATTTTGAAAGAGCTTGGGCTTTCGCGTGATGGGCCCACTTGGTAGATAAATTTGAGGGCCCATTGGGCCGGCCTATTTAGGTATATCAACGTGCTATGTTCTACTCCTGCCACGCATAAGAACAGAAAAATAAATTACAGTTAAATTACTATAAATTAATATAATTGAGATAATAATTATTAATTTAAGAAATTATTATTCACGTGATGTTATTAATTTTATCTAGGTTTTACTGGTTTTACTATATTGTACGTTAAGTCAAATATCTCCAATTGTATGGTTGATCTAATATTTCATCCTACTTATAGCATTTTGAAATATTTATCATATTATTTGGCCAAGCTACTATTGGATTATGCTAATTAGAGTTCTATCTCATTTTATTTGTTTTTTCTAGAGATATTTTTATATTTCAAAATAGTTGTGACTTTAGATTTTTGATGAATCGTTTATTGCATTTTCCTCATATCTGCGTTTATTATCCTTAATAAAATTAGGTGAAACAATTAATGGAAGTAGTTTTCGAGTCATTTTATTATGATTTTTCCATAATTCGAGCATGTTTATTAATTTTCTTAATACTTGTGCATCAGCTCAAAACGATAAATAAAATGGAAACGAGATAATATTGTATATATAATTAATGATTGTTAACAATGAAAAACGTTGATTGTTTTGTGAGTGAGGGGCCAAGGTTTTTGGTTGGAAGATATTTGGGGGCTCCATTTAGAGATACGAATCTCATTATTTTCTTTAGGATTGCGACAACTCGACATGTTAGCCATAATACACACACCAACATTTACATCATTGCCTGAGCCCACATCTTAATTCCCTGGTCCTTCTCCTACATGATTTATACCCGATAAACTCTATAATTTAGTCTTATCCAATGTTGTTAGAATCGGACATAATCGGTCGGTCGGACAGGTTCGATCGTGACCCGATGATGAGGTTGTCTAGTCTCACCTCTAGAACCCGGAAAATTGAAAACCGGAGTAAAATGACCAAAACTCGTGAATTAGCAAATCTGACAAGGACCTCAGTTTTCGGCAAAAACATTTCAAAACCACTGTTCGAGCTCGAATATACTTGCTATAAAATCAAATTCAAACACAGTTTTCATAGCTCAAAAAAATTTGAACAAACTTGTGTTTGCGTCAACTCGATTTGTTTACACCCTTACTAAATGTAGTTTATTGTTAGTAAGCACGATTGGGGCTTGCTTTTGATATTGATTATGGACCTTTCCTCTTGTTTGGGTTCTCAAATTTCATAATGGGCTTTTCTAAAGTCCAATTTAATTCGTAGTTTGCAAAGCCCAATTATTAAAAGATAAAATAAATAAATAAATTTGCTTTACGTTTTTAATGCTTTTATAAGATAGTTAATTGCTCCATATTGTAGTACGTTATTTTAACTGTATAAACGGTACAATTTTGAGTTCATTCAATAGTAAATCTATGGTGTCTCACTCTTATATGTAAAAACAGTTGACAAATAGAATTACGCACATGTTTATTGTGTGCAATTGTAGCTAGGAAGTATTATATCATATTCACTATAAGTTCTTTACTATTGTGACTTCGTGACTTCAACATTACACACATGCATTCTACTAAACAATTCAATAAATATTACACCGGGTGAAATAAATTTGAATATATTATCTACTAGCTAATGTTACAAGTTTGTGTATAAAATATATGAGGTTTTTAGCCAATATAATATATACACATGTACGATGATATACCATGCTACGTCGGACGAATTGAGTATATTATCGACGGATATCACAAAATTACATATATTACATGACGTTTTTTCTGCCAATATAATATATACACGTGTACGGTAAATATAGCATGCTATGTCAGACGAATTGATATACGATCGATCGATATCACAAAGTGACGTAAATATTATATGACGTGTTTCCGCTAACACGATATATACACGTGTATGGTAGATATAACGGACTAGGTCAATCAAAAATCATATATAATATATATTAAAAAAGATGAAAACAATCAAAAATAATATTTTATTTCTCCACCCCTCTTCTCTCTCACGAACATTTTTCATACAATTGAAAACCCTTTTTGCTTAAGCAAACCCAAACCCTGTGAGACTGTCACTCCCATGGATGATCTGTTCATCTCAGCGAAAATCAATTATGTGTTTCTTCCAGAGGTTTGTTCTTCTTCGTTTATCTCTTAGATGATTGCTGCTATGAGTTTTTAGTTTTAATTTTCTCTGGAATTGTATGAGGGCATTTTTCTGGGTATGTTTGTTTAATATTAAAATTGGGTTTGAAATGTTCAGATTTCCCAATGTGATTATGCGGTTTGTGTTTCCGATCATTGTTTGTGATGACGAAACAAAGTCCTTCGCCCACATGCAGATATATCTTTCATTTATGTTTGATTTTTTTTTTTTATGTTTTTGTCTTTCTGTTTTGCTTTCTGCTTGATTATCTTAATCTCTTTGTATATGAGCTAATTTCATGTGTAAATTTTTATAGCAGAAACAGCGGTGTTTGATTTTGGTTTTCCGTTTTCCCCTTTGTTTTGTTTGTTGGCTACTGGCGATTTTTACATTTGTACATTCTGCAAATGAGCCTTGCTTAAGATGAAGTAATAACTATGGGTGAAGAGTGTTCATTGTTATTAGGCTTTATTACATTCAAAATCCTATGTTTATTCTAATTGTTAAAGACCTCCACATGTCATTTTTTTTTGCAAATTACCCCCTAAAATTTCACCGTTTAGGGGGTTGTGTGCTGAAAAACTGCATCGTAGGGGATTTGTACTACTATTAATAACATCGGGATTTTTTTTTTTTTTTTTTTTTTTTTTTTTTTTTTTTTTATTATCAATTACAGTAAGAATAGGGGTGTTGAATGCAATGAAGTCATTGTTATTATTTTTTTGTTAGTCGTAAATTTTCAGTATTTACCAACATAAGCTACTCTGGAGAAGAATAAAGTGTAAAGTATACTAATTCTGTAAAATGATTGCATCTGCAATGATGATTTGTTTTGAGTTCTAATAGTATGGTTACAGTTGCCCTTCTTCAAATATATTACATGATCACTTTTGTTTGTTTTATTTTTATTTTGCTAATAGAATATTTCAAATTCATTTTCTGATCTCTTCGTTATGTATGACGACAGGAAACTAGCTTTTGTAGGTTTTCTTTGCCATTGACGAACGGATATAATTTGTTGGATCTCACTATCACGGATATTCTTCGTGTGATCAATCCCTCAAAAGAAGATTGGTCCTTCCGGTTTCAAATGATTAATGAGATACGAGCTATGGTTGGATCGATAGAAAATCTGAGAGGTATGCAATGTTTCATCATATGGTTATTCTTGCTTATTTTTACTCCATGCAAAGAAAATTTTATTTGTTCACTTATTTGGCGTATAAGTAAAATAGAGGAAATGAAACAGAAATTTTTGCATTTTTTACTGGAAAATAGGCAAGTGTCATTCTACATCTGCGATGAGTTGTATTAGGACCCAACTGGACTATGTTAATTTGGCTCGCACTATTTATAGCCCACTCTCATTCATATATGAGCGAGTAGTGTTTATGTTCTGAATAATCAATTTTTTTGTCCATGAATTTCACATGCTCAGCACAGTAAATGGGTTTAAAACGCTACTTGAGTGCACTAGTAAAAAAATGAAAATTGAAAATCGAAAAATTGTTTAGTTTTTCATACAGTAGCTACCTATGAAATTGTTTCAAAATATATCCGTAGTTTACTCCACGCACAGAAAATTTTATTTGGCGAGAAATAAAATAGAGGAAATTAAACAGAATATCTTGCATTTTTTACTGGAAAATAGGCGAATATTATTCTACATCAGGGATGAGTTGCAGCAGTTCTGCTCGTACTATGTGTAGCTCAGTCTCATTCATACATGAACAACGAGTAGTGTTTATTGTCTGAAAGTCTTGGATAAACCAACATTTTTGTCCATGAATTTCACATGCTCAACACAGTAAATGGGTTTAAAACGCTACATGAGTGCACTAGTAAAAAAATTGAAAATCAAATAATTGATTCTAGCTTTTATTTTTCATACAATAGCTACCTATGAAATTCTTTCAAAATATATCCATAGTTTCTCCATTTTTAGAATGATAGTAACTGAAAAAACGTGTAGGCTTGAAATTTGTAAAATTTGGGTGATGTGATTATTAGTTGTTCTCAGATAAAAATGCGAATAGCTTATTTCTGTTTATTTTTATGTTGTTTGAGAACTATGAAAAATAGTTGATGACAATGATGAAATAACGTTCAAAATTGTGGAAACAGGTGCAACTGTGTAACCATTTGGGTCTTTTGCATCTAATCTCTTTACAAAATGGGGAGATTTAGATATATCAATAGAGTTGCAAAATGGTACATATATCTCGTCTCCGGGGAAGAAGCACAAGCAAAGTGTGCTGCAAGAAGTACTAAAAGCTTTCAGAAAGAAAGGTAATATGCAAGATGTTCTAACACTGCTTGTTACTTCAGTAAATTTCTTGCAAGATTTTTCCATGACTTGTTGATTTGGTTTCTTGCATCATCTGAATACAATGTTGTCCACAAGTACATAGCACTTTGCCTAGCCAAATTTCGTTTCAGATATGGGCATTGAAAAAAGGGAGTTAAGGTCATTCTACTGCAAATTTTGTGTCTGCATGTCTCTTAGACATTTTCTAACACTGCTTGTTACCTCAGTAATTTTCTTGCAAGATTTTTGCTTCACTTCTTGTTTTGGTTCCTTTCATCGTTTGGATAAAATGTTGTTCACAAGTACGTAGTACTTTGCCTAGCCGAACTTCTTTTCAGATTATGGGCATTGAACGTACGGAGTTAGGGTCATGCTAGTGCAATTTTTGCTCATGAATGTAATCAATCATGTTCAGTACCAGGAGATAACTATCAGCATCACATATTATAATGATTGGACTTTTAATTGCAATTGTGAAAATGTTTGCAATAGAGCTGTTTTTTTTCCCCTTTTCCTTTTCGAATTTAAGATAAAGAGATAAGTTGATAATGAATGACATTCAAACACAGGGAGGTTAAGCTATAACGAACCAAGTTTTGATTGTTTGCAGGTGTGTTCTGTAAACTAAAGTTCATCGCCAATGCAAGGGTACCCATTCTGAAGTTTGAGGGAAGCTACAATATCTCGTGTGATATCTCGATCAACAAAGTAAGTGGTCAAATGAAGTCAAAAATCTTATTCTGGATCTACAAGATCGATGGGCGCTTCCTGGTCCTTCTCGTACATAATTTATACCTGATCAACTTTATCATTTACCCCCTAAAATTTCACCGTTTAGGGGGTTGTGTGCTGAAAAACTGCATCATGGGGGATTTGTGCTACTATTAATAATATGGGGATTTTTTTTGTAACAATTATAGTAAAAATAGGGGTGTTGAATGCAATGAAGTCATAGTTATTATTTTTTTGTTAGTCGTATATTTACAGTATTTACCAACATAAGCTACTAAAGTATACTCATTCCGTAAAATGAATGCAACGATGATTTCTTTTGAGTTCTAGTAGTATGGTTACAGCTGCCCCCCTCAAATATCTTACATGATCACTTTATTATTTATTTATTTATTTTGCTAATAGAATATTTCAAATTCATTTTCTGATCTCTTCGTTATGTATGATGACAGGAAACTAGCTTTTGTAGGTTTTCCTTTCCATTGGTAATGCTCGTTTACAGGCCGGAGATGTTCCGTCATAGAAAAGTTTGACAACTCACTTGACAAGACACAGTCACAATGAACAGATATAATTTGTTGGATCTCACTATCAGGGATATTCTTCGTGTGATCAATCCCTCAAAAGACGATTGGTCCTTCCGGTTTGAAATTATTAATGAGATACGAGATATTGTTGGATCAATAGAAAATCTGAGAGGTATGCAATGTTACATCATGTGGTTGTTCTTGCTTATTTTTACTCCATGCACAGAAAAAATTATTTAGCGTAGAAATAAGATAGAGAAAATAAAACTGAATATCTTGCATTTTTTACTGGAAAATAGGCGAGTATTATTCTACATCAGGGATGAGTTGCAGTAATTTTGCTCGTACTATGTATAGCTCACTCTCATTCATATATGAACAACGAGTAGTGTTTATGTTCTGAATAACCAACTTTTTTGTCCATGAATTTCACATGCTGAGCACAGTAAATGAGTTTAAAATGCTACTTGAGTGCACTAGTAAAAAAAAAAAATCGAAAAAGTGATTCTAGCTTTTAGTTTTTCATACAATAGCTACCTATGAAATTGAATTAAAATATATCCGTAGTTTACTCAACGCGGCATAAAATTTTATTTTGCGTAGAAATAAAATAGAGGAAATGAAACAGTATATCTTGATTTTTACTAAAAAATAGGCGAGTATTATTCTACATCGGGGATGAGTTGCAGTAATTTTGCTCGTACTATGTGTAGCTTAGTCTCATTCTTATATGAACAACGAGTAGTGTTTATTTTCTGAAAGTTTTGGATAACCAACAATTTTGTCCATGAATTTCACATGCTCAGCACAGTAAATGGGTTTAAAACGCTACTTGAGTGCACTAGTAAAAAAATTGAAAATCGAATAATTGATTCTAGCTTTTAGTTTTTCATACAAAAGCTACGTATGAAATTCTTTCAAAATATATCCGTAGTTTTAGAATGACAGTAACTGAAAAAGCGTATAGGCAACGTACCTCCTATATTTGACATGCAAAATATCTTCTGCTTGAAATTTAAAAAAAAAAATTGTGTTGTGATTATTAGTTGATCTCAGAGAAAAATGCGAATAGCTTCTTTCTGTTTATTTTTATGTTGTTTGAGAACTATGAAAAATGGTTGATGACATTTATTTGATGAAATAATGTTCAAAACTGTGGAAACAGGTGCAACTGTTGAACCATTTGGCTCTTTTGCATCTAATCTCTTTACAAAATGGGGAGATTTAGATATATCAATAGAGTTGCAAAATGGTACATATATCTCGTCTCCAGGGAAAAAGCACAAGCAAAGTGTGCTGCAAGAAGTACTGAAAGCTTTCAGAAAGAAAGGTAATCTGCACGATGTTCTAACACTGCTTGTTACTTCAGTAATTTTCTTGAAAGATTTTTACATTACTTGTTGATTTGGTTTCTTGCATCATCTGAATAAAATGTTGTCCACAAGTATGTGGCACTTTGCCTAGCCAAATTTCATTTCAGATATGGGCATTGAAAAAAGGGAGTTAATTTCATGCTAACACTGCTTGTTACCTCAGTAATTTTCTTGCAAGATTTTTGCTTGACTTATTGATTTGGTTCCTTGCATCGTTCGGATAAAATGTTGTCCACAAGTACGTAGTACTTTGCCTAGCCGAATTTCTTTTCAGATTATGGGCATTGAAAGAACGAAGTTAGTGTCATGCTAGTGCAACTTTTGCACATGAATGTAATCAATCATGTTCATCACATATTAAAATTATTGAACTTTTAATTGCAATTGAGAAATTGTTTGCATTAGAGCTGTTTTGTACCCGTAATCGTTTTTTACCCTTTTTCTTTTTCCAAAAAAAAAAAAAAATAAAGAGTTTATTTGATAATGAATGACATTCAAACACAGGGATGTTAAGCTATTTCAACGAACCAAGTTTTGTTTGTTTGCAGGTGGGTTCCGTAAACTGAAGTTCATCGCCAATGCAAGGGTACCCATTCTGAAGTTTGAGGGAAGCTATGATATCTCGTGTGACATCTCGATCAACAACGTAAGTGGTCAAATGAAGTCAAACATCTTATTCTGGATCAACGAGATCGATGGGCGCTTCCTGGTCCTTCTCCTACATAATTTATACCTGATCAACTTTATCATTTACTATTATGAATTATCTCATCAATATAATCCACCACTTACATTTTCATTTATTTATTTATTCATTTTTATTAATTTGGGCTTATTAGCCCCATCAGTTTTCTATAGGACAACACAGTTGCTCGAGTTCGATTCAAGTTGGGCTCGATTAATCGAATTTATTTGTTATAAAAAAATCAAATTCAAACACAAAACTCGAAACAAATTTATTGTTAGTCAGCACGATTGGGCCTTGCTTGAAATTTATTATGGGCCTTTATTCTTATTTGGGTTCTCAAATTTCCGAATGGGCTTTTCTAAAGTCCAATTTAATTTGGATCTGGATGGGCTATTTATTTGAAATAATTAACTATTTCAATTTATATTGGACTACTTGTATTTTGCAAAGCCCAATTATTAATAAAACAGAAAATAAATAGATAAATTTGCTTTACGTTTTTAATGCTTTTATAAGATAGTTATAAGTTAATTGGTCCATATTGTAGTACGTTATTTTAACTGTATAAACGGTACAAGTTTGAGTTCATTCAATAGTAAATTGATTGTGTCTCATATGTAATAGCAGTTAACAAATAGAATTACGCACATGTTTATTGTGTGCTAGGAAGTATTATATCATATTCACTATAAGTTCTTTACTATTGTAGCTTCATGACTTCAACATTACACACATGCATTCTACTCAACAATTCACCGTCCGGTAAATTCTACACAGGGTGAAATAAATTTGAATAATATATTATCGATCAACGGATGTATGTCTGTACAATATGAGGTGTTTTCGCCAATATAATATATAAACATGTACGGTGGATATAACATGCTACGTCGGACGAATTGAATATATTATCGACGGATATCACGAAGTTACATATAATACATGACGTTTTTTCCGCCAATACAATATAGACACGTGTACGGTATAAATAGCATGCTACGTCAGACGAATTGATATATAATGGACGGATATCACAAAGTGATGTATATATTATATGACGTGTTTTTGCTAATACGATATATACACGTGTACGGTATATATAACCGACTAGGTCAATCAAAAGTCATAGTAAATATCAAAAAAGATGAAAATAATCAGAAATAATATTTTATTTCTCCCCCCTCTTCTCTCTCACGCACATTTTTCACACAATTGAAAACCCTTTTTGCTTGAGCAAACCCAAACCCTGTGAGACTGTCACTCCCATGGATGATCTGTTCATCTCAGCAAAAATCAATTATGTGCTTTTTTTTTCAGAGGTTTGTTCTTCTTCGTCTATCTCTTAGATGATTGCTGCTTTGAATTTATATATATATATATATATATATATATATATATATATATATATATATATATTTTTTTTTTTTATTTTTTTTTATTTTCTCTGGAATTGTATGAGGGCATTTTTCTGGGTATGTTTGTTTAATATTAAAATTGGGTTTGAAATGTTCAGATTTCCCAATGTGATTATGCGTTTGTTTCCGATCATTGTTTGTGATGACGAAACAAAGTCCGGCATGCAGAGATATCTTTCATTTATGTTTGATTTTTTTTCTTTTTGTCTTTCTGTTTTGCTTTCTGCTTGATTATCTTAATCCCTTTGTATATGAACTAATTTCATGTGTAAATTTTTATAGCAGAAACAGCGGTGTTTGATTTTGGTTTTCCGTTTTCCCCTTTGTTTTGTTTGTTGGCTACTGGCGATTTTTCCATTTGTACATTCTGTAAATGTGCCTAGCTTAAGATGAAGCAATAACTATGGGTAAAGAGTGTTCATTGTTATTAGGGTTTATTACATTCAAAATCCTATGTTTATTCTAATTGTTAAAAACCTCCACATGTCATTTTTTGTGCAAATTACCCCCTAAAATTTCACCGTTTAGGGGCTTGTGTGCTGAAAAACTGCATATAGGGGATTTGTACTATTATTAATAACATGGGGATTTTTTTTAACAATTATAGTAAAAATCGGGGTGTTGAATGCAATGAAGTCATTGTTATTATTTTTTTTGTTAGTCGTAAATTACAGTATTTACCAACATAAGCTACTATGGATCAGAAGCATAAAGTGTAAAGTATACTAATTCCGTAAAATGATTGCATCTGCAATGATGATTTCTTTTGAGTTCTAATAGTATGGTTAGTTGGTTACAGTTGCCCTTCTTCAAATATCTCACATGATCACTTTATTATTTTTTTTTTATTTTGCTTATAGAATATTTCAAATTCATTTTCTGATCTCTTCGTTATGTATGATGACAGGAAACTAGCTTTTGTAGGTTTTCTTTGCCATTGGTAATGCTCGTTTACAGGCAGGAGATGTTCCGTCATCCAAAAGTTTGACAAACTCACTTGACAAGACACAGTCACAATGAACGGATATAATTTGTTGGATCTCACTATCAGGGATATTCTTCGTGTGATCGATCAATCCCTCAAAAGACGATGAGTCCTTCCGGTTTCAAATTATTCATGAGATACGAGCTATTGTTGGATCAATAGAGGTATGCAATGTTTCATCATATGGTTGTTCTTGCTTATTTTTACTCCATGCACAGAAAATTTTATTTGTTTACTTATTTGGCGTAAAAGTAAAAAGAGGAAATGAAACAGAAAATCTTGCATTTTTTACTGGAAAATAGGCGAGTGTCATTGTACATCAGCGATGAGTTGTATTAGGATCCAACTGGATTATGTTCATGCCAGTGTTTTCGAATTTTGCTCGTACTATTTACAGCTCACTCTCATTCATATATGAGCAACAAGCAGTGTTTATGTTCTGAAAGTTTCGGATAACCAACTTTTTTGTCCATGAATTTCACTTGCTCAGCACAGTAAATGGGTTTAAAACGCAACTTGAGTGCACTAGTAAAAAAAAAAATCGAAAAATGATTCTAGCTTTTAGTTTTTCATACAATAGCTACCTATGAAATTGTTTCAAAATATATCCGTAGTTTACTCCACGCACATAAAATTTTATTTGGCGTAGAAATAAAATAGAGGAAATGAAACAGAATATCTTGCATTTTTTACTGGAAAATAGGCGAGTATTATTCTACATCAGGGATGAGTTGCAGTGATTTTGCTCGTACTATGTGTAGCTCAGTCTCATTCTTATATGAACAACGAGTAGTGTTTATTTTCTGAAAGTTTTGGAGAACCAACTTTTTTGTCGATGAATTTCACATGCTCAGCACAGTAAATGGGTTTAAAACGCTACTTGAGTGCACTAGTAAAAAAAATGAAAATCGAAAAATTAATTCTAGCTCTTAGTTTTTCGTACAACAGCTACCTATGAAATTCTTTCAAAATATATCCGTAGTTTCTTTCAAAACGTATAGGCGACGTACCTCCTATATTTGACATGCAAAATATCTTCTGCTTGGAATTTGTAATAATTTGGGTGTTGTGATTATTAAATTTTCTCAGAGAAAAATGCGAATAGCTTCTTCCTGTTTATTTTTATGTTGTTTGAGAACTATGAAAAATGGTTGATGACATATATTTGATGAAATAACGTTCAAAATTGTGGAAACAGGTGCATCTGTGGAACCATTTGGGTCTTTTGCATCTAATCTCTTTACAAAATGGGGAGATTTAGATATATCAATAGAGTTGCAAAATGGTACATATATCTCGTCTTCGGGGAAAAAGCACAAGCAAAGTGTGCTGCAAGATGTACTAAAAGCTTTCAGAAAGAAAGGTAATCTGCAAGATGTTCTAACACTGCTTGTTACTTCAGTACATTTCTGGCATGATTTTTCCATTACTTGTTGATTTGGTTTCTTGCATCATCTGTTTACAATGTTGTCCACAAGTACGTAGCACATTGCCTAGCCAAATTTCATTTCAGATATGGGCATTGAAAAAAGGGAGTTAAGGTCATGCTAGTGCAATTTTTGCGTCTGCATGCATGTCTCTTAGACATTTTCTAACACGGCTTGTTACCTCAGTAATTTTCTTGCAAGATTTTTGCTTGACTTATTGATTTGGTTCCTTGCATCGTTCGGATAATATGTTGTCCACAAGTACGTAGTACTTTGCCTAGCCGAATATCTTTACATATTATGGGCATTGAACGAACGGAGTTAGTGTCATGCTAGTGCAACTTTTGCACATGAATGTAATCAATCATGTTCAGTACCAGGACAAAACTAGCAGCATCACTGATAAAATTATTGGACTTGTAATTGCAATTGAGAAAATGTTTGCATTAGGGCTGTTTTTTTCTCCTTTTCCTTTTTCGAATATAAAATAAAGAGATTAGTTGATAATGAATGACATTCAAACACAGGGAGGATAAGCTATAACAAACCAAGTTTTGTTTGTTTGCAGGTGGGTTCCGTAAACTGAAGTTCATCGCCAATGCAAGGGTACCCATTCTGAAGTTTGAGGGAAGCTACGATATCTCGTGTGACATCTCGATCAACAACGCAAGTGGTCAAATGAAGTAAAAAATCTTATTCTGGATCAACGAGATCGATGGGCGCTTCCTGGTCCTTCTCGTACATAATTTATACCTGATCAGCTTTATCATTTACCCCCTAAAATTTCACCGTTCAGGGGGTTGTGTGCTGAAAAACTGCATCATAGGGGATTTGTGCTACTATTTAATAACATGGGGATTTTTTTATAACAATTATAGTAAGAATAGGGGTGTTGAATGCAATCAAGTCATTGTTATTATTTTTTGTTAGTCGTAAATTTACAGTATTTACCAACATAAGCTACTATGGATCAGAAGAATAAATTGTAAAGTATACTAATTCCGTAAAATGATTGCATCTGCAATGATGATTTCTTTTGAGTTCTAATAGTATGCTTACAGTTGCCCTTCTTCAAATATCTAACATGATCACTTTATTATTTTATTTATTTATTTTGCTAATATAATATTTCAAATTCTTTTTCTGATCTCTTCGTTATGTATGATGACAGGAAACTAGCTTTTGTAGGTCTTCTTTGCCATTGGTAATGCTCGTTTACAGGCAGTAGATGTTCCGTCATCCAAAAGTTTGACATCTCACTTGACAAGACACGGTCACAATGAACGGATATAATTTGTTAGATCTCACTATCAGGGATATTCTTCGTGTGATCAATCCCTCAAAAGACGATTGGTCCTTCCGGTTTGAAATTATTAATGAGATACGAGCTATTGTTGGATCAATAGAAAATCTGAGAGGTACGCAATGTTTCATCATTTGGTTGTTCTTGCTTATTTTTACTCCATGCACAGAAAATTTTATTTGGCGTAGAAATAAGATAGAGGAAATAAAACTGAATATCTTGCATTTTTTTACTGGAAAATAGGCGAGTATTATTCTACATCAGGGATGAGTTGCAGTAATTTTGCTCGTACTATGTATAGCTCACTCTCATTCATATATGAACAACGAGTAGTGTTTATGTTCTGAATAACCAATTTTTGTGTCCATGAATTTCACATGCTCAGCACAGTAAATGGGTTTAAAACGCTACTTGAGTGCACTAGTAAAAAAATTGAAAATCGAATAATTGATTCTAGCTTTTAGTTTTTCATACAAAAGCTACCCATGAAATTTGTAAAAAAAATTTGTGTTGTGATTATTAGTTGTTCTCAGAGAAAAATGCGAATAGCTTCTTTCTGTTTATTTTTATGTTGTTTGAGAACTATAAAAAATGGTTGATGACATTTATTTGATGAAATAACGTTCAAAACTGTGGAACCATTTGGGTCTTTTGCATACAATCTCTTTACAAAATGGGGAGATTTAGATATATCAATAGAGTTGCAAAATCGTACATATATCTCTTCTCCGGGGAAAAAGCACAAGCAAAGTGTGCTGCAAGAAGTACTAAAAGCTTTCAGAAAGAAAGATAATCTGCAAGATGTTCTAACACTGCTTGTTACTTCAGTAATTTTGTTGCAAGATTTTTCCATTACTTGTTGATTTGGTTTCTTGCATCATCTGAATACAATGTTGTCCACAAGTACATAGCACTTTGCCTAGCCAAATTTCATTTCAGGTATGGGCATTGAAAAAAGGGAGTTAATTTTATGCTAACACTGCTTGTTACCTCAGTAATTTTCTTGCAAGATTTTTGCTTGACTTATTTGATTTGGTTCCTTGCATCGTTCGGATAAAATGTTGTCCACAAGTACGTAGTACTTTGCCTAGCCGAATATCTTTTCAGATTATGGGCATTGAACGAACGGAGTTAGGGTCATGCTAGTGCAACTTTTGCACATGAATGTAATCAAAATCATGTTCAGTACCAGGAGAAAACTAGCTGCATCACTGATAAAATTATTGGACTTTTAATTGCAATTGGGAAAATGATTGCGTTGGAGCTGTTTTGTACCCGTAATCGTTTTTTACCCTTCTTTTTCCAAAAAAATAAATAAAGAGATTAGTTGATAATGAATGACATTCAAACACGGGGAGGTTAAGCTATAACGAACCAAGTTTTGTTTGTTTGCAGGTGGGTTCCATAAACTGAAGCTCATCGCGAATGCAAGGGTACCCATTCTGAAGTTTGAGGGAAGCTACAATATCTCGTGTGACATCTCGATCAACAATGTAAGTGGTCAAATGAAGTCAAAAATCTTATTCTGGATCAACGAGATCGATGGGCGCTTCCTGGTCCTTCTCCTACATAATTTATACCTGATCAGCTTTATGATTTACCCCCTAAAATTTCACCGTTTAGGGGGTTGTGTGCTGAAAAACTGCATCATAGGGGATTTGTGCTACTATTAATAATATGGGGATTTTTTTTGAACAATTATAGTAAAAATAGGGGTGTTGAATGCAATGAAGTCATAGTTATTATTTTTTTGTTTGTCGTAAATTTACAGTATTTACCAACATAAGCTACTATGGAGAAGAATGAAGTGTAATGTATACTAATTCCGTAAAATGATTGCATCTGCAACGATGATTTCTTTTGAGTTCTAATAGTATGGTTACAGCTGCCCTTCTTCAAATATCTTACATGATCACTTTATTATTTATTTATTTATTTATTTTGCTAATACAATATTTCGAATTCATTTTCTGATCTCTTGGTTATGTTTGATGACAGGAAACTAGCTTTCGTAGGTTTTCCTTGCCATTGGTAATGCTCGTTTACAGGCAGGAGATGTTCCGTCATCCAAAAGTTTGACATATCACCTGACAAGACACAGTCACAATGAACAGATATAATTTTTTGGATCTCACTATTAGAGATATTCTTCGTGTGATCAATCCCTCAAAGATGATTGGTCCTTCCGGTTTCAAATTATTAATGAGATACGAGCTATTGTTGGATCAATAGAGGTATGCAATGTTTCATCATATGGTTGTTCTTGCTTATTTTTACTCCATCAAAAGAAAATTTTGTTTGTTCACTTTTTTGGCATAAAAGTAAAATAGAGGAAATGAAACAGAAAATCTTGCATTTTTTACTGGAAAATAGGCGAGTGTCATTCTACATTAGTGATGAGTTGTATTAGGACCCAATTGTAGTATGTTCATGCCACTTTTTTCGAATTTTGCTGTACTAGTTATAGCCCACTCTCATTCATATATGAACAACGAGTAGTGTTTATGTTCTAAAAGTTTCGGATAACCAACTTTTTTGTCCATGAATTTCACATGCTGAGCACAGTAAATGGGTTTAAAATGCTACTTGAGTGCACTAGTAAAAAAAAAAAAATAGAAAAAGTGATTGTAGCTTTTAGTTTTTCATACAATAGCTACCTATGAAATTGTTTCAAAATATATCCGTAGTTTACTCCCCGCACAGAAAATTTTATTTGGCGTAGAAATAAAATAGAGGAAATGAAACAGAATATCCTGCATATTTTACTGGAAAATAGGTGAGTATTATTCTATATCTGGGATGAGTTGCACTAATTTTGCTCGTACTATGTGTAGCTCAGTCTCATTCATATATGAATAACGAGTAGTGTTTATGCTCTGAAAGCTTTGGATAACCAACTTTTTGTCCATGAATTTCACATCCTCAGCACAGTAAATGGGTTTAAAACGCCACTGGAGTGCAGTAGTAAAAAAATTGAAAATCGAATAATTGATTCTAGCTTTTAGTTTTTCATACAAAAGCTACCTATGAAATTCTTTCAAAATATACCCGTAATTTTAGAATGACAGTAACTGAAAAAACGTATAGGCAACGTACCTCCTATATTTGACATGCAAAATATCTTCTGCTTGAAATTTGTAAAAAAAATTTGTGTTGTGATTATTAGTTGTTCTCAGAGAAAAATGCGAATAGCTTCTTTCTGTTTATTTTTATGTTGTTTGAGAACTATGAAAAATGATTGATGACATTATATTTGATGAAATAACGATCAAAACCGTGGAAACAGGTTCAACTGTGGAACCATTTGGGTATTTTGCATCTAATCTCTTTACAAAATGGTACATATATCTCGTCTCCGGGGAAAAAGCCCAAGCAAAGTGTGCTGCAAGAAGTACTAAAAGCTTTCAGAAAGAAAGGTAATCTGCAAGATGTTCTAACGCTGCTTGTTACCTCAGTAATTTTCTTGCAAGATTTTTCCATTACTCGTTGATCTGGTTTCTTGCATTATCTGAATAAAATGTTGTCCACAAGTACATAGCACTTTGCCTAGCCAAATTTCATTTCAGATATGGGCATCGAAAAAAGGGAGTTAATTTCATGCTAACACTGCTTGTTACCTCAGTAATTTTCTTGCAAGATTTTTGCTTGACTTATTGATTTGGTTCCTTGCATCGTTCGGATAAAATGTTGTCCACAAGTACACAGCAGCCGAATTTCTTTTCAGATTATGGGCATTGAACGAACGGAGTTAGTGTCATGGTAGTGCAACTTTTGCACATGAATGTAATCAATCATGTTCAGTACCAGGAGAAAATTAGCAGCATCACATATTAAAATTATTGGACTTTTAATTGCAATTGAGAAAATGTTTGCATTAGAGCTGTTTTGTACCCGTAATCGTTTTTTACCCTTTTTCTTTTTCCAAAAAAAAATAAAGAGATTAGTTGATAATGAATGACATTCAAACACAGGGAGGTTAAGTAACGAACCAAGTTTTGTTTGTTTGCAGGTGGGTTCCGTAAACTGAAGTTCATCGCCAATGCAAGGGTACCCATTCTGAAGTTTGAGGGTGGCTACAATATCTTGTGTGACATCTCGATCAACAACGTTAGTGGTCAAATGAAGTCAAAACTCCTTATTCTGGATCAACGAGATCGATGGGCGCTTCCTGGTCCTTCTCCTACATAATTTATACCTGATCAACTTTGTCATTTACTATTATGAATTATCTCATCAGTATAATCCACTTACATTTTCATTTATTTTATTTATTTATTCATTTTTATTATTTTGGGCTTATTAGCCCCATCATTTTTCTATAGGACAACACAATTGCTCGAGCTCGAATCAAGTTGGGCTCGATGAAAGCTCGTTCGAGCTCGAATTTATTTGTTATGAAAAAAATCAAATTCAAACACAATTTTCGTAGCTCGTAAAAACTAGAAACAAATTTGAACAAACTTGTGTTCGCGTCAACTACTCGATTTGTTTACGCTCTTACTAAATGTAGTTTATTGTTTGATAGCAAGCACGATTGGACATTTCTTTTGATATTGATTATGGGCCTTTCTTCCTGTTTGGGGTTCTCAATTTTCATAATGGGCTTTTCTGAAGTCCAATTTTATTAATTAATTTAATTATTAACTATTTCAATTTATACTGGGCTACTTAAATTTTGAAAAACCCAATTATTAATGAAATTAAAAAAATTGCTTTACTATTATTAGTAAGCACAATTGGGCCTTGCTTTTGATATTGATTATGGGTCTTTTTTCTTGAATGGGTTCTCAATTTTCATAATGGGCTTTCCTAAAGTCTAATTTAATTAATTAATTTAATAATTAACTATTTCAATTTATATTTTATACTGGGCTACTTGTATTTTGCAAAACCCAATTATTAATGAAATAAAAAAAATTGCTTTACGCTTTTAATGCTATAAGATAGTTAATAGTTAATTGCTCCACACTGTAGTACGTTATTTTAACTGTATAAACGGTACAAGTTTGAGTTCATTCAATAGTAAATCTATGGTGTCTCTCATAAGTAATACTGTTAAGTGTTAACAAATAGAATTATGCACATGTTTATTGTGTGCAATTCTAGGAACTATTATATCATTTCACTATAAGTTCTTGACTATCATAACTTCATGACTTACAACATTACACACATACATTTTACTCAACAATTCATTGTTCCGTAAATGTTACATTCGGTGAAAAAAAAATCAAATAATATTATCGATCATCGGACCTTACATATGTTTGTATAAAATATATGACGTGTTGTCACCAATACAATATATACACGTGTGTGGTAGATATAATATGCTACGTCGGACGAATTAAATATATAATCAACGGATATCACGAAGTTACATATATTACATGACGTGTTTCCGCCAATACATACGATATATACACGTGTACGGTAAATAAAACATGCTACGTCGGACGACTTGAATATATTATCGACGGATATCACGAAGTTACATATATTTACATGACGTATTTCCACCAATACAATATATACACGTGTACGGTAGATATAGCATACTACGTCGGACGAATCGAATATATTATCGACGGATATCACGAAGTTACATATATTTACATGACGTATTTCCACCAATACAATATATACACGTGTACTGTAGATACAACGGACTAGGTCAATCAAAAGTCATAGTATATATTAAATAAGATGAAAATAATCAGAAATAATATTTTATTTCTGGCCCCTCTTCTCTCTCACGCACATTTTTCACACAATTGAAAACCCTTTTGCTTAAGCAACCCAAAACCTGTGAGACTGTCACTCTCATTGATGATCTGCTTATCTCAACAAAAATCAATTAAGTGTTTTTTCTAGAGGTTTGTTCACTTCGTTTATCTCTTAGATGATTGCTGCTATGAATTTTTCTTTTTATTTTTAATTTTCTCTGGAATTGTATGAGGGCATTTTTCTGGGTATGTTTGTTTAATATTAAAATTGGGTTTGAAATGTTTAGATTTCCCAATGTGATTATGCGTTTGTGTTTCCGATCATTGTTTGTGATGACGGAACAAAGTCCGGCGCCAACATGCAGAGATATCTTTCAATTATGTGTATCTGAGTTGATTTTTTTTTTTTTTAATATTTTTTTCTGTTTTGATTTCTTCTTAATTATCGTAATCTCTTTTTATATGAACTAATTTCAATAGATGAGAGTTCTGTAAATTTTTATAGAAGAAACAGCGTTATTTGATTTTGGTTTTCCGTTTTCCACTTTGTTTCGTTTGTTGGCTACTGGCGATTTGTACATCTTATTATGTTTCTGCAAATGTACTTTACTTAAGATGAAGCAATAACTATGGGTGAAGAATGTTCATTGTTATTAGGGTTTATTACATTCAAAATCTTATGTTTACTTACTCTAATTGTTAAAAACCTCCACATGTCATTTTGTTTTTGCAAAAAAAACCATATAATTTATATTTTTTTTGGCAAATTACCCCACTAATATTTCACCGATTAGGGGGTCGTGTGTTGAAAAACTGCATCATAAGGGATTTGTGCTACTATTAATAACATCGAGATTTTTTTTAACTGTTCTAGTATAAATAGGGGTGTTGAATGCAATAAAGTCATTGTTATTATCTTTTTGTTAGTCGTGAACTTGCATTATTTACCAACATGAGCTACTGAGGATCAGAAGAATTAAGTGTAAATTGTACTCATTCCGTAAAATGATTGCATCTGCCATGATGATTTCTTTTGAGTTCTAATTGTATGGTTACAGACTTACAGTTGCCCTTCTTCAAATATCTTACATGATGACTTTATTATTGTTTTTATTTTGCTAATAGAATATTTCAAATTCATTTTCTGATCTCGTCAGTATGTATGAATTATGATGACAGGAAACTAGCTTTTGTAGGTTTTATTTGCCATTGATAAAGCTCGTTTACAGCCAGGAGATCCAAAAGTTTGACATATCACCTGATAAGACACAGTCACAATGAACAGAACAATGAACAGATATAATTTGTTGGATCTCACTATTAGGGATATTCTTCGTGTGATCAATCCCTCAAATGACGATTGGTCCTTCCGGTTTCAAATGATTAATGAGATACGAGCTATTGTTGGATCAATAGAAAATCTGAGAGGTATGCAATGTTTCATCATGCTTATTTTTACTCCATGCACAGGAAAACTTATTTGGCCTACAAATAAAATAGAGGAAATGTAACAGAATATCTTGCATTTTTTTACTGGAAGATAGGCGAGTATTATTCTACATCAGGGATGAGTTGCAGTAATTTTGCTCGTACTATGTATAGCTCACTCTCATTCATATATGAACAACGAGTAGTGTTTATGTTCTGAATAACTTATTTTTTTGTCCATGAATTTCACATGCTCAGCACAGTAAATGGATTTAAAACGCTACTTGAGTGCACTAGTAAAAACATTGAAAATCGAATAATTGATTCTAGCTTTCAGTTTTTTGTACAATAGCTACCTATGAAATTGTTTCAAAATATATCCGTAGTTTCTCCATTTTTAGAATGACAGTAACTGAAAAAACATATAGGCAACGTACCTCCTATTTTTGACATGCAAAATATCTTCTGCTTGATATTTGTAAAATTTGGGTGTTGTGATTATCAGTTGTTCTCAGAGAAAAATGCGAGTAGCTTCTTTCTGTTTATTTTTATGTTGTTTGAGACTATGAAAAATGGTTGATGACGTATATCTGATAAAATAACGTTCAAAACTGTGGAAACAGGTGCAACTGTGGAACCATTTGGCTCTTTTGCATCTAATCTCTTTACAAAATGGGGAGATTTAGATATATCAATAGAGTTGCAAAATGGTACATATATCTCGTCTCCAGGGAAAAAGCACAAGCAAAGTGTGCTGCAAGAAGTACTGAAAGCTTTCAGAAAGAAAGGTAATCTGCACGATGTTCTAACACTGCTTGTTACTTCAGTAATTTTCTTGCAAGATTTTTACATTACTTGTTGATTTGGTTTCTTGCATCATCTGAATACAATGTTGTCCACAACTATATAGCACTTTGCCTAGCCAAATTTCATTTCAGATACGGGCATTGAAAAAAGGGAGTTGAGGTCATGCTAGTGCAAGTTTTGCGTCTGCATGTCTCTTAAGACATTTTTTAACACTGCTAGTTACCTCAGTAGTTTTCTTGCAAGATTTTTGCTTGACTTATTGATTTGGTTCCTTGCATCATTTGGATAGAATGTTGTCCACAAGTACGTAGTAGTTTGCCTAGTGCAACTTTTGCACATGAATGTAATCAATCATGTTCAGTACCAGGAGAAAACTAGCAGCATCACATATTAAAATTATTGAACTTTTAATTGCAATTGAGAAAATGTTTGCATTAGAGCTGTTCTGTTACCTGTAATCATTTTTTACCCTTTTTCTTTTTCCAAAAAAAAAAAAAAAAAAAAAAAAAGAGAGATTAGTTGATAATGAATGACACTCAAACACAGGGAGGTTAAGCTATAACGAACCAAGTTTTGTTTGTTTGCAGGTGGGTTCCGTAAACTGAAGTTCATCGCCAATGCAAGGGTACCCATTCTGAAGTTTGAGGGGAGCTACAATATCTCGTGTGACATCTCGATCAACAACTTAAGTGGTCAGATGAAGTCGAAGATCTTATTCTGGATCAACGAGATTGATGGGCGCTTCCGTGATCTTGTTATGCTGGCAAGTTTTTCTAACACTGTGATCACGTGAAGTATATAAAGATACATCGAGACATGATAAAATCAATCTTTTTATGCAGGTCAAAGAATGGGCCAAAGCTCACCATATTAATGATTCAAAGTCTGGAACTCTGAACTCGTACTCTCTCAGTCTGCTTGTAATTTTCCATCTGCAGACTTTGGTACCGGCGATATTACCCCCTCTTAGAGAAATTTATCCCGGGAATATGATTGATGACCTTACAGGTATTCAATAGAATTTTGCTTTCAATTCTCTAAACGCATGTCCAGATTTATTTTCGAATTCTTGCTCCTTTTTTTTTTTTTACCATTAGACAGTACAGTACCTAGCTTGAACTCGAATTTTTTCGTTTTTCAATTTTTATACATTGTAAGATGTACTCACTGTTCTTCGATAATTTTCTCCTGAAGGTGTGAGGACTGTTGCAGAAAAAAATATCGAAGATATTTGTGCTGCAAACATACACAGAATTAGGTCGGACAGGTCGAGGTTGATCAACAGAAGCACTTTGTCTGCGCTTTTCATTTCATTCCTCACGAAGGTTATTTTAAGTACTTGCATTATGATAAAGCAATTTTGCAATCGTGTCGAAGAGATAATGTTTTACCACTTACACTGACAAAGTATTTTTTCTCTTTTGCACCTTCAGTTTGCGGACATTTGTTCAAGAGCTTCTACTCAAGGCATTTGCCCTTATTCTGGTCAGTTGGAGGATATTCATACCAACATGCGATGGTTGCCTAGAACCTATGCGCTATTTGTAATCTCTCTTTCTCTCTCTCACACACACACACACACTGCACACACACAACGCACACGCAGCACACACACTGCACACACACAACGCACACACTGCACACAGCAGATTCCATGTTATAGTGCGCACACAGCACACACATATCGCACACACAGCACACAGCAGATACCATGTTATTGTGAACACACAGCACACGCATAGCACACAGCAGATACCATGTTATTGTGCACACACAGCACACACATAGCACACAGCAGATACCATGTAAGTGTGCACACAGCGCACACACAGCACACACACAGCAGATACCATGTTTTTGTGCACACACAGCGCATACATACTGCACACGCACAGCAGATACCAAGTTTTTGTGCACACACAGCGCACACATACTGCACACACACAGCACACACCATGTTATTGTTGTTGATTTCTTGTAATGGATTAGGTTGAAGATCCATTTGAGCAGCCAGCGAATACTGCTAGGACAGTTAGCAGTAACCAGTTAATAAGGATATCACAAGCAATCCAGGCGACTCATGGAATACTTGTGGCAGCAAATCAAGACCGAACTTGTCTGATTCCAGTTCTGGCGGGCCCACACATCTCATGTTTCTTCATGAGACCATCTGTACCAGCTCCTCCACTCTTCAATCAATTCCCATCAAGAACTTCTTCCAGCACTCAACTTCCATCAAGAGCGTCTTCTTCGAGCAGAAATGGGCATAGAACTCACCCACCACAGAGAAAGAAGACGCAAGACAGTTCTCAGGACAAAAGGTTGGATAAACGTCCAACCGAACCATCAAAGAGTCCAACACCGCCACCATCTACAAGTCAAAAGCAGCAAGTGTGGCGGCCAAGATCTGAGAGCTAAGGAGGGGAGATCAAACTGGTTCTGATGGCTGAGAGAGAGAGAGAGGGGCTGAGTCGATTGTTTGCTGATGAAATGGAACCCCAGAAATCCAGCGTAAGAACATATTTATCAGAGCAATGGTTTTGTTGGCTGAGGGGTTGGTTAATTTTCGAAGCATACAATTACAAACTACAATGATGAGTCATTTTGAACTATAATCATGATAGATGTGCAATTATTTTTGCCCGAGGAAAAACAAAAAACTTTAGAATTCCTTGAACTGAAGGAAAATTCGAACTTATGCTATTCTTGTGCGCAATTTGATTTGCCGAGATTAATCTCGAGCATGATGATGATTTTGTTCTTATGTCTGAGTTTTCATTAATATCATGGGCTAGAGCATGTAAAGTGGAGAACATTATAATGAAGATTTCTTTCATTAATTACTAACCTATGTGTTCTTATACTAATATTATATTTCTTGCTACTTTTCTGGTATTGAAGAACTAGTGCAACTCTAGTGCAGTAAAATGGCAATTTTTTTTAAATAATTATATTATCATGGGCTCGAGCAATTACAGTGGAGAACATTATAATGAAGATTTGTTTCATCAATTCCTAACCTATATATTTTTATACAAATAGTATAATCCCTGCTACTTTTCTGCTATTGAAGAACTAGTGCAACTTTAGTGCAGTGCAAAAAAAAAAAAAAGTATAATAACAGATCATAAAAAATAAATTGTGTCAAAAAAAAAAATTGCAGGAAAAAAATACAAGAATTGAAGCTTCTCTTTTTGCCTAATAGATTATACAAGTGCCTACAACCTCCAAACCAAAAAAAAAAGAAAAAAAAATATATAGTAAGAGAGCCAAAATAAAAAGGCTAAGGGACTATATAAAATCGTATAATATAAATGCTACTGGCTAACGGCACCAAAAAAAAAAAAAAAAAAAAAACAACGGGTCGAGTTTCCTTCTCATATCAGTTACTGTGTGCAGGGCTTACTGTCCATACAGCCGTGTAAATCTGCAAAGTGCATAATTCTTGGAATATCATTCATTTTTATCATTTATTCGAAAATGTACGTTTTGAGCTCATTGCTTAGTATTGCCCAAGTCAATGTGCAGAGAAACTGTATACACAATTCGGAGAGATCCATATAACTTCTTCGGTTCGGTATTTCAGTCCCGTGTGAAAGGCTTATCACAAGCTAAGATCCTATAACTAGCATGCGGGCCCTGAGAAGGGTCCCTCAACGAAACATGCCAACCCACTGCTCTTCCAATCTCTTCAAGTTCCTCCACTATACTCAGTGACTCACGAATATACACACGCCCACCTGGCCTCAATATACGGTCCATTTCAAGCATGATGGTTGTAATATTGCACCTGAATAAATAATTTAAAAAAAAAAACCGAACAATTATATTCAGTATATTGTGCATGATAGTCAGCAGGATTCTACAATTACATCCAGAAGCAGTTAGTGTTACGATAGTGCGATGTTTAAAAGCTGTTACTACTGCCAGAATTTTTTTTTACGTAACATGGATGATACAAATGGAAAACTTTTACATACCTTTTGCGTTCGATTGAGAAAAGTCCAGCAGCATGAATTAAGTCGTAGGTTCTCGGATATGTATCAAATGGCTCACACCTGAAAAGTTGCAGTTAATTCCAAATTCGTTATTTGGAGGGGTTGGAGGGGTGGGGAGAGAGGGTTGGGGGTGGGGTCAATGCTTACCAATCATGCATAACTCCTATGAGACCGCGGTCATATATGACAGGCAGCGTATTCGGTCCACTAACAGGGACAACATTTAACACCCAGCAATCAAGATGATTTTCAGCAAGTGCTGCTGCAAAACTGCCAGTAAAAGGAACGAATTAGTTGGTCTACGAGTTTATAAAATCAACGAACAACATAAAAAACTGCTTTCTCTTATACTGTCAAATTATTTAACAGCCTGAGAACAGGACGAAAAGGACGAAAGAAATTACCCTCCAAACCCTGCTCTCATGTCCAACACATTTCTAAGATTCAATGTATTCCATCGTAAAATACGTATATAGCCATCGATTATTTCTTTCCAGTATCTCGATTCTGCAATAAAAAGCTCTGTCCTCGATATGTAAGCATCAATTTGTATGGTTTGAAGCCTATCTGGAGGATTCTGTAAGCGCTCCGGCCAGTATGTAACATTTGAACCGTATCCTTCCTCGGGTAAACGTGATATGCATGCTTTCAAGTCAACATACCTAACATAATTTGGAAGTCAAACATTGTAAGATCAAAGGTAACTACTTTTTAAACTCTTTTAGATAGTGTTAAATAGATTTTTGTTCAATTGTAAGAGTAAAATCAGAAAGCCATGAAATATACCACACACGGTCTGGATCATCATCAGGTTCGCACAGTGGTGGTTTGACCCCTTCCTCTCGTTTCAAATAGCAGCTGTTATTTAACGGTTTCTGCCATATTGCAATGTAGCCCTCCTTTTTTACAAGTGTCCAACAAAGACGATTGGTAAGGTTAACCATCTCTGGAAAAAAAATAAGTTTAAACAAATTATCAAAAGGTTGCTACTTGCTCCTGTTTGAGAGGCTGGGAGATAGAACATAGTTCATGCCAATGGAACTCAAATTTCAAGAATCTCTCTTAACCAGTTCCAATGTGATAACGTAAAATAATATATAAGGTATAATGCAATCGGGAAATAGGCAACAAATTAAGATCTCTAGATATTTTGTCATAGGTGAGTGGTTTGTACCAAATGTTAAGATATTTTACCTTCCCATTGTTCTTCGAGGACTGCTTCATGCTTATAAACAGGCTGTGCGGCCCAAGCAAAATACCCTCCTGCTCGAAGCATCCTGTTGACCTCAAGTAGCAAAATTCCGTCTACAGAAAAACACGACTATTATCATCTCTCGTTTCAGTTACTACTATTATTACTACTGCTAAATATTCTAGGTAATCGAACATACCATCACGAGTCCAGTTGATCCTACACCTTGAACAATGTATGAAGTCAAAAGCTTGACTCGGATAAAGCAAACGCCTTGTAGCAAATGCAGCCACCATTGCAGGCACGCCACGCTCAAGTGCAAACTGTATCTGGTTCTCATGAACATCTTTCGGCGCTACAGAGAGTGTGATCACATTTCTCGACAATAAATAAGCACCAAAACTCGCAACACCACAACCAACGTCCAAAGCAACTCGAGTGTGTCGCCCAAATCCAATTTCAGGAATCATCTACACAACAACAAAGAAAATTTCAAATGCCTATGTTGTAGATTAGAGCATTTGTCCTTGAATCGAATTGAAGACCTTTTCGATTTGATTCAAGTACTCATCTGCTCCATGGATGAACTGAGTGCCACCTCCGGGAAACTTGAACTTGTCCTTATAAACGGTGATCCAATTCTGACCGCCTTTATCCTCTGCTAAACGAGCATGAGGCACATTGCTAAACCAAACCTGTATAGCATAATAAGATGTGAAATAGATAAAATTCAAATAATTTAAAAATAAAAATAAAAAGTTGACCTCGTCGCGGCTTCTCGGCCATGGAATTGGAGTTTTGTAACCTTCAGGAGCAGGGATCACGCAATTCAACTCATTGCCTTTTTCGGGGCAGTGCCGCTCAAATTTCTCGCCTTTCTCAGTCGAATTCAACTTTTTAATTGCTTCCTCGTTGTCCAAACAGGGTATGTACTCTCTCATACTATCTCCACATTTGGGGAACTTCTCAACCCTAACCCTAACCCTAACCCCATTACTCCGATTCCCGTCTCTCACACTCTCATTCCCTCTCCCTAAATTCTCAACCGATTCGGGATCGTACTCCCCCACCTCAAAATCTTCCGTCATCCTGCCGTCCTCATCGATCACGCCCATCCTCTGCAATGCCGGCGGCGTCGGCGGCGGAGGAGGCGACGCCGAAGATGAGGTTTGTTGTTGATTTGTGGAAGCTTGTGAAGAAACGATATTGTTAATGAGGGGAGTGACATCGACGGTTGTGTTGATATTAGGAGAAAGAGCGACGGCGGAGGAATACGGCGGCGTTTGGGGTTGAGGGTTTTGGTGTGAGGAGAAGAAAACGAGCTGCAGAGCGGAGCCGTCGGAGAAATGCTTGCCCAAGTAAAAGAAAACGACTGAAATCAGAAAGAAGCCGGAGAATTTGATTAGAGCCGTGGACTTGAAGGTTTCCGATGCTGCTCCGCCATTGCCGATGATTCCTTGCATTCTGAAACAATTCAGAAACCCCAACTGCGTGTACGTGTGTTTATTATGGAATAGAGAGGGAAAGAAGGAAGACGACAAATCTCAATTGAATCAAATCATAATACCGTTCGTAATCTTAATAAGGAAAATACAATTTCCGCAATTCACCCCAACATAATACCATATTTGTAATTTTACCCCCACAATAATAGTTATTTACATTTGACCTCTCAAAACCTTTTCACAACCTCTTTATGGTCCAAACATTTTGCCAACACTTATCAGAGCTCGTCTCATATTAAGCTTGTTCAAAATGATTTGCAACCTATCGCACGAGAAATTTACTACTTTATATGACTACAAACTCTATCTAAAAAAGGAAAAGAAATACAGTACGAGGCGCTTGTAGATGGGCTTAATTCGAAATTTATGTATCGAAAGTCGAAACTATTTATTTATTGACACAAAATCATCATTCGAAATAGTTTCTACTAATAATACACGAGGAGTATTGCGTATTTGTGATATAAAAGAATATATTTTAACACTAAACAACAACAAAGGAGATCGATTTTAACCTCGTTAATTAATGAGAAAGAAGGTAGACCATCCCATATTCATGATATTTAACACACTTGTGGAGTGCAGGGAATCCACCATGAACTAATCCATGTATAAAGAAAGGCAAAGTTCACATTATGTAACACATTGGCAAAACTGCATACACAAATAAAAGAACACTCACTCGCTCTTCTTCTCTTCTTCATCATTCAATTACGGGAAAAACGGAAGGAAAGTGAAAAAACAAATGGGGAGCAACGAAGGGTGCAGGAGTAAATTCCAAATGCCACTGCACTATCCAAGATACACCAGAAAGGAATACCAAGACATGCCTGAATGGATGGTGGACCAGCTTCTCTCCGACTATGGGCTTCCTCTCGTCGGAGATTTGGTCCAAAAACGGCACTTTGCAATGGGTGCATTTCTATGGCCTGATACTACCAAAGCTACTCCACACTGCTATGACTCTGCTCTTTACAAGAAAACTCTCTAAGTTCGTGATTTTGCCTGTTTTTTTCTTTTTTTTTTTAATACGAAATGTCGACTGTGCATTTAAGAGCACGTGAAATAAAATGTCGAGAAAATGTAGGAGAAAGAAAAGAACATAAATATATAACACTCGATCCCAAGGAATTTCTATTAATACGCGGTACACAGATGGATAACATTCTATCTTTGCAGGTAAGTTTATGGAAGGATTCAAACTGGAAAGAGAGAGGGCAGCAGAGTGGACAAGAAAAGAAATGCAGATATTAGAAACATAGTAGTAACAAATGTCATGAAAGAAAGCATTAATTAGAGTGTTTATAGTTTTTCACTGATGAAAATGCCAGAGATAGAGATAGAGATAGAGCTAGAGACTCTACTATTATAAACAAGTAGTTCAAAAGAATACTAAGCCCGCCTCCTCAGACGCCGGCCGTTAGGATTCACGGATTCTGCCACACCATCTGCCGCCAGGTCAAGCCCAAAAATACTGCTGCCACTCCTTTTCTTATTATTACCAGACACACTATTCGGCTTCTCGTCCACGGATGCAACTGTTTCCAGCAGTTCTGACAACAGTGAGGGACAGCTCTCTTCCAAGTGTCGGAACCCTTCTGACTGCATGACCACTGCAACACCACAACAACGTTTTTAGTAACCAGCCGAATCAAGATTATTCGACTTCAACGTATTTGAAAGTCAAAAACAAATTCCCATGGGAGATCATAGTACAGAGAGTAGTTAATTATCATCTGAAGAGTAAAACAGATAAATACTCCACTTGCACGATAATTAACGAAAACAAGCAGATTGCCGTAAACAAAACCCTAATAATGTCACGACATTCTAGAAAGTTCGTTCGTGGGAGTATAAGCCGCTTTTTTTACTTGAGAAGGGTCCAATAAATGGAATCACCTTCAGAGATTGCTACTAATAGTCGAGATTCATTTTCATGCAACTTTCTTGACCATATGAAAGAATTCAAGAAAGCTCATTGTACATATTTATTATAACAATCTAGCCTTCTTCGTGTTCTTGATTACATAGTATCATGGCTAAAGGTTTTCTAGCTCATCCAAAATCATTAGAAGTGCACTAGTGCTGACTAAATTGTCTATACTCTGCCTCGTGTGAGTGCACTAAATGATTATTATGTGTTTATACATACTATTGAACTGATAGATACAGCAAATTTATACTTACTGTTCTTGATGAAAACAGATTATACATCAAATCTTTGTGACACGGACTTGGAGTTTAATTGGCTGTCAACTGCATCCAGTTACATTTTTGTAACTGAAATAACAGACTCAGATGACAAGAGTGAAGAAACTTATGTTTGTTAAGATGGTCTTGGAGTTTGATTGGCTGTCAACTGCATCCAGTTACATTTTTGTAACTGAAATAACATAACAGACTCAGATGACAAGAGTGAAGAAACTTATATATACTGTACATTGTTATATTAGAAAACCCTAGCCTTTTCTTCGACGCATTAGGGTTAGGTTGTTATGTTCAAAATCTGGTATACTCGTTGTCTAAATTAGAACCATTTCCTCCCCAAGAATTACCAACTATTCCTACTTGAGTATATCGTTTTGAACCATGATTGCTAGCTGACCCAACAGGGATTGGGTCAATCTAAAATCGGAATAAAAAATTAAGACTGATATTAGATTTTGAAGAGGAATATTAGCTTCAGAAAGTTAACAAGCAATTGAATTAGTTCTTCTCCGACACCTAAAAATAAATGGAGAAAATTTTCCATGATGCTTCTTCTATTGACAAAGTAACAAAAAAAGTAATCACAGCATATTCCAGACATTTTGAAGTAAAAGACCATAACATTTCCAAGCAGACAGACAAGCATCTAATTGTATCAAGAATCTGCCTGCAGATAACAGACTGAAAAAACTAGCATTGACATAACCTGAAAACATTGCACCGCTCAGATCTACGGACTACACGCACCTCCCAAGTTTGTTGCAGCAAATTTTAAACATATGGCCTTGAGCTGTGGGCAGCGATGCTGCTCCGCAAGGGAAAGAGTTGTTGCCACTGTTTCAGCATTGACCTCTTCACATAGTTTCACTTCACATAATTGTTTCAACCTATCTAAACCAAAGCGGTCGGCAGCAGCCAATAGATGTTGCATCATTATTGCAGAAGGTGTAGTTGTTGAGTCCATTATTTCATCAAAACTGGGAAGTTCGTCAGAGTAGATAAACTGGAGCAAAGCCTGCAAAACATTCATAGCAACCTCTATTAATGGAATTGATTTCAAAAGAACTAGAAAAGGGATTAAACATCATATGCAATTCATGCACTAGAGTCTAGAATACACTCAATTGTCATGCACAAGGAGCCAAGGATTCAACAAAAAACAGTTCTGGGGGTACTTAAATTAGGATTCCACATAGCTGTGACTACGAAAACACTGTGATCTTCCAATAAGCTCAACAGAGTACAAATAAAAATTGTTTTCAAGACAATGATTGCTCCGGTTTTATGCAAATAATCAGTAGACAAATCTTTTACTACAAGCTCTTGAGATCAACTACAGAAAAATCTCCTAACTAGAATAATTCTGACACAACAACAACAAAAGAATTTCATAATCTTTTGAGTTTTTACAAAGTTCCATAATCTTTGTGCTCGCTCTTTGTCCACTCGACCAAAATGCTTCTGTTACAAGAGAAGAAACAGATGTTTTACCTTGAATATGAAAGGTTCAACATCCTCAATTTCCACTTTGTCGCTATTAGGATTTCCAACAAGCCCGAAAAATTGGGCTCTAAAGACAGGAGAACGAGCTGCAAGAATTAACTTGTGAGCCCTGAATGATTCTTCCCCGACTTGGAAAGTTATATCACACCCAGTTTCAGAATCCAACAAATATTTGAGACTTTGACCCATATCTGATGGGGGGACGATGACACTGTATGATTTTGGTCCCTCAACACGAGTTCGAACAACTCCAACGGTACAATGCATGGATAGACAATCGTCCTTTAGAAAATCAGAAGTTTCTAGAGAAGTCCTTCTGAAAAATCGTTTATAACCCCTGGAAAACAGGTACACATGATAACATCAGACTACATAATAAAGATTTATAGTTTCAATTTTCCCGAGCAAAGTGCAACTGAAATGAAAATTAATCAGAAAATCAAATAAACATTTACCAACAAGCAATTTTGACGAATAGTGTAACTTCTAAAGCAGCCCAATCAAGTGGATCATATTCAAGAAAAAAAATACAATCATTTGTATTATGTAGTAGATTGACGAATCTACATTCTGTCTTTTCTAGGTGGATGAGTAAACACGACCGGCTAAGCATGGTTCACATTAGTAGACAAGTCTAATTATCTCAATTCAACTCAAACACACAGGCAATTGAGTTCAGATAAGTCTTATAGATTATGCTACTAACTGAAAAACTTTTTCCAACCATGATTGACCACGAAATAACACAGTACTCATATCAAACTTCCATGTATGACAAGAATCAAGTTTATTACCACAAACTCTCTTCCTCACAAACTAATAAATTCCAGAAGACACCTAGTGGACCAAGATCATCAAGAATTACACAAAAAAGCAAAACCAAAATGAAATCCCAATATGACATTCTGCATTCTTATGTCACTTAACAACCACATTCTTGAGAAACAAATCCCAAAAATATATTTAACAGAATGACGTATCATTCAACTATACATTTCAAACCAAAACAATTATACATGAAACTTAATAGAAAACAACATTACCACATGCTTCCCCTGTACTTAAGGGTATACGGCCCACTCTCAAGCGCCCGATCAAAATGACTATGCAGGGGATGCTTCCCCTTCCCACTCTGATGGGAAAGCGTAAGCTCAAACAGGGCCCTCACATCAGTGCCCTCGCTAGCTAAGGCAATAAAAACCGAGACGTACATCGAAGAATCCTCGGGGTTTTTCCCATCCGGATAAAAGTAAATCGCCCATTCATATCCCCCAATGCTGAAAGTATCGGAGGCAATATATTTCCCGGGACCCATGCCCTTTGCCAAAGAGTATCCGCGGATGGTGAAGTGATGCGAGCCATTCACCGTCTCGTTCACCGATCTCGAACTCGAGTCTAGGCCGTTGTTGGGTTCGCTGCAATTCACGATCATCTCATTGATATGGGGAAATCAAAATATTTGAAAACCCTAGAAAATGCGTATATTTTGCGGATTTCTGGACGGAAATTGGGAGAATCAGACGATGGAATTGGGTTGGTGTGAAGAATTTCGTCGTCGATTGATGGATTGTAAGAGGAAATTTCGAGCAGTTAGGGTTTAAAGAGGGGATTTCCGATTGAGATGGGAAGCGGGAGAAGGAAACGGGGAAAGGGAGGGTGCGTTTGATGTGTGATTTTGCGGGTTACGTTCTTTTCACTTCTATGTATATGCAGTAATTGATAGGAAGTCTATTGCATTTTCCTCCCCTTAACTATGAATATTTAGCAAATACACCCAAGTATTTAAAATTTGACATTCACCTCCCCTAAACAATGACATTTGACAACAATACCCTTAAATTATTAAAACTTTGGTATCCCAATAATTTGACAACCAAACCCCTCCATCTATATTTTTCATCAACTGTTTTGTGAAAAATACATATTTATCATTAATGTCAGTACTAATAATAAAAGAAATGTATTACCAAAACCTCATTCTGTATCACAAACACATCTTATTACCAAAACTTTCAAAGAAATATTTTTAAAAAATATCAAAATAAAAATAAATATAAAAATAAAAATTAACCCTACGAAAACTTTCGTCACTCAGAGCAGTTCCACTCGGAAGCTTCCAGAATCTTCCAGCTGCAAGTCTACACTTCTTACAGGTATTAACTTTACATTTAGACATTAGCTAATAACATGTGTAAATGTTTCTAAATACTATAAGTAACAAAACAATCTTTCGTCTCGAAGCCTATTGATTCTTCTTTATCTTCCAAGTGGAAGAAGAGGAAGTATTAGAAGGAGGTGGCCGATCTTTGTCAGACGATCTGAGTATAAACAACAGTGTCTCAACCAGCATGGCGATGACCAAACCAAGTATGCCTCCAGCTGCACTCTGATCATTAAATACGAGATGATTGTTATTATAATTCTTATAAGATATTATTCGTATTTTGGCAGCTACTAAATTTGTGAAAGTTAATAAAATATGATTGTTAGCAGAAGTTACCATAACAGGACTGCGACTAAACAAAGCTCTGAATGCTGCAAATCCAACTAAGTATCCCGTGAACATCGTAACCACAACGTGTAACCCTGTAAGATGGGAACATGTTATTGATCACGAACCATTTTTGTAAAAAGAAATATAAACAAACAAATACACTGCAGAAGTAAGATCAGAAGTTTGGAAAGAATGGTAACACGAATCAAAGCAATCATTAATCTTCAGTTTATCTAAATAAAGATTAGAAAACCTTTGGGACAAAGACAGAGGCACCTCATAAAATCAGATAAAAAAATCTAGATGATTGATTAGTGGTAGTGAAAAATCTAATAAACATCACGACTTCACTTGAGAAAAGCAACTCACAAGTAAACTGAAATACTATTCTTCACCTTCTGGTTGCTACTTAAACATCTTCAATTATTTCATGGATTTTGCATTTCCATCCTTATCTATGGTTTCTTGCAAATTGATAAAAGTAAAACGTCGTTGTTTTTAGGGCTCTCCCTATGAGCCACCTATCCTATTGCATTTGGAGGTTAGCTTGGAAATGGCAAGGTACGAGGTTAAAATGGTGAACTTATAAATCTGATACAGCTACATAATATTAGTTAAGGGACCTCAGTCAGCAAGAATGGCTGCCGTCTCACAGTATAACACTACAACTCTATCGATTGCGTGAAATTATTCCAATTTCCACGTAAAAGATGAGGATTTAAAAACCTCATTTATATGCGATGCTAATTCCATTTTTCCTTGTCCGATGAATTCTCTAAATGTGAACGGTCGGGTCTAGCATACTAGCTCCCCTCTTTCAGACCTCTCCACAAAATTTCAACTTTATTATATTAGTTTACATGTCTCGACTCTCAACGACTTTCCACTCAATCAAACACTCAAACTTTTAAAATCCGAGATCATTAAACAACACATAACATTTGGAATCAATCCAAAAAGAACCCCATAGCCTCCTCAACACAATTTCCATTTCTCAATGTCCGATTTTCTTCAAATCCAAACAAGTCCCAATTCGTATAAACTCTTCGATTAAATATAAACTTTCCGTGCAATTGATAGCTTAATTGTTTCCAGCTAATTCAATAAAAAAGATTATAAAACGAAATCCAATTCATCTTCGACATACTCTTTCTTATCATGTTAATCTCAAAATAAGTCTGCACATCCGAGACAAAATGCATACAAACATAACAACCGATAACGAAAGAGACGAACTAAACGCAACAAAAGTTTTACCGAATCCAATTTGATCCTTGTACGAAGAAAAAGGCTCCTCCACGGGCTTTCTCGGAGTAATGTCCTTCACCAATTCCTGGTAAGCCTTCCTCTCCGCCGCTTCCTCTAGCTTTCTCAATCTCACCTTCAACTCCTCACTCTATCAAATTAACAACCAAAAATTACAAGATAAAAACATAAAATTCAATTAATTGAACTCAAAAAACACGAATAATAAATGCATGAACCCGGATTAAGATATTTCTGCAACTCTTAATTGGAATTACCTTTTCCCTGGGCTTGGGGCTGGTAAAGATGAAATTGCAACCGTTGAGGAGAGATGATAAATTGGGTCGGGTTTCACATTCGGATCCGAACCAGATCGCTTTGAGGGAACGGTAGGGTACGGTTGACTGCGCAATAAGCGACGAGGCAATGTCTCTTAGATCTTCCGATAGGTGGGAGTCCGTGGAGGCTCCGGTGATAAACGATCGGATGGCATCGGTATTTGATATGATCAAGCCGCCGCCGGTGAGCGTGGCGGTGGCGGTGGCTGGTGGCGGAGATGTGGTTGAGAGTTTGGGTGAAACGACGTCGTTGGCTTCGGTGGTCATCTTTGCTCTGCAATTAGACGTGACAGGTTATAAGGCACGAGTACAAGTCAAATTTGAGTATATTTATTTTTCTTAATTAACAATTAATAATACTTCCTTATTCAATATTCACTTTACAAACTATAGACTATAGTGTTAATAAAATTATTAATGATGAAAATTGTTTAGTACTCCTTTATTTGGTTCAAATATTATAACCAGTAGTTGATCATAGTTATTTATATACACTCTTGAAATTTTGCAAAAGTAGATTATTCATATATGATAAAGGAATCCACAGTCTACTTCTTGAAATGCTTCAATTTTATGTGGCTCGGTAGATACTTCAAATAACCGTTAGAGTGTCGAGACTTGGTTCCTACTGAGCCTTACCTTTGGGCCGTTAGAGTTTATGAAGTTTTGGGCGGCAACACGTAAAGTACTTTTAATTACGAAGTTTTTGAGCATGGTCGGCCCAAAGGTAAGGCGCAATAGGCCTATTCCTTGGGCCTTCAAAAAAAATGCAATTTTAGAGTCATTGCGGAATTGAGCCCGTTAACACCAGCCAACTTGAGTGTACTTGTCCATTAGGCTAACATGGGCTTTCGTATATATAAGTTCGTTTTTGGTCTCGATCCATCACATTATTAAGTACTAGACGTACAAAATAAACATGAAAAGGAACAATTAATTACCACAACTTGATATGTAACAAACCACTAAAGTTAGCTATGATCATATGAGCATCAAATAATTTTCCAGAAAGCGCACACACACGTGAGTGTGTGTAATTATGTGCATATCAGCGATTAATAATTACCTGGTGTATTTAGCCGAGTATATCATCAAATAAACCGACACAATTGGGGGAATACTTCAATGGGGAGTGAAGTATATGCTTTGCGTTCGTTAGTCACACTCCAAAAATGATGGTTCCCCATGTGAATCACCAAATGTGCAATAATACCTAACACATGCATGTTAGGCAAATATTGGGCCTTGATGCCTCAGCCCAACTGCCGGAATACAACCCTTCATCTCGTATATTTGCACTCAATTTTATTTATTTCCCCCTCAATAATACAATAAAACATATTAATAAAAAATAATAAATATTTTTTTTTTAATATTTGTGACCGTTTGTTGACGTCACACATTAAAATTCAACGTTGTGCACTTGACTTCTCCTACTGAAGCTTTTAAAATGTCAACGCTTAAAGTTAGGCTTAAATTTAGGAATTCTTTTTTTCCTCTTCAAATTAAAGCGCTATATTAAATTGATTGTTCACACTATCTTTTTGAAAATTTAGGTAAGAATTTATATTTATTTGGACTTAGGTAAAAGTTATGTCACGTTTAAAAGCCGCAGACTAGGATCTGTCAAGAAATTAATAAACCAAATAAAATAAAATTAAATGAAATAGATTCGTGTATAATGGAAGATCTGTGCTTTCTTAATTACATGTTGAAATTAATTTTATAGTATGTGGCCAGCCAGAGTGTAATCTGCACTAGTTTCCAGGTCATCACATGTAGTTGGGACTTTGTGTTGTTGTGCATTCATAATTAATAAAAGAAGTTAGGTACAAGGAAAAATATATAATTAACATTAAACAAATAATTAATTAAATCTCTGATATATCACATTATATTATTGATAATTGATGGTAACATTAAACAAAAATAATATCATTATATCAAACGTAACCAAAAGTGCCCGTCAAAGGCTGCTTAGTTAGTTGAATAAGTTCAACGATCCAATTTAATTTAATTATTATTCGTAATTGTCTAACTAAAAAAATTTTAAGATTCTATTTTTAAATACTTTACTAATATGACGTCATTTGTGATCAGAAGAAATTTATTATAAAGAAAATAATTAAATTAATTTATTTATCAAGTGGCCACACCATGCATTGATGAAACTATAATACATAGCAGCAGCCAGTAGATGCTGCAAGTTGTTCATTGTTTCCATGCTAAAGTCATTTTCCAGCTCTTTAAACCAATTTTCTAAATAATTTTCCAACTACCATTTTATTTGCCCATGTTTATTACTTTTCTTCTTTTTTGTGGTCCAATAATCATTAGAATTATGACTAATTGACTATAAAATATGGATATGGGATTATAAAAAAAGAAGCATTAATTTAATAATGAAAAATTATTAGTTACTACCTATGTAGCACGGACATGAGAACGGGGACTAGAAAAAGTTGGATGCAAGAATATGAGAAAACATGTAAATATTAAAAATATAGGGGTATATTCATAATTTCTAAAAAATATTATAAAGTTATCGTCAATTACATATTTGTGTCTACAAATTATATATAATTTACAAGTTCCAATACGATTTATCATTCCATAAATTACATTCGGGGGATCTTAATTTATCTTAGTATGAAATTAACATCTATAAAAATATATTACAGCACCACTAGAAGTGAAAAATAGATAGGGTCCATTTGATATACACCCTTAATATGAAAAATATATAGGGATAGGTCCACCCCTAAAATTCTTTCTTTGAGATAACCCCCTGGAGAGGCAAAAGTACTATTGTGCCCTTATATCTAATTTTTCTTCAACTGCATTCAGCATTTTTGCTCACTGCATTCAGCATTATGGTCAACTGCAATTAACATTCAGACCTGCATTTATCACATTGTCAGATTTTTTTAATAAAAAATTATAAATGTTTATTTTATTATTATTTTTATATATACCTCTGTTGTATTTTTTATTTTTTTATTTTTTTAATTTTTTAAAATTGCTTAATTTTTTGTAATTTTTAATTTTAATATTTTTTTAAAAATTTTTAATTTTAATATTTTTTTAAAAATTTTAAATTTTTAAATTTTAAATTTTTAATTTTGTTTCAATTCTTTGATAAATTTACTGTATTGAAATTGAGTAGACATGACTCTTGTATATATATTACATATGATTATATAAAAAAAACTTCATCTACACCAAAAGTAAAAATTCACAATTTAATCTTGATATTATAAATCAATTAATACCCAACAAAAAATTGGAAAAACACAATCACCAACATCACTGTACATCAGAAAAAACACATAACTTATATAGCTTATATATAACAATATATTACTACGAGTTACTACACGTGACTATATATGACTACACATGACTATATATGACTACATGTATATGACTACACGTGACTATATATGACTGCACATGACTATATATGACTACATGTATATGACTACACGTGACTATATATGACTACATGTATATGACTATACATGTATATGACTACACGTGACTATATATGACTACATGTATATGACTATACGTGACTATATATGACTACATATTGAGTATAGTCTTTTTCTTATTTTTGAGTAAATATGAGTATAGTCGTATATAGTGTAATTTGGATTTATATCTTCATTTTTGAGTAAATATGAGTATAGTCGTATATAGTGTAATTTGGATTTATATCTTCAAATCCCACATTTCAACCCGACAACAGCTCCGATCTATCGAATGCAAAAGAGTTGTTTCGAATTGAAGAACACCATGTCCTCTCGGCAAAAACTTGGTGCATATAAGTTGTGCAAACACCAAACCTGTGACAGAAAATCAAGTTCAATTTAAATATTTACATTATAAATCAACTCACAACCAACAAATGCAAAGGAAATACACAATCGTGTGCATATGTTACTACATGTCACTATATATTACTATATCTTACTACATGTGACTACATGTGACTATATATGACTATAATTATCTATAGTTAAATCTTCATATATATTCAAAATATACGGAACCATACACGAGGTGTCTAGCATTAGTTGTTATTCGACTCTAATTTATATCAGAAATTTTCAGTCGTCAATCCATCAAAATTGAACCTCTTTATGAGATTAAAAGCTCTTACTCAATTTGTCCTTATCTTCATAATCATAAACCTATAAATAATAACATTTTTATAAAAAGTAAAATAGCTCAACATACTTCCTTCGTTGCTGCCATTTGAATCAAAAACCACATTAAATCAATTCTCAATTCCCAAAGAGAAGAAAAAAAAAGTTGAAAAGGGGAAAACCAAACGGTGGCAAAAATGAAGAAAATACGAACAAATAAAATGAAAAAATTAACCAAGAGAAAATTTGGGCAAAACCACCCAATCATCCAATCCATAACTGGATTAATATTAAAATGACCAAATCCCAAATATTTAATTCGTATAATAATGAATTGTAGGAAAATTGTATTTTTAGAAAAAAAAAATAGAATGAAAAAAGTGAAATAGGAATACCAGTACAACACGGTCGGCCGAATCAATGAAAAATGCAATGCAAACCATCAGAGTTCTTCGAGCCAGAAGCCACCAAAACTACGTCGGAGAAACACGGTGTGTTAGATCTGGTGATGCAATTAGGGCCAGCAAATCCAGTCTCGAGCACTCGCGACGATTTGATGGTGGCGTGGGCGTCGACGACGGTGGTGGAAGGCGGAGGAAGACAACGCAGATGGTGGAAGAAGATAGGGAGCGGAGCGGCGGTAGGAAAAGCGAAGAGGAAGACGAAGAGAGAAGAGAGGGTCTAGGGTTTGCCCGGGGGAAGGGAATTGGAGAGAAAACGACAAACGATGAGTTGCAACGTTATGATTTAATAATTAATTCTTCAAGGGTAATTTTGGTACTTCAAGTTGTCCAGGGGGGTCTACCAAATTAAGATCAAAAACTTGGGTTTTGATCAAAAGAGTGAAAAAAGGCAGGGATCTCCTCTAATATATTTTCAAAATTAGGGGGTTATCCCAAATTTCCCCAAATAGATATAAGAAACGTCCCCGAAACTTTTAAATATTTACAACAGTGGCCCAAAATGTTTCCGACATGTGCCATGGAGTTTCGATTTCCGAAACGTGAAAACGTGTCTAGATAGAAGTTTCCGTGCATCATAGGTTACTACTCGTGATACAAATCGTAGTGTCGCCGCATCCGATTTTTTCTTTTTTGTTGGAGTATTATATAATTTTAATTTCATTTATGTAATTTACACTAATCCTAATGAAATTGAAAATATTCAAAACAAAGATAATGAGTAATGAATATTACAAATATTCGGCTGAATTTAATGGTAATTCTATTAATTTGATTATCCAAAATAGGAAAAAAACAAAGAATTCTATAATTTTTTTTAATTAAAGCGAAGAATAGAATTCTGAATATATGAACAATTAAGTGGGTGAGTTGAATCGGTAAAAAGGAAGTCGTGAAAAGTCAGCTCTGTTAGTTACAGATAGATACAGGTACAGCTGTATCTATATATATTTATCTTTCATAGTTTCGAAGCTTTCCTTCTTCTTACATCAACGCCATCACCGACACCACACACACCCACACCCACACACAGAAAACACCCTGACGACGCAATTGTTCGTTGGGGTTTGTCAAAATCCGAGGAAAATTTAAATAATTTTATTTGTTATCTCGGGTAGCGATTCGACTCGCCTATTGTCTTTGGCCTAGATCTGTGCGAGCCAAAAAGGAAAAAATTAAATAGAAAAAAGGTTCGAATTTTTGGATTGGATTATCCCGTGGGCTTTAATTTTTCGTGAGGGTGGGTGGGTGGGTGTGGGGTGGGATTTTTCATATGGATTTCTATTATAATTTCAGTTAATTTGGTCTAAATCGGTGTTTATTTTTTTTTTCTGATTTGTCTGTTCTATTTGTGCCATTGTGATTAATTTTGCAATGCTGATGTATTTTTGTCTCATTTGTGTTCTGTAATCTGTCTTTAATTTTTGATTAGCTTCCTTATGTGGGGGATTCATTTCCCCCTTTTCTTTTTTGCTCTTTCATTGTTGGATTTTCAAAAGAGCAAAAATCAATCGTGTTTTTTACGTTGTTGATTAATGATCGTCGTTGGCTAGATCGAATAATTTGCCTCGTGTGGCTGTTGCCATAGTGGGGCTCTATGCCATACAAGTGTTTGTTAATTTGCACTCCATATAAACTTTACTAGGTGCTGTAAATTATAGCCAATCTGTGCTATGAAAGAAACATGTTTTAGTATTGATGAAGAATACGAAGATCTTGATAAAAGAGAAGAAGTGAAGTTGGGATCTTTACCAATTATTACAAATTGATATATAGTGTTTAGTTTGCACATACCAAATAATCTCTCTAAGGTGCTTGATTTTTTCTAATATTTTTTCACACACAAACTTAAGCTATTGCGCTCACTCCCACACCCAATATAGGACGTGTTTATTTGGATTTGATTTTCACAGGACTTATCACATTGATCGGTCAATTTGTTCCATAAGTTGCTAACTACTTGCTTATGATATTCCTTTTTTGCTACGGAAGTTTTTACTTATATGATGAGTATTGAATTTTGATTGAAATTTTTTTCCGAATTGGATGAGATCTAATTTGAGCTCCATTTCACTTATCTAGGCTCTGAGTTTCATCAAATGAAAGATTGTTCCTCTTGCTAAATCTTTTTCAAAAGTTGAAATTTATCACTAGACAAACTCACTACTTCCTCGTTTCCCTTTACCCTTTGTCTCTTTCTATTAATTCACTATATTGCTCTGGTTTTATTCTTGCGGGTTATTGAGTTTTCTTGCGATTGAGATTTAGTTTGGAGTTTAATGCTTTTATTGTAACAAAGATATGTGAACTCTCTGTTAAGATTTGTTATTTAGTGGTCGAGATAATTATTAGCAATAAAGTACTTATGGGGTTGATCTTTTAGCTACATCAATTCGAACTTCGAGCATTACTCTATCAATTTTCTTTGTGTTAGTGTAATATGGGCACAAAAAATCTTCTGTATTTTTTTTTGGTTAAAAACCCTTTCTTTATATTTGAGGCTACTTTCAACCTTAGCTTGATTGTGTTTTCTTAAAGTTTCTAGCTCCAATTTTCACAGAATAAGACTTGATCTTAGAAGTAAGACTCAGAATTTAGTTCTTTTAAAGCTCAGAAAATATTTTCATTGCTTATTTTCAGTTTTCGTGCACTACATAAAGTAAGAACTTGGAGTCCATTCTTACTCCATAGAGTCGGTAACTATGGCATGGTCTAGTCTGCATATCTATATCAGCTTATTTGCTATACAATATCAATGGCTTTTTTACTCTCATTGAAAGCTCCAGCTGTAATATAGCTGGAAATTTGTTCTTTTTCCAGTCTAACGTTTTGGACGGATTCTCCAGCCTATTTAGCAAATTGATTATCACGTGACGTGTGTGCGGATAATTGGCTTTTTTGTCAACTACAGCTTTAATTTCTTTTGTTCTTTCTCTTTCCAAATCTGGTTGAGGGCTTGTTTCTTACTCTTCCATGCATCTATAGCATTCGTGTCGATTTTAGTGCGAAACGGTTATGGAGGACCGACAACATTGATGAGAACATGACACTTATCATAGCATAGCAGTACAGATGTCACTGTAGAATTTCGTGGAGCTGCATGCTTCTTCTTTTTTTCATGCATAAATAAGGAGGCCAAGAACTCATCTTATAATTCGTTTCAGGTTATTGAGTTGATTTAAGAAAAGCATCTCAAATTAAAGATGAAGGCCCTAATTCTTGTTGGAGGGTTTGGTACTAGATTGAGGCCATTGACACTAAGTGTGCCCAAGCCACTTGTTGATTTCGCTAACAAGCCCATGATTTTGCATCAGGTATAATATTTCATTCTCATGCAGCTTTTTATATTTGAGTTATTTGGTAGCGAGTCTCTTTCGTCATCAGTAATTGTTCAAGTGAGAGATCTGGCACCGTTTTTACAAATCGACCCTTTGTATTGAAATTAACCGTATTTTTTCTTCCTAGATTCTATTCATACTAACTCTATGTTTATCATTGAATCAGATAGAAGCCCTAAAAGCTATTGGAGTGACTGAAGTTGTCCTGGCTATCAATTATCAGCCAGAGGTATGATCTTTGTTTTCTAACTGCACTTATGCAGATCTAAATTTTTTTTAATTAAATTATAACTAACAATAGACTGCCTTCTTTTGCAGGTAATGCTGAACTTCTTGAAAGATTTCGAGTCAAAGCTTGCGATTAAGATCACATGTTCACAAGAAACGGAGCCTCTTGGAACAGCAGGTCCCCTTGCTTTGGCTAGAGACAAGCTGATAGATGATTCTGGTGAGCCATTTTTCGTTCTTAACAGTGATGTCATCAGTGAGTACCCACTGAAGGAGATGATTGCATTCCATAAGTCACATGGAGGTGAAGCTTCTATTATGGTGACCAAGGTAAGCCCACTTTGTTAGATTAGATCCCTTTAGTTCAATATTTTCGAGTATGAATAAATTAATTTTGTGTATTGATGATGTATAGGTGGACGAGCCTTCCAAATACGGTGTTGTTGTTACGGAAGAATCTTCCGGCAAGGTGGAGAGGTTTGTTGAGAAGCCAAAGATATTCGTGGGCAACAAGATCAATGCTGGCATTTACCTTCTGAACCCTTCGGTGCTCGATCGAATCGAACTCCGCCCAACATCCATCGAGAAAGAAATCTTCCCGAAAATCGCGGCCGAGAAAAAGCTCTTCGCAATGGTCCTACCAGGTTTCTGGATGGACATTGGACAGCCAAGAGACTACATCACAGGCCTGAGGCTCTACCTGGACTCACTGAGGAAGAAATCCTCTCCAAAACTGGCAAGTGGGGCCCACATAATCGGGAATGTGTTGGTGGATGAGAGTGCGAAGATCGGAGAGGGGTGCTTGATCGGGCCTGATGTGGCGATCGGGCCTGGCTGCGTTGTGGAGTCGGGCGTGAGGCTGTCTCGGTGCACGGTGATGCGTGGGGTCCGCATCAAGAAACATGCATGCATATCGTCTAGTATTATCGGGTGGCACTCGACGGTTGGTCAGTGGGCCCGTGTGGAGAACATGACCATTCTTGGAGAAGACGTTCATGTTGGTGACGAGATTTACAGCAATGGTGGTGTGGTTTTGCCTCACAAGGAGATCAAGTCCAGCATTTTGAAGCCAGAGATAGTTATGTGAAAGGTCTGTTTGTTTTGAGAAGATAGAGGGTTTGGTTGGTTATATAGTTTAATGTTTGTGTCTTGTATGGTTTGCTTCTTCGTCTTCTTTCTCCTCTGTTTTTCGTTTCTCTACAGTTTTTGAATTTCCTACAGTCGGTCTAATTGTAAAAGTCTGTCGCCGGTTCGAGTTTTATAGCTATGTCACTGGTGTTGAATGTGTAATCTGTTGTGAATATGAAATAAATTATGTTTTTTTTTTTTATTTTTTTTTCTTTTTGGTGGATTTGAAGGGAACTGGTATTGATTTCTGAATACTTTTATTTTGGTATGAAATATCAATTGAAGTTTCAATTGTAATGTGATGTTGACAGCTAAACTCTTGCAACCTAATTCATTACATCACCTCTGTGTTTAATTCTTGGATGCAGTAGGCTCGGTTCATTTGGTGCCGTCCGATTGTGGATTGGATCGGTGGTTCGTTCTCATCCGTTGGATCTATCAAGATGGCTTATAGTGCGTTGCACCTGATTGAAACTGTGAAAATGGCATTTGCTCATAAAAACACATTAGATGATGTTTGATTTCATATAGTGAAGATCAAGAAAGTCTTGGTGCTGATTGTATTTGTCTTGTCTGTTAGTAAGAAGAAATAATTTAATGTTGTTTGGATCTGAGGTTTGGCTCATGGCTTAGCTGGCACTTGCATCATACAAAAATGTATGTGTCAATCAGTAGTATATGTCCTAAAAATAATTAATAATAAACATATATATTCAATATTATAGCAGAAACTATTTTTCAAGAACAAATATCAGAATATCAAAAGGATTAACAATACTTACTATTTGCTTCAGTAAATCGAACAATGCAGTTGCCCTTTTTTTAATCATATACGAACTGAAAAAAATCCCGATATGAACCGTTCGAATCTCATACATAATGTTTACAAATGGAAGTTTCTACGCGTGTTATCTAAGAGCTCTTCAAAAATTGACAATATATATATACACATAGAGAATCCCGAGGCAAATGTACGTGCTCGTTTGTTCGAAGACGAAACTGTGTTTAAATGGAGGCGACAAGCCAAAACATGACGTACGAAGAAATGGCGAGAAGAAACCAAGAAGCGAAAGCAAAAGCAATGGATATCTGAAACAAATCGCACGACAAATTCGTATCTACCATGCATATATTTGTGTCTCTCGTGAAGAGGACCATTACACCGGCTGATGAGCTGGCAGCTGCAAGTGATAGAGTTGAAGTCACCTGCACAAAGGGGTGAACCACAAATTATCGACAACTCGATATTATTTGGGTTTATAGTTGGATGAATTATTGACATTAAGAAAAGATGAATGTCACATTTTTTTTTGGGAATGGTTGAGCTCATATGCTAATACATTGTTGATAAACTGAATTCGGATACATACGATCTATGTGATATTTGTCAAATAGGGGTAGTTTTGTAAATGACGGAAGAACTAGGACGAGTATTTTGTGCTGAATTTCTATGTAACACAGGAGGGTAAGAGAAACAATGAAATCTATCTGAAATACATTGCACTGAGGAAAGATATTGCATCTAAAACCCTATCGATTCCCGATTGTCTTCACGCACAACTATATCTCTCTATGTCAATCCAAAAACAGAAATCTTACTATTTCGGAGAAAAATGCATGTCAAACAATCTCTTTCACACAATGAAAGACGAATATAATAAGTCTTGTCACTTTAAAAAAAAAAAAGGGTTCAAGAGACTCCAAGAACCAGGACTTGTAGTTAGCTATAGCCTACGATTTAGCACAATATCATACTAATCGTATTTGTTTCCGTTTTACGGCTATGGTCACTTATTCACTTAGTTACTTGCTTAATAAAGCTCGAGTGACCTCCTAAACATTGGTTATTGTGGTGAGGTATGTAAGGTTCACATTATCCCTTCTATTCATCGTAAACGGGATTTTAGACAGTGAAGGTAAAAAGCAATACAAAAAAAACCGAAGCTTAAGAGAGGGAGGTGTTAGTTACCCAATCACCGACGACAAATAGGCTGACAATGATGTTAGTATGAAGGTCTCGGTTGAACCTCAAAGCATGTATATCGAGGCACAATAGTCCAAAGCTCCACAAAACCTGTAGCCCCATCGATGCAATTAAGTAGCTGAATATAACAAAACACAAAAAATTAAAATCAATCCATTAGCAAGAGCACCAAGCTATCACCAGAATCGGCAAAAGCATTAGCAACGACTTCAAAACGGTGCTCGGCATTTCTATGCTAGAAAATGCCCTCTATCTACAAAGATGGTGCTAGATTTGTACACGAGACACGACAAATCGGGCAAAGACATACATATAGATGGTATTGGTACAACTCTTTCCAAGATTAGAAACCCATCGAAATTAATCTCGATCGCCCTGCCCTACCTATCTTATACTACTATTTTCAAACAAGTCACTAATCTTTCTTTAAATACTACAATCAACAAGTTACCCAAAAAAAACAAACAGCCATCAATGATGAAATCATATCCCAATCCAATCAGTACAACTACGACAAAATTGAACAAAAACCCAGAAACATATAGAAACAATTGGGCGAAGAATAAAAATTTTAATTAAAAAAAAATTAAAATTAAAATTCATATAAAAAAAGAATTACCAGAAGGCAGTAGTAGTAGAGAAGCCAGAAGCAGAGGTCATCACCCCAATTGAAGCAGCTGCAAAAACACACTGCCCAGTTCTTAATATCAGCCCACTTTTTTTCCCTGGACTCCCAAAAAGCTCCTTCATATTTCTCTCTCTATATATCTATCTCTTTCTCGCTCTATATCTATATACTTGTCTGTATGTATGTACAATAAGTGAGTATTTCTGGTAAAGATTGAATCTTTATGAGATGGGTTGTTCCCCCAAGAAAGATTGGAAAGTGGGATGCTCTTAAAACATTCGTCCCAATTAGCAAAATCAAGAAAAACGAAAACCCTTCTTCTGCTGACTGATGACTAATCGACCAATTAATATTTAATTAAATTATTATATTAACTGATTAAATTATTGTATAAACCTATGCGTGTATTATTGGCAAGAGTGAACATCGGAGGAGCTTTGATCTGAATCTCTGGTTCATCAGCCGACTGCCGTGATCTTGTCCGAACCTTACCAACTAACAAGAAAAAGAAAAAGGGGAAAAATAATTATTAAAAAAATAAAATAAAAATAAAGAGACAAGTGTGGCTGGTTTTTTGCTTTTTAGTATCGTGCCATTTCTTTTTGTTATTTTAGTCATGGGATAGATACTTTTTATTTTCTGAAAATTCAGACACTCAATTCACAATATTCAACGTTTTCAAATGTGAATTTGAAAATTTGTAAGTTTTAATTTGTCTTAATAGTATTATGATTTTATTTAATGTAAGTGGCAATAGGCCTCAATATCCTTTGAAAAATGGAAATATTTAAGGATTATTAATCATTTTTTATTATCTTCAGACTCCAAATTGCTTTTCAATTACGTTTGAGTGAATAGTGAAATAACTGCATGTGCAAACGCAACAAACATTCTGTGAACTCGAGAATTGATAGGACGTGCACATGTCCTAGGCGGTGGGGTGTCTCGCTTCGACGTTTGATGTCACTCATCGTTTCTCTTGCCCACCAACGTTACTCGTTGGTTTGCGAGTAGAGCGAATTTATTTATATATGACTGCAGTTTTGTTTTATTTATTTATTAAATAATATAGCTGCATAGTCATGGATTTGGAATTGATAAATTGAAATAATTCCATTTATATATAATTACTTGCAAGAAAAACCCAAAAAAATATCAGACTGCTTCAAGAGTTGTACCTTTTGGCCAATCGAGGTTACCTTAAGGCCCTATCTGAAAATTAATGGAGCTAGCAAAATGTCAATTCTGCCCCCAACAGAAATTAATTCAGAAAAAGAAAAACAAGAACAACAATTAAATAATATCAGAGATTTTATTATGCTGTTGCCACAAATTTCATATTTGAAGTAAGAAGCTAGAAAAAAGCAGCCATCCTTCAAATATTGAAAGTGAACTCACGAAACTAAACTGCGCAATCCAAGCAACAATCTGAAGCGTAAATATCATAATTTTTTAAAAACAATAATTTATATCGTTCGAGTTGTGATTCTCATGAAGTTTTTGTTAGCTAGAATCTAATATCATAGTACACAGGAACAGCCGATCCTCGGACATGTGACGTAAAATAGACATGTCATAATTTTACCAGATGCTTGGTCTTAAGATTGCAGACTTAAGTCCTTGTGAGTGTAAACAATGTCTTTGTCACCATTTACAACTTGCCCACTTCCTCTTGCAAGCCTACATCACATTACAACAATGAGAAATAAATAATTATGTCTCGATTATTACCCTCTTAACTTTTTTTTTTTTTTTTTTTTTAATTTTAGTTTATTTGCTGCTATTGGTGTATTAGATTGCATTCTGCAACCGGTAAGAATCTTTAGCAGAATTTAATGTGTAAAGCTCCAATTGTAAAACAGACACTTGAACCAGTAAAAAATCATCGTTTAAAAAAAACAAAAAAAAAAAGGGAAAAACCAGAGACATACCATCGTGTTGTAAGCAATCCCTCGACACCTACAGGACCACGAGCATGAATACGACTTGTGCTAATGCCAACCTGTTCAACAACAAATACATTACAGCCAAACCTTTTATCACTGATTATTTATTCCTGCCACAAAAAATAAATAGCATACCTCTGCACCTAATCCAAAACGGAAGCCATCACTAAATCTTGTACTTGCATTGTGAAATACAGCAGCACTGAAAATGTCAACAGCTTATAGTTAAGTTTACTGCCAGCAGATACAAATCCAATGCAGGCATTTTAAGTTAGCACTTTCTTCCATTTTATTTTTTCAAATCGCATTTTTGAATTTGGTATCGTAGACAAATAAGAGACGAATTATTACCTGTCAACTAGACGTAAAAACACATCTGCCACCTCACGATCTTCAGTTATGATGCAGTCTGTATGACCACTGCAATTTAAGATAGAGAGCATCCATTGTTTAATGTGCACGGTCTTACAATAATAAGCAGCAATCAACAATTGTACGAGCACAATGAAAAAAGATACTAAAAATCCAACATGCCTTCCGTGTTCATGTATATGATCAATGGCAGCATTTACATCATCCACAACTTCAACAGTGCAAGAGAGAGAACTATATTCATGGTGTAGTGAACGGGCCTCGGGAATATTCAGTAAAGAGCTTGCTCGGGGTCCACCAAATATTGTCACACCTGAAAGATATACACGGTCATTATAAAAGTATTGTGTAGGTCAAGATTCTTTCGAAGGCTATATAAAGAAGCCCAACCTTTAATTTGTAGTTCCACAATAAGCTCGTTTAGGCCACCAGTCTGTGCCAAGTCCTTGTGAACGAGCAGTGTTTCCTTCAGAACGAAAGATATCAAATTATTTCGCCATTGTGTAAAATCGACAAAAAAATTGAGATGAAAAATCAAGCATATACCATAGCATTGCAAGCAGCAGGATAATCTGTCTTTGCGTCCAAAACGATTTGCTTAGCCATATCAATATTAGCTGACTTGTCTACATAAACATGGCAGATTCCATCTGGGGGGAAAAAGGACACGGATAAATTTCCCAATACATTAAATGCACAAGTCCACGGCCAAGACTGACAAACAAAGTAAATATCTTACCAGCATGACCAAGAACAGGAATCTTTGTTGAAGCCTTAATTTGAGAAACAAGTTTATTGCTGCCTCTTGGAATCACGAGGTCAATTACATCATCCAGCTTTGCCACAAAACATTGAACTTCAGTTCGAATTGTAATATTGTGGATTATAACCACTAATGAAAAGGTTTAATATAATGAAAAAGAATACTAGTTGAAGCCACACCTTGAGCAATTCAGGGATCTCATCTCTGGAAGTAACCAGTCCAATAAGTCGTTCCCCAATATTTTTCGGGATGGCAGAAGTAATTATCTAATAAAATAATGAGAAATTAAGTGATAAAATACAGCATGTTCAATCTAATATGCTGCTAAAAAAATGCATTCACGTGATTTAACCTTATGTAGGATTGCATTTGATCTTCTAGCTTCTTTACCGCCCTTTAACAGGAGCCCGTTACCACTCCGAATTGCTAGTGAAGCGATCTGTTTAAAATCAAACAGCATGCAACGAGATTGTATAAGTAAAGATGCAAAAGAAGTTTAGGTAAAACATAATTAATTCTATATGCACAGAGAGGTTGTTGCGTAGAACATACTTGCACCAGTGCATCAGGTCGAGACTCAAAAATTATCAAAAGAACACCGAGGGGAGATGACATCTTCTCCAGGATGAATCCTTCCGAAAGCTGCAGTAATAATTGTCAGAAAATCACAACAAGATTCATAGTATCTGATACCACAAGTGTAATGAAATGGAGATCATCAATATCCCATTTTCATACCTCTGTTCTCTTCAAAACTCGACCAACTGGCTCCTCCATGTTTGCTAGCACACGGATAGAATTAGCAAGACTAGAAACCTACAGATCATGAAAACTTTGAGAGAGAGAGAAAGAGAGGGAAAGAGAGAAACACACACAGTACCACGGTAAATACTTTAGTTGAAAAGGCCACACAGCTTTCATGGCAGCGTCTTACCTTACCAGGCTTCAGGGCAAGCCTAGAGATCAAAGATTTATCATATCCAGCCAGCTGTGCCTCAGAAACATCAGCCTCGTTTTCAGCGATTATTAGCTTCTCACTTGCTTCAAGAGCATCGGCTACATCCAACAAAATTTTACTTCTCTCTTCTGAAGGCATAGCCTGCAAGGCAAAGTATTAAAATGCTAAGAACAACTTTTGTTTTGTGCACTATATCAGAAGAACTTCTATTCAATAATGACTACCTGCAATCGTCGTGAACTTTCTCTAGCTGCAACTGCCATGTCACGTGCACCAAATTGTCCTTGTGAGACCCACTTAATAGCATCCCGATGAAACAGAGTACCCACGAGCTGTCCGTTTAAAACTTTTATAATATTTCCAGCAGCAAAACCACTTCATCCACAGAGAAACAGGGGGTGGGGCATGGAAGACAGAAAGTGAATGGAAATCCCACTAAAACGAAGCAGAAAGAAATAACCAGCAAACAAAAATTGTTGCTCTCACAGTATCACGATTCACATGGTTTCCATTAAGTGAACAATGTGTGAGTCGTTGGCAGGACTTTTGAGAAATACAGTTGAAATACCATAAGTCATATCAAGACACAAAAATTTTAGGATGTTGAAAAATCATATAGTACACGTGATGTCTGAATCTGTAGTTCAAACAATTTCAAAATGTTCATATAAGCATAGGGAGTATGATGCACTGCAGATTTTCAAAGAATAGACCATTCGTTTGATGGATTTATGAGATTTTTAGACTTTCTTGATGGCTCAAATAGACAAATACTCAGTATATTACTCTTATCTTATCATCCAGTTGTTGTAAGAACAATAATCAAGATTTGAATTAAGATAGAAACATTGATTTAACCAGTTTTTGTAGAAAACAGCTTACCTGGTGATAACGACAGGAATGCCAGCATCAGCAGCATGAACAGCAGCTTTTACTTTAGCCGTCATACCACCTCTTCCAACCCTAGACTTGTCTCCAAAAGTTATGCCTCCCTCGTGTCTTTCCTTAATGTATGTCTGAATTAACTCAGAATGTGGGTCACTTGGTGGACCACTATAAAGACCGTCAACATCACTCAACAGGACAAGGAGGTCAGCTTTTAGCTCCAGCGCTAGGAGAGCCGCTAAACTGTCATTATCCCAAAATATTCCAGAAGAGTCCTACAAAACAGCAACATATGAGGAAAACAATTCTAAGATGTGCTTCCTGTTTAATCACGATATGTTTTGTAATTTTTTGTTGTCTGTTTGGCGACATGCAATTTTTTCAGCAGAAACAGTTCAGGTGTCTCGATGATATCCCTACTAAACTTTCAGACATCCAATGAAAGCAACAAAATTAAGCAATGAAGTCAAGAGCGCACCTCATAAGGAGCTCTCCTGGTACTAACAGCATCATTTTCGTTGAATATAGGAACAACCTTCAGAGACAACAAAGACACGACAGTCTCATTGAGTTGCTTCCTAAATTCGGTATCTCTGAAATCATTATCAGTAACTAGAAGTTGCGCTGAGGTCATATCCAACTGCATGAGAAAAACAAATTCATCAAAGATTAATTCATGTGTGTATAAATTAGCATCTCTCTCGAAGAACGACTTATTTTTTTAAACTTCTACACCAAAAAGTAAACAGAACAAGTCCGTTGAAATGAAAAGACAAATAACATAAAATTGCAATGAAAGGCACACAATTTCCAATTTCACCTGGCTGAACAGAGTATCATAGAGAGCCATAAGACCGTTTTGACCAACAGCTGCACAAGCCTTACCATCAAGTTCTACTTGTGGTTTTTGGAGGTCTGCAAAACTGCAAGGAACCCAATGTCAAAAAATTATGAACAAAAAATGGAAAAAAAGTTAGATATTTTACAATTGAGATTTAAAGTGCTTTCAAATAATTATTTCCCGTGATTAGCAAAAATGTCGTAATGGGAAAATCTGCTTCAAGATCCATTGCAAATTTTAGCAACAAAGTTGTTGGTGCTGCTATATAAGCACTATTAACATATTAAGGCAGCTGTTAAATTTTAGTACAGAGATTAATAAACAAAAAATGACAATTAATTTCTTGAATATTATATCGCAGGAAAAGATTCCATTATAATATGTTAAAAGTCTCAGAAATTAAAATTGAAGACAAGGGAAGGGAAGCAAAGACCTGCTATTAACTAATCTCCTGTATCTTAGCCGTTGGCGGCCCACACCAACAGCTCCTGAAGTCACCAAAATAACCTCATATCCTTGCATGTTCAGTTCGTGAATCTGCACACGATTTGTAACTCAACAATATAAGAATAAAAAAATGTTTGGGGATGTTAGCAAATGTGGGAAAACAGAAAAAAATAAAATAAAAAAAATGTTTGTAATCCTTGAAGTCACCTGCTCACAAAGTGATCCTAGTCGTCCAAGAGCTAATCTTCCATCAGCTCGCGTGACAACAGCAGTTCCAACCTTAATTATTAAAGATGAAACATCATTTAATCATAAAAACAATGATCTTGAAGTAATAAGACAATCTAAATGGGGGAGAATAAAGTTCGGTATAAGAATTAAATGACATTTAAACTTTTACTATTATTGCCACACAACAAGCCATGTTCTTAAAACATTTTAACCCGGTGCCAATGTCAAGGACTACAATTTCACCTAAAAAGCAACTAAATCTAACAGCATAGAGAAATTCCCAATGCATATACTGCTACACCTCCAATTCAATTAATCACAGTACCAGCAACTAACGTTGCTCAACAATTTTAATTTACGTTTACCGCTCAAACATCCTATTTCAATATATTTGTATCTATTGTTTTGATTTCCCGCAACTAACAAATTCAATTTAAAGTCAAATACAGAAGACCCCAGAGTTGCCAAGATATGCTTGGATCCAACTGCATTTATGTAAACCTCGGAGAGCTTTAATTTCTATAACAAAAAAATCCTTAAAATAAATACAGTATTTGTATACTAACTTGAGCACATAAACAACATTTCGTACTAAGTGGAGCAATTTGTGACAAAAGCCTCAAGATACCATTGCAGCTTTAGGGACCAACGAAACTTGTAACAGAAATTTAGGAAAAACCAATGTGTTATTAACTTGCAAATCATCAATTTCCAACATTCTTTTCTATAATAACAAAAGGACTATAACTTGCAACTTGCTTGATTATACAAGTATTCACATTCATCATATAATGGCTGAAGCTTAGTCGAGAATCAAGAGAAGTTCGACAAGTTCGTGCAATCACTCAGCAATCTCTGCTAGATTTCAAAAATTCTACAGACATAATTCATCACCATTGGATTACGTTACCATGTTAACCTCATTACAGAAGAGTCTATCAAACACCACCAGGAATCGTCACAAAAATGATCAGATTAAAATTAAACGAACAAAATAACCCAATTTTAATCCCAAAAAAAAAAAAAAAAAAAAAAAAAAAAAAAAAAAAAAACACAACCAAACCACGAAGACTAACAAACGACTAAAAGGTTGCTACTAACCTTGATGACAACACGCTTAACATCTTTCACAAATGCACGAGCCGAATCCAAAGCCTCCATTTTTAAGCTACTGCGAGAAAAAAAAAAGAAGAAAAAAACCAAGTGCTGTGGCAGAAAGAGAATTGCAGAGATGAATGGAGTAAAAGGAGAAGAGAGGACGAGGCGACCCGTGACCACTCCTTGTATTTATAGGGTTTGGCAGATGCTGAGGCAGAGATTTTAGATGTATACACACAATATATAGATACAATTTGGATGAAGATTGTTATTATGTTTAGAGAATTAGAGATAGCTACGAAGTGAATGGGGGCAATTAGATTTAGGCAGGGTTTTGTCAATTTTGTCTGTTTGATTCTCTCTACTTGATTATATTTAAATATAATTATGTTATTAGCACATAATTATAATTATAATTATAATTATAATTAATAATTAATATATTTTACTTAATTGCACCGTATCCTAAATTCGACAAATTGTCTACACGGATGGCGGATTTGTCGCGTGGGACGTGAAGATGACGTGGCGCGTAGACTCACGTATTATTTTATTTAAAAATAAGCGCGCTGGCATCGTGCGAGGAAGAAACTTGATAAAATTATTATTTATTTTTCTGGAGTAAGATAAAATTAAATATTTACAACTTTTTATTTTAGTTTTTTTATATCATTATATATATATATACAAAATTTTAGTTTTGGTCTTTCATAGTCAATAGAAAATTATAAATAAAAAATACCATATAATATTATTACTAAAATAGCTATTTATTTGTGTTGTGATGGGATTATATAATTGACAGTACTGAAAAACGATTTACCAATTCTAGTCAACCTGTTTATTTTAACAAACTATTTGTAATTATTACAAGTCAAAGGGTTTATTTCGTGTACTAAATTGTCTGACATTTCAAAGTTGCATTCTCTGAATTCCAAAATTATCATAATAATTCAAATAATAACTTCAGTCAAAATATATAATCAATCAATCTATAAAAACAAGAAATTATATATATACTGTCCCTCAACCACACACATCAATCAATCTAAATTTTAAATAAAACCAACAAAAACTAACTAAAATCTGCTGTAGCAATCAATACCAATAAAGATCACATTAAATTCCTTCATTTTTACAGATAGTCGAACAAGCAAACGACTACGTCAAGCACCAGTTTAAAAGACGAATACTAACCGAAAACTACACTCAAAGCATCTGGCGGAGCTGCTGCGTTTCCTTTCGAAGTGATTGAAGTTCTTTCATAATCTCAGACTGGTTTTCCAATATCAATCCCATTGCATTAGACGTTTCCATCTGGGGATTAGATCCAAATATATTAGCGAAAAATCATGGCTAAAAATATAAACCAAAAAAAAAAAAACACGTGCAGTGAGAGCTATACCTCCTGCATATGGAACTGTCTTAGTATTTCTATGTGAAGATTACGCATGTCGTCGTGAATAGATTTCTGAAATGACGAGAGAGTTTCTTCGAGTGTACGCTGAAAAAGCTGGAGCGTAAACGAGTTTCCCTGCTGTGAGTCAGGCTGCGAGGGAGCTTTCTGTAATTGTGCCGCTCCACCCTATCATAAGAAATAGAATTTTGTAAGGGAAATAAGACTCGGTTTATAATATTGATTCATCATCTACAACAATCTCATGTGCATATATATATAACACGCTCGTATGTATGTATGTATGCATATGTAGTCATCATAGATGACTGAATTAAAATCTAAAACAGAGAATGCAACATTTTGATTGTTTCATACATTTGCAGTTGTGGGGACACCAGTTCCTGCGGCAGATGGCATTTCGGACCTTGACAACAAGCTATTGAGAAGCTCTTCCCTCGTTTCTGCTCCTGTTTTCTTAGATTTTGGCGACCCCGCTGCAAAAGATGATGCATCACCAAATGATGACGTGGCGCCTATTCGCTCGGCGTAGCTGGAAAATCTTCTAGGAAGAGACAGTGATGGGCCAAGATTATCAAGGTTAGCCTGCGCTGCCATGATTTTCGTACTTAAAGGAGAGGAAACTGCTTCTGAAGATGCTAATAAAGTTTCGTGATTGTTGGCTTCTCTGCTGCTGCGCAAATTGGCCAGGGTCAAGCCTGATGTTAAACTGCTTGTACTCTGATTTGCGGTGACACTGTCTTGTAATCCAGACAGCATCAATGCTGACGTGGAACTGGTGGATGTTAATGTTGCGGAACGAGAAGGCATGTTGATGGAGTGGCGATGGAGATTGAATTTGTCTGCCAGTCTCTCGCCACCCCAAGCTTCGGGTGGGGTAACGGAAGTAGAATCATCAGTGCGTGTCGATGCAGGGCTAGTAGTCAATTGTGAAAAGGTAGAACTGATGTCATCCTGCACGAGCTCGTGTTCCCGTCAGAGTGTAATGGAGACAAAATGTAATTGATTATACTATGCAATGACTAGCCTAAGTAAAAGGCAACGAACCAAACAAATTTAATACTAAAAACAGGCACTCCTAACAAAAGAATAGTTCTAGTCGACTGATGTCCGTTGAGGTATTAACTAGATGTCAATTGTGTGGTGAAGGTTTTATGTGTTTATTCGAAACACTATATTTCACTAGTAGTCCCTTGATTCGACAATTTCTACCAGGACGCTCTTCAAAAGGCTTTACAGAAAAGTTAAAGCTATAAATTTATTAGTGACAAATTCTATAATCATACGAGCTTTATAAAGTCAAATAACTCATATAAGCTTGGAACATCATGCAACTCAGAACAAATATGATCCCATTTACAATTACCTGTAAAACAATGTTAACTAAACCGCCCCAATTAAAGGCACTCTTATGCTTACACTAGAGATGACCACAATGTTATTACGACATGCGCATAGTTAGGGGGTGTTGACTCATACATCAGTCATATATTCAGCATATAAAGAAATGGTTGCCACAATAAAACGCTTATTAACCACCAAGATAAGATTATGATACTCTACACGGCACACATCTTGATTGAACAATTTTACCATAACATTTTTTATGAAGTTCTATGAGGATTATAAATATCCATATTTTAGAAGTAACGACCTACCAAGGGGCATTCTCACATCATAATACGACCCACCATTTCCTGCAAATCCTTTTTCATATCATGTCTTCTACACATTTGTTATAATCAAAATTTTCATGGCATTCCATTTCTCATTTTTGTTTTACAATTTTCTTGTCACTGAAGAGTGAAATTCCAATAAATACCATTTACCATGAATTGCTCTTAGTAAAGCACAGGATTATAAGTTCCAAACCTAAAGATTACTACTGATTAGCTCATATTTACGTTTCCATTTAGGAGTATAAAGTAAAATGTGAAATAAAATATTAAATTGAAAATAATATGGAGAATAGGTAAGATGTACCTGCTTGGCTGACAAAGTAGATTTCCAGTCAAAAACCGGATGGTTATCATTGGCCCCGTCTTCTGAAAGACCAAACCTCCTAGAAGTGGATAAGAAAGATGGTTTTCTACCCAGATCTTTCTTTGGATCATCCCACAACTTATCAAGAGAGGGTGTAATTGGTTGAACTTCCACAAGGGGAGAAAAGACCTCCATATCATCCTTGAAGTTATAACTTCGAGGTGCATGCAATCTTGCCAGAGGTCCTCCAGTTAATAAGCTGCTCCGAAGAGGTGTTTCCTCTGAAGCAGGTGCAGATCCTGCAGGAAAAGAAAATAAATCTCCAGAGGTACCAAAACGGCTAGGATTTCGAGATCCGGAAACTGCTGAAGGCATGGAAAGGCTTGACGTCCTAGAAGGAAGTGGATCAGGCATAAGAACGGAATCCCCTGCATCACCGGCCAAAAGAACAGTTTCGTCCGTGCAGTTATTTTCATTAACCATTACAGGTTTTGACCTCTGCCAGCATAAATTTGTGACGGCCTGATAAAGAAAAAAACCATGTTTCATGAATACAAAAATGCTTCCGGATCTTTTGATGCAGAAATAAGCATGGGCTGGACACATAGATTGAAAATAGTATTCTTTACATAACATTTAGATAAACTCATTTTCTTTTAAGGGTAAGCTCATTTTAAATTTTTGATAAGGGACAAGTTTCAGAGTCGTCTTCTGCCCATCACCAGCTATTAACTAACTTAGCAAAGAGCAAGATAATAAATTGGGCTTTCTTGATGGGGGTTGACAAAGAAATCAAACAAAATGACAAGATTGTGGTATAAAATAATACTGCAAATGCCTTTTGTAGAAATCCTCAAGATATGCCATCACTTATATAACAAAATCTCCAAAAACGGGAAAGATTCAATAATATCTAGAATGTGAAGATCACCTCAGAATTTCCATATGCACGGAGAACAGTGATTGGTTGTGGTTTCCCACGAATATCGTAGAATACAACCTGACCAGTGCTTGTACCAGCTGCCAAGGTTAATCCATCATCACTGAACGCCAGTGAAGAAAAAGGTGCCTCATAAGGAATACAAGAAGATGGCTTCTTGGACCCTGAGTCGAAAGTGTATAACTTCATATCTAGACCAACACTAGCAATAATCTGCCAAATCCACGAGAAAAACAAATAAAGATATTTACTCTATCTTTTATGATTAGTAGTAAGCAGTTTCACTTCAGTGAGTCGAAACAGCACATACAGAAATTCAAGTCAGAATGATAAAGAAGAGACCTTGTCATTGGATGGTGAAAAACTAACAGCAGAGGTTGGTGCAGAATGCTGCTTCAGCCAAGAAGCCTGTCAAATGCAAAAGGAGTGTCTGTGATACACTACAAAGTAACAACCCAACACATAGTAGAACGCATTCGGGGGAAATTGAAATATTGCACCGATTAAAGTCAACAATGCAAGCAATTCAAGGATTTAACTGCGGTATCCCTTAGCATCGGTTATATAATGTAATCATGTATTCTCATTGATCTATAATCCACTGTTGTAATGCTAACCTTTGGGCTGCGACCAGTTGTATCCCACAGGTGGATGGACCCATCATCACCAGCAGTAACCAAAAGGTGCCTGCTCATCCGAGAATAATCAAGTGCCCCCAGAACCTGGTCTTGTATTTTTCCGGAAGAAGAGTAAAAATCAGATCCATCAAATAAACACAATTCTAAGTGGCTTTGCAGCAATACGGGTGCTTAGAATAATATAAGAAACCTGTCCATTAGGGTCCCTGAGTTCAGCAGCTTTGGTGCCTGAAGCAAGGTTGTGAAGTATAAGATCTCCTTTACGACTGACTGAAGCTATATGTTCATCTCTGCAGTTGTACATTACACCCGTTATCGTATCAGTATGACCTTTCAACCATTTGACACAACGCTTGTTCTGCAAATCCCATATCCGTACAACTTGACCAGTTCCACCAGAGCACAGATATCGAGATCCTTTATTGCTGAAGCTGATAGTTGATATAGACTCTGAAGGCTTATATATTTAAAAAGAATAATGAGATGAAAAAATGTGAAGTACATGTTTCAGGTTAGATTCAGGTGTAACATTCATATTTCAGGTCAAACACATGTAACGTTATAGTAACCATCAACTTATCATATAGAAAACTCCAAACTATTTCTATAATCTGTAAACTATATCAGGGTTCTCTGCGTATGCAGGAGATAAGTATTTATTTGTTTTTTTCTTAACCTTTCAATTTCAGTCTAAACTCTACGGTAAGTGTCAGTCTCATTAATGTTAATTTTTCGTGGCCCTCTGGATCCTAACCAAATCCTGGTATTCAAACAGAATGGACTATATACATGTCAATAGCATTTGCTTCAATTGAACGTAATCTCTAAATTGGATTCATTCACTATTACGAAAGGTGTAAATTACCTTGACCCAAGAAATCATACAACTATACATCATGAACCTTAAAACAGCCAACAAAATAGCAAAATGCACGCCCTTTCATCCACAAGGAATTGCCTTCAAATTATAATTTAGGGACAAAAATTCAATGCATCAAAAGAAATCTTAATGTAGATAATTTACCTCGGCAATTTCTCCCCTTGTGTTTTTCGCAGGCACCATCCACAAGCTTTGCCCATTTTTCCTCCATAATGATATTTTACTATCTTCTCCGGCAGTCGCCAGCACTAAATCTAACAAATTAAATACAAAAATTAAAAAGTGCATTGCACAGAAGCATATTCAGAGATAACATAAACCTTTTTTTTCTTATTGAACTGAAAAGGGAAAGAGAAAATTGATCTACGAAAAAACGCTGATAAATGTGCACTAACTGTTATGATTCCACTTCACTGAATTCACACGTAATCCTGGAGATGGGGAGTAGGTCAGTACGCATGGGTTCTGAGGCTCCACCGAGATGTCGAACAGCTTCACGGTGTCCCCGCCGCTCGCTGCCAGCAGCAGCTTCCCGGATTCCGCCGAATTCATGATTCAGTGTCACAGTACAGTAAGAAATTGATGGGGAAAAAATGAGGGTTTTGAAATGTGGAGGTGGGTGGAAATACGATGGTTTCTGCTGGTTCTCTGTATGTATGTATCTGTGTAGAGAGAGATTGGAAGAAATTCAAAAAACAGATTTGGGCCAAAAAGAGGGCGCCTTTAATATTAGTGAAAATTGCAATTTAGATCACAAAAATTGGATGAATCAACTTTGAATTTGCAATTTTAAATAAATAAATAAATAAAAATTGAAGCAAAAACTCAATTCAAATTCGGTTCCAAAAAGCAACAAAAAAAAATTAATTTAAAAAAATAATAATGAATTATGGAATTTCCAATAAGTAGTAATTACAGAACTGCCACTCAACAAATAATTACAGAACTGCCACTCAGCCCATTAACATATTTTTCTTTCGATAAGGCCTAGCAGCCCAATAACTTGATGATTATAACTTAAAAGCATTAGCCATAAGATATATTAACTTGGTTAATTGGGCCCAACTTCTAGAAGTTAGAATATTACAAATTTGGGCCAAATACTATACTGAAATTTAGTTATGTAAATATTTTTTGGAATTCCGACATTCGATATAGTATACGCCATACGGTATTAATATCCGATATATCGTACCGTGCCGAATGTCAAAATATTTTCTTTTTTGTTTTAAATTCTTTAAGATTATAACAAATTAATAAATTATTTAAATTTACATTTTACTCTATTATTTACAAATTAGCTCTATCGATAATCGTTGTTTATTTTTAGGGCCGATTATTGACATTTGAATGTCAAATTCAATAATTAATCGGTTTAAAAATATATTTTTGTTTTTTTCGGTACTGAACCGAAAAAAACTTAATTAATTCTATAAAAAAAAACGTATCGAACCGAATAGTTTGATTCGATAAACGGTGCAAATTTTTCAAGTACCGAAGTTCCGACATGGTATACGAATGAACATCCCTACTTACATAATTAAAGTTGATTTTTCTTGTTATTTTTGCTAAGTAAGACTCAAAATTTAGAAATATGCAATTATTTCAAATTTGGGGTCCCCTCATTATGCAACAAAGAAGAATATGCCGGTGGTTCGATCTAACAACTAGATTTCTTTTCTTTCTTTTCATGTTGGATCAACAAATCACTTTTTGTAAAATAAATTAAAGAAAAATCTTAATTATTATATTAATTCGTTTTTTTTTATTTTATTATAATGGAAGGAATACTTTTTATCGTGACAACCGTAAAAGTGGGTGGAGATACCAAAAATAAAATAAAAATAAAGAAAAGAGAAAGTCGTGTCGTAAAGCTGAATTAGCGGTTGTTTAAAGTGTCAAATCCTAGTCATTTTATGCCGTTTTTAGGCTAACCTCATTTGATTCCCATCATGCCCCCCACTTCCCATTCCCATCTTTCAACGGTTGGTTCTAGTTATATGCAATTATTTTCAATTAATTAATAATAATCTTGGTCGTTACATGTGATTTATCACGTGCCATTGTACTAATTATATTAGCTACTCTCAAGTAGGGTGGTAAACGAGCCGAGCCGACTCGTGAGCTCGACGAGCCTGCTCGTAAAAAGCTCGAACTCGGACTCGAGGTTTTCGAGCTCGAGCTTTCTGACGAGCCGAGCTCGATCCGGATTTCAGTTGTTCATCAGCTCGCGAGTCGAATTTATTATTTTTTTTATTTTTTATATGTTATTTTTATTTAAATAATGTATAATAATATAAAATATCACAGAAATAAATACAAATATTAAAAAATATATATAATCACAATTTAGTTTTTATTTTGTATTTTTTTAAAATAATTTTTAATAATAAAATAATAATTAAAAAATATTTAAAAAAAAAGAGAGAGAGATTGGGCTCGAGCTCGAGCCAAAAAAAGAAGAACTCGACGAGCTCGAGCTTGAGCTCGACAAAATAGACTCGAGCTCGAGCTTGAGCCAGCCAAAAGAGGCGAGCTCGGCTCGTTCACACCCCTACTCTCAAGTGTTGTAGTTTGATTAATTTTTTTTTATCATATGGACATTGATTGTATTAATATGTATTCAAATATTACAAGTAATAGGTACTGAGATTAAATTTTGAGCCGATCAGCCAATATTTAATATAAATCGGATTCCACTAATTTTTTGACATGTGACACTCTAAGTCTTAATTCTTAATAATTATTATAATTATGGTTAGAGAGGTTATGGGTTATGCTGATTTTTTTTTCAATTATTAGAATCTTAAATATATTTTTATTTAAACTATCCACGTGTCAATCATCGTATTACATCCGATTTTCTTATTAAAACAGATCATCCGGTCTAAATTTGCACGCATAATTATTTGTACCAAATATTCAAAGTATTTACATCATAACTTTTTTTTTTAATTTGAAGGCAAATTACGGTCTACCCCGAAGTATAATCAAATTACGAAAAAAAACTTTTTTTTTTCTTTCTCTTTTTTTTTTTTTTTTTTTTTTTTAATTAGAGCTCCAATATCTTGTGGACTTTCCTTTGCTAAAAGAAGATTGAAGTGCTAAAGTGCGCAGTTTGTCCTCAATTTCCACGGTGGCCCCCCATTTCGCGTTTGATTTGTTTTCGGTTGTCGTTTTGAAATTTTATTTATATAAATAATTTGTTATTTCAAAACCCTAACACAAAATCGTATCTATGAACATCAATTGTTCCCGGCATAATTAGGATTCGAAACATCATCATCTCCAGCTGAATTCGACAGAGGAAGGAACAAAATCCAGTTGTATTTGGTTCCCCAAATATCAAATATCGGCGATAATAAATTCCGCCATTTTTTCTAGGGTTTCGAATTTCATCGGTCGATATTTCTCGAGGTCGACACACGCTTCCCCCTTTTTCTCTTTTCCCCCCATCTCAAAAATTCCCCAGAACCCTAAGAATTTCTAAAGTCAGACAGACAGACAAGACATACAGATAGATACAGATATTCGTGCACTCGTAGGGAAAACCAGAAATGCTTTTTTTTTTCTTTTTAAATTTTTAATTTTTGGTGATAATTTTATCAATTCGTGATCGTGTTGTGTTGTTCACTCAAAAAAATTCTCAATTTTAAGCCGTCCAACGAGCAGACTTGAGCTTTACCCTTTTTTTTCAGCCCCAATTCGCCATCTCTCTCAGCAAAGATTCTCTCCACCCTATTACAACTTTTCTTTGATTTCTTTCCCCTAAGCCAAAGAATCTCTCCACTCTCAGATATTCCCTCCCTTTTCTTTCTCTGAAAACTTAGCTTTATCAATGATGCCATTGTTCTCTTCCCCTCCTCCTCCTTCTTTCTCCTCTTCTTTTCTCTCTCCTATTCCATTCTCACAATCATCTCTCCTAGTCCTTTTCACCATTTCAGACCCTCCTTTTCGACTCCTCGATAACCCGGAAAACTTCCTTCTATACATACTACTGGCCCCATGTCTTCTACAAATGTCAACCACCTTTCTCAGCCTTGTATTTATGGTATGTTTTTTTGTTCAACTCAAAACATGTATTGTTTCGCCATTTTTTTAGTCGATGCTCTGTTATCATGATTTGGCTGTTGTTTATAGCTTATTGGGTATATATGGAAGTCTTTGTGGATTTTAATTCATGCCCTTTTTTGAATTTTCTTTCTGTATGTGTAAAGATGATGTCCTTTTGCATTTTCGGTTGATGCCTCCGCCTCTAATGGGTCCGTGTTTCACTTGTATAAGAAAATTGTTTTTTTTTTTCCCAAATGTACGTTGTTGGTTCTCTTATAAATATGTGACAGTATTGAGTCTTTTCTCATGTCGATTTCCGGGATTGCTTCAAAACTTCAAGTGTATGGAGATTGATTTTTTTACTTTTCTTTTCTGTTTCTTTTGATGCTTCTAGAAATAGTGCTGAATTATATTAGTACATAGAAATATTGATTTTTTTTTTCGTATGAGATAAATGATACAAGAATATGATTGTGGGGTTTTAAGCAGGGCATGTTGTTTCTTCACACGCAGAGAGAAAATCGAGATTTATGAAATGGCTGAGTAAGATTTTCAAGGGTGGGGCCGGTAGTAGCAGGGGAGTTTCAACGGGCGAAGAGCAACCTCAGTTTATCGGAGACGAAAATATGGTTTGGCGTGCTCCGTTTAGATCTTTGGTATGGACATTTAATCTTTTTTTTTTGTTCCGTTTTCCTTAAAAAACTGATAAGAAACACTTATCAACTATTCTTGGAATAAAGTACACTTTGCATGTGCATGCACATGTATGTGTTTCATGGAAATACGTTTCATTAGCTAAATTATGATGCATGAATGTGGCCACGATACGATAAGGATAAGCGGATAAGGTGGTGCGGGATTTCTTAGACATGACATTATTCCAACTCAACTTTCGAAATTTATAACAATATATTTTTATAATATATAAGTATTCATACAATTATATAGACATATGTATACATGTAAAGCTAAACAAGTCCATGTCCATGAATATGCCTGACTGAGGGAAAATTAATTTTTCAAGTAGTTTCGGGAAGTTTCGATTTCTGGTTATTCCTTTAATCAACATATAAAGAAAATAAATATTTCATATGTTCAAAACATGTCTGAAATGCCTTTGATGATGCGTACGAGACATCAATGAATGTGGTAGAAGTATTATGTTGATTTAGTGATATGTCTATGACTTAGAGCTTGCACTAAGTGTGGAATGTTAAACTTCTGAAATTTTATGGTTTATATTCTTTAAAAAAAATTCCGTCTACTTCATACAAACTAGAAGCTTATGCCTATGCCTAATTATAAGTTAAATAACTCCGCTTTTAGCATAAAAGATGCTACTGATAGTTTCTGGAGTACTCTGATTAAAAGAAAAGAAAAAAAAGAAAAAAAAGGATCCCTAAATATCGAGACACCTATGCAGGATGACCGCCCTCGAGCCAGTAAAGAGAAAGATGAATTAGATCGTGCAATTGCTCTCTCTCTCACAGAAGACTTAAAGAGACCAAATGGTAATTTATTTTCCTCGTTTTAGTCCACGAGCTCAACTGTCTTTAATTACTATGATCGAGACTGAAAAATTTTGCTAAGAAAAAAAACAGAGACTGAAAATTTGATTTTCTGCAGGTTACAGGTGGCGAACAGAAACCGACGATGATCTAGCACGGTCACTTCGCGATAGTTTCAACTCAGCACCATACCCTTCTTATGCCCCTAGAGAGTATTATCCAAGGGGTTATAGGTAATTTCATCTTCTGATTTGTTAAATGTTTATGTAAAGCCTTAACTTTTCATGTTTTTTGCACATTACTTATTTTGCACATATGCCACTAATCGTGTATGCTTGTTATGCTTTTATTAATTTGCAGAACATGCGCGGGTTGTAAACGTGAAATCGGTTATGGGAATTATCTTGGATGCATGGGGAGTTTTTTCCATCCAGAATGCTTCCGTTGTCATGCATGTGGTTACCCTATCACTGAACACGAGGTATGTCCTTTAGTATCTTTCGATTTTCTATAAATTAAAAAAATCACTTAACTTCCGAAGAAAAAAAAAACAGATTTTTTATTTTTTATTTTTTTAATGTTATCTTATTAAAAGGTGGATGATAATTTTTCAGAATAAGTTCTTATCAATTTCATTTTTGATTCAAGTTCTCTTTGTCAGGAAGAGATACATATCACAAGTCCTGCTTCAAAGAGCTCACTCATCCGAAATGCGAAGTCTGTCATCAATTTGTAAGCAAAGATACAACAATTTACATTTGACGATAGCTAGGCAACTATATCAACATTAATTTTAATTTTTTTATTTTTATATAAATTTGCAGATCCCGACTAATGGAGTTGGCTTGATCGAGTACAGATGCCACCCATTTTGGTCACAAAAATATTGCCCTTCCCACGAGCACGACTATACGTCTCGGTGCTGTAGTTGTGAGCGTTTGGAGGTATATATATATATATTCTCCATAGATTCTTTTATACATATACAGAAATCTATAACCAAGGTTAATTCCGGAAATCTAATATGTGTTTTTTTCTCTGTTTAAAGTCGGTGAATACTACATATTATTCACTGGGGGATGGACGGAGTTTATGCTTAGAGTGTATGGAATCAGCTATTATGGATACAGGTGACTGTCAACCATTGTACCACGCCATTAGAGACTACTACGAAGGAATGAATATGAGAATCGATCAGCAAATCCCCATGCTTCTCGTTGAAAGACAAGCCCTTAACGAGGCTATTGAAGGGGAAAAACACGTAATTATTATAATTCATAATAAATAATAATCTCTCGTTAATTCTATTTTTCCGTAGAAATTCTGCTTAAGGTAATTTTTTTTTTGGCAGGGTTTTCATCACATGCCTGAAACAAGAGGTTTGTGCCTTTCTGAAGAGCAGACTGTTACAAGTGTAAGATCTTCCGTATCGTTTTTATTGGCTGACAAAAAAAAAAAGAAAAAGAATCAGAGCTTCGGTTTCCACTTTACTGAAGTGTTTCTTCTTCTATTGTGAAAAATATACAGATACTGAAGCGGCCAAGAATGGAGCGTCGTGGTTTAGTTGGCATCAGAACACAGCCACAGAAGCTAATTCGTAGGTGTGAGGTTACAGCCATTCTTGTATTATACGGCCTCCCAAGGTAAAAAAATAAATAAATCATAATAAACGATAAAAATTATATTTTTTTCAAAACGAAATGTGATGACGACTTGTGTATGTTGAATCAATTGCTGCTGCAGGTTACTGACTGGAGCGATACTTGCACACGAGTTGATGCACGGATGGTTACGTCTTAATGGTAATACGTACTTTATCTACAATTTATTTATTTAACCTTTTAAAAACTATTAAAATAATACATAGTAAAGATTATTTTATTTTTTAATTCAAAAAATAGAGGTCTAATATGTTAGTCTTTTTTTGTAAATTTAACAGATTACCGAAATCTGAGGCCGGAAGTAGAGGAAGGTATCTGCCAGGTACTATCTCACATGTGGCTCGAATCGGAAGTAATGCCCACATCAAGAAACAACATACCATCTTCATCTACAGCTTCCACATCATCATCGTCTTCCACATGGTCGTACGGGCCGTCCACGTCATCATACAGGCCGCCATCCACACCAGCATCGTCCACATCATCATCGTCCAAAAAAGGCGGGAAATCGAGCGTAGAGAATAAGCTAGGGGAATTTTTCATGCATCAAATCGCTCACGATGCTTCCCCAGCTTACGGTGGAGGATATAGATCTGCTATGGCTGCAGTCAACAAGTATGGCTTACGACGTACATTGGATCATATACGTTACACCGGAACTTTCCCAGAGTAATCTCTATAGTGACACGTGTGCCGTGGTTGGTGGGTTTTCAGCAAAGAATATATATTGATGCGAAGATCAAGAAAAGAACTTCACCCCTCTGTTTTCTGGGGACACTACTTGGTATACATACATACAAAAATTTACTTTGTTTTGAATAACAAAGCTTATTGTTTACGAACTTGGTACGAAATTGGGGTTTTTTTTTCAGTTGTAATAAGAATAGTCATGAGTATGAACTCATTTGCGTACCGGATATGTAACAACTATAATAACACGTCTTTCGATTTTAAGGAAATTTTTGTTATATAACATCTAAAATTATCATATTCTTCTGCAGCCTAACCCTAGGCAGATTAGGCACAGGCCTAAGAAACCGATTTCTTTGAGAGGGTCATAAAAAGAAAAATATATAGCGAATTCTGCAGACAAACCTGTTTAACCTAGGACACTGTTCTAAACAGCCACCGAAAGCAATCATCTTTAAACTTAATTAATATATGGGCATTGTAAAAAATGTTTTTTGATACACTTTTAACTTTACTAGAATGGTGTTCTTTTCTCTCCATCTATACAACAATCGCGCAAAATCTAACAGCACCGTATCATAAATAAGATCAAGAAACACTGAACATACCGACTTGTTTGTTTGTTTTTTTTTTGTCTTGTAGTAGTCCGTGTGGTCAACATTAAGGAATAGTGGAGAGAACTTGCTTTAGTTTTTCGTATGTCATGAAGACAATACCCACGCTCGGTACAACCTTGTAATATTCTGGCAGAATTCCTCTGTATAAACGACGCCAGCCTTCGGTTCTGATTATATGTCTGAATGTACCGAAAACACCTGTTTTATAGACACGAGCTCTACCGCCAGCTCCTTCCAACTGCATTCTCCGCCTCACAAGATCCAAAGGATATGCCACTGCACATATATATAAATATTAGATCTCAAAATAGATATCGTAGTTTTTTGAAACACTTGCAAATTCCATTAGTCATGATGGTCTTCAGTAAAGGCGAAAGAAAAAAAATTAGCACATAAACCGAAAACAACTGCTGCGGATCCTGGAACAAAATCATGAAACATTTAATAATACAGACCACTATTTCTGGTTTTTATTATCCTACTTCTCACTAAGATATTCATTTAGATCCTCCTAGTGTTCTCTGCAAATAATAATTTTTCTCTCTTCGTTTTGTTCTGGGAGTGATAAGTGAAATGGAAATTATCAAAGGCTAGTCATAAAGCATCACTACAACCTTATGTATGCGACTGAGAAGCATACCTCAAAGAGGAAACCTCTCACATTTTGGTAACTGCAAAAGTTGGCTCACCTGAAATTAGCCACCTTATTATAGTGGAGCGAACCAATATATATATCCTCGTAAAAAAGACATATATAAGCTTATTTGTTGAAAAAACAATCAAACAGAAACATATTTTTTCCAACTTCTTACAAATTATTCTCATATTGCCAGATTAACATGTCTGGACCAAGCTAATAGAAGCCTGCATCCTCAATTTTGCATCTCTGCATAAAAAAATCTGCAGGCATTCAGATCCTTAATTATATTTTATTCATATTACACAATCTAGTTAAATAATATTTGAGGCTTAAGCTACAGATACTATGTTTCACTTTCCAACCTGGAATGTTTGGGAACGGTTGAGAAGAAACGATTACGACATAAAGCAAACATAAAAGAACAGGAACCGACTCAGTATTTACTACTCTTTTTTGTCAACTACCATGCATGTAAAAAGCACATAGAAAATCACTTTCGATGAATTCATATGTGGGCAAAAGAAAAAAAGGGCCCATATTTCTTCTGCTCGATCCTGATTTAACGATATGACTCACCTGTTGAAGATGCAATTCCTGAAAGACTACCACATGCAAGGCTGACCAAAACAGTTGAGTCTTCAGGCCTGAAGTCAACAAATAAACGAATGTAAGCTACTGTCTTTTGAGAGAACCCATTTATGGAATTTCAGTTCATAATAGTATTTCAAAGTCCAATAACAAGATGCACTCTGACCTATGAAAATGCCAATAAGATCTCGTAGTGTCGTATACTGAAAAGCTAATTGCCAAATTTGGGCCAACACCCTGCATTAGTGCCCATTGAACAGTAAGAAACAAACGAAAGTTCGGAATAATCCAACATATGGAAATTAATGGAAGGGGAAATCACACCAACAAAGTTGCACCAAGTCCTTTGTAAAGACCAAAGACACCTTCTTCCTTGCTAATGGTACTTAAGGCATGCCATATCCCTCTGTAATAGGCTACATTTGTCTGCATATACATAAAAGTTTCGATCACATTATTAAGAGAATAATCCACCAAGAACCCTAAACAACTATACGGGAATTACAATAAGTAACACAAGAGCGCATATGCAATATCACAATCAGCATCAAAGTATATATGTTATTTACCTGTGCTGCAAGGCGTGTTCTTACAAGATCTAAGGGGTACGTAAGAGAAGCGGCAGTTATTCCAGCCAAACCGCCACCGACAAGGCGGATGCAAAGGTCTGCCCCGATATTTTCGCCTGGATTTTCAACTCCAAAACTATCTTGCAACATCTGCGGGAGAAATGCAATGAATTTAGTCAATGAAAACAGAAACATTTTTGAAACGTGAAAAAGTTGCACAAAGTAATAGTTCTTTTACAGAACAATTGTACCAACATTCTTGTAGCGTTCGAATGCATAAAAGCTAATGGAAGAATAAGGAAGACGATGGGCTATCGTAACCAAATTTCCCTTCCAAAATGCTCTCACTCCTTCTTCTCTAACAATTCTCGACGCTTCACGCCATATACTAGCCTTTTCTAAGCTAGAAGCATCGGCATGCATGCCCTGAATCTGAAAAAAAAACAACGCAACGTTCCAAGTGAACGACGTCAGAAAACTGAAGTATTTATGGCGACAAAGTAATACAATGTTATACGATATAACTGACAATTGAAGAACATATCTGAACCACTACTACTGCATCTATCTTCATAATTAGTCAATCCTCTTTGATATACATTAATATAGTGAGTAAGCTATTGAACACGTGGCATAACTGGTCCTTCTTTAAAAGCATCATCAAATTAAAATTGTTAACAGCATGAAGCTGATGACCTCTTAAATGAGAGAATTGGGGATTGAAGCTGTTTTTATTATGGTTTACAGCTACAATTGAAATCCGGGAATAACTTCAAATTGAAGTTTAATCACGCAATAAACCCTATCAAACACCATTAAATCAACTGAGTAATACTGATACGACACTCAATTCAAACCCCCCACCCACTCTCATACACAGAGAATTAGGGTTTTATTTTCCTCTGTTCGACATCTTAAACAAAAGTAGGAAGTTGAAAGGGGGGTGAATCGAGAAAACCTGAAATAGAATTGTGAGGCGGGCGAGGGGAGCCGTACAAGTCTTACTAACGGCTCCCGCTACTCCACCGGCGAGAAGCTGCGACACGGTGTCGATATGCCTCTGCCTCCGCGGCTCCACCGCCACCGACGGCGTCGTATTCAGCCCCCCTCCTTCCACCACCACTCCGACCCTCGCTTCCGTCTGCATTTCACCACCGCCCCCCTTTTTTTTTACCACAAAAGGTAAAGTACTCAGAGGCTGAAATTCGTCAGAAAATCTAAAAAACAGAAAAAAGAAAAAGCAAATCCGTGACTGGTTTATCTGATCGGTAGTTTGTGTAAGAAAAGAGCTCGTGGTTTTGTTGAGGTTTGCTGTTGGCGTATTCAAAACGTAGATATGTTCAATTCAGACGTGCCAAACGACGACGTTTCCCAATTACCACGTTCACCTTATTGTAATCGTCAATTTCATATTTAACCGACTTTTCAACTCTTTCCTTTTCTTTTTTAATCTTTTTTTTTTTTTTTTTTTTTTTTTATCTTAGTAATAAAAATATAATAATTTTGAAATCAACGGTGGGATGGGAATGGTTCCTTATGTTAACAAATTCTCGGTGTTAAAGTAAAGTTCATACTTGACTATTATATTCGGTCAACGAGGTTTGAATTTTGGAGAAAGGTTTTTATTCTTGTTATATCTTCTTCTGTAATTTAGGAAAGATACTTTTAAATTCGAATTCGGTATATATATATATATATATATATATATATATATATATATATATATATATATATATATATATATATATATCTTCCTTCTGTAATTTACGAAGGATTTTTTTGATATTCGAAATCGGATCCTAAATGAAGTTGGAAATTTTGAAATATTTTAAGTAACAACACCATGAATTTAGGTGGAATTTGCAATTTTTTTTGAAAGATGTGATAATGAAATTAAATAAGCAATTATTTCAAATTTCACTTATATATCACCAATTTTTATTTTTACAAAGAAGGTGTAATTTATAACTACCAATATAACAAGATAACAAGATAACAATTCAGAACTATATATTATAGGAAGAGATATAAATATACATAATTCATTAGCCAACGAACAAAATGAAAAAACATCAAAACAAACATCCAAGCCGAAAAATTAATTATATATATAAAGATTTTTAGCGGGCAAAAAGAATAGCTAATATGTTCTACAACATGAAACAAAAATTTACAACTCAACATACATATTTAAAAAAAAAAAAAAAAAAGAAAACTCAATGAATTAATTAATTTCTTTCTAATCGAAATAATTATGAATAATAAAATTAATTCGAGCAGCAGGTAGTTTTCTTGTTGAAATTGGTGGAGTGATCTCCAACCTTGATGGTGGTGCCTTGGCCGGGGACGGGGGCGATGGCCTCCTGCGCCGCGAGCGCCTTCCGGCTAATGATCTGATATATATCCAACAAAATCGTCTGAAACGCCTTCTCGACGTTGAGCGCCTCGAGGGCCGACGTCTCGAGAAACGAGAGCCCTTCCTTCTCGGCGAACAGCTGCGCGTCCCTCTCCGCCACCACCCGGAGGTGGTTGAGATCCGTCTTATTCCCGGCCAGCATTATCACGATGTTCGAGTCCGCGTGGTCCCTCAGCTCCCTCAGCCACCGCTGCACGTTCTCGAACGTCTGCCGCTTAGTGATGTCGTACACCACCAGCGCCCCCACCGCCCCCCGGTAGTAGGCGCTTGTTATCGCCCTGTACCGCTCTTGCCCCGCCGTGTCCCAGATCTGTGCCTTAACCGTCTTACCTTCCACCTATATTATAATAATAATTTTTAAATTTTTTTTTTAAATAAATAAACAATTTGAGAAATTAATGAATTAATTACCTGAAGTGTCCTCGTAGCAAATTCGACACCGATGGTGGATTTGGACTCCAAACAAAACTCGTTGCGAGTGAATCTGGACAGAATGTTCGATTTACCGACGCCGGAGTCTCCGATTAGGACAATCTTGAACAAGTAATCGTACTCGTGATCCACTTTATACGCCATTGATCGATTGATTCTTCCCTCTGCAGACTAATTGCAATTAAACCTAAATTAATAACAATAATAATAATAATAATAATCGAGCGAAATGATAATTTTTTTTCTTGCTTGACGATCAAAATGCATGCATGACTAAGAGGAAAAAGTACTTACCACTAATCAACCAATCTTTGTGTGGTTAATCATGGCCAATTTAGGAAAAAAAAGAAGAATAAAAGAAGGTTCTTGGTTTGTCAATGAGAGAGAGAGAAGAGAGAGAAACAAAATCTAATCTAACAATAAAAAAAATAAAAGAGAAGAAATAAAATGGTGGATTGTGAACAAGAAGAAGAAGAAGAACAGAATAACCGAAATAACAGGAATTTAAATGGTTATTGGTCGTGGGTTGTTTATTTGTTGACCATGGTACCTATATATGGTAACGCCCTCGTAACTCGTGTCACCCTTACGTGATTGTAAGAACAAATTAACAATCTTTGTAAGTAAAAATTTATTATTAATTAGATATTATAATTGTGCTTACTAGAGCACTAGCGCACCTAAATTGTTCAAACACGACAATGGAACATGTGCGCGTGAAAAGACATAATTTATTTGAATTAATTTAAAAAATAACAATAAATTCGGAAATCCACCATAAAATAATTTAAAAATAAACTTATTGGACCAACAATTTATTATGTGAAAAGTTTAATTCCAACTTTCACGGACTTATTTATAATTTAAGAAAAAATCAAATCCTATTAAAATTAGTAAATCTAATTAAAATAACAAATGTCTTTTCCATTTGTTTCTATTGAGGAATTCGGACGCTGCTAATTAACATTGATACCAATGGTTTACTTTCCGGCCGCTTTTGGACATTTTCATTCGTAGGCGGGTTTAACAACAATTTATCTCAGTTTTTTAAGCCTTTAAGTACTATAATCTTCTCCGATCCCTTTATAAATTCATCTTATAATTTGTTTGCATGAAAAAACACACCAACATACAATTAATAATTAGAGCTAAAAAACTCACTCATTTTTCAATAATGGAGACTAGCAAAATTTCTCCCTCGTGGCTTGTTCTTATTACCGTTTTATTTTCTTTGGTTATCGTCAGCTGCAATGGAAGTAGCACCGATCAAAAGGCAAACATATATATTATCTTTTCATAAATATAGCAAATAAATGAAGTGGTTTTGGTGGTATATATACTAAGTATATTATATATGATCATTTACAGGTATACGTGGTTTACATGGGCGATCGCCCGAAAGGCGAGTTCTCTGCAACATCACAACACATGAGTATGCTACAAGCAACCCTCGGAAGGTTTGTTATAGATACTAATCAAAATACTAATACCATATACGGATATATATGTGTGTGTGTGTGTATACGTGTGTATTTCTCATGATTCTTGTTTAATTATCATGGAATATTCGATCAGCCAAAGAGCGAAAGATTCTTGGCTTCATAGCTACAAGAGAAGCTTCAACGGTTTTGTTGCAAAGCTCACCGAGGAAGAGAAAAACAAAATTGCTAGTAAGCGATTGATACCGTTTCATTTTATTTGCGTTTTCTTTCTTTTTTTGGTTTAATTCGATGACTTATATGATCCCTAATTAATTATTCAGGTCTCGATGGAGTGGTCTCGATTTTCCGTAGCACGAAGAAACAGCTTCACACAACAAGATCGTGGGACTTCCTGGGCTTCCCTTTGAATGTCCAAAGAGCTACAACCGAAAGCGACGTTGTCATCGGAATGTTGGACACCGGCATTTGGCCCGAATCCGCTAGTTTCAACGATACAGGCTACGGCCCACCGCCAAGCAAATGGAAAGGCAGTTGCCAATCCTCGTCTAACTTCAGTTGCAACAAGTAAGCTTGGTCGAGATTCAAGTCCGTGAAACTGATGAATACTACAAAAATAAAACACTTTTTAAAAACGTTTCAATCTTGCAGTAAAATCATCGGAGCAAAATACTATCACAGTGAAGGAATTATAAGCGCACCAGATGTTGCTTCTCCAAGAGATACCGAAGGGCACGGGACCCACACAGCGTCTACAGCAGCCGGCGCCTCGGTGGCCGGTGCCAACCTGTACGGCCTTGCCGACGGAACGGCCCGTGGAGGAGTGCCTTCGGCCCGCATTGCGGTCTACAAGATCTGCTGGTCCGACGGATGCTCCGACGCGGATATTCTCGCTGCGTTCGACGACGCAATCGCCGACGGCGTGGACATAATTTCGCTCTCGGTCGGTGGCTTCGCTCCTTCTGACTACTTCGACGATCCAATCGCCATCGGTGCATTCCATTCAATGAAAAACGGAATACTCACATCGAATTCCGGTGGTAATTCGGGGCCCGATCTTGAGTCGATCGTCAACGTATCACCGTGGTCGCTATCGGTCGCAGCAAGTACCATAGACAGGAAATTCCTAGCTAATGTGCAGTTGGGAAATAGCAAAACTTATGAGGTCATCATTAGATCATTACACTATTTCTTTATAAGGATTTATATTTTTCGATTGATAAATGTCGAAGAAACTAATCGATTTTTGTGATTTTATCCAGGGAAGAGCAATAAACACATTTACATTGAAAAATGGGACTTATCCTTTAGTGTATGGAGGAAACGTGCCGAACACTACAGGAGGTTTTGATGGCTCAATATCAAGGTACATTAAACTTATATTAGAAACATATTTATATAACGGAATCATCGATAAAATAACAATAATGCAGGTATTGTTACGAGGGTTCGTTGGACGCGAAGTTAGTGAAGAATACCATTGTTTTGTGCGACGAAATCAACGATGGAGAGGCACCTGCGTTAGCCGGTGCATCGGGAACTATAATGCAGGGGGAAGTCTTCAACGATTTTGCCTTCTCTTTCCCCCTGCCAGCCTCTTACTTGGGATCAACTGACGGTGGCCAAGTTTACGACTATATCAACAAAACACGGTACTTTTTTCATCGATGGACTCGACTCGAAAAACAAATTTAGGAATTTTGATGAGTTGCTAATTAATCATATTATATTGATCATGCAGCAAACCAACAGCAACAATTTTCAAGAGTGTCGAAGCTAACGAGACATCGGCTCCGTTTGTCGTGTCGTTTTCTTCAAGAGGGCCGAATGCCATCACAAGGGAGATTCTAAAGGTTTGAAGTTTATGAATTCTATTTGTAATCATCTCCCATTTTCGGAACTACACGAATATATATTGATTCGTATTATTCTTCGTCGTCCTAGCCGGATCTTACTGCACCGGGAGTGGACATTCTTGCGGCATGGTCGGAGGGTACTACGGTAACTGGATTCCCCGAAGATCCGAGAGTTGTACCGTACAACATAATCTCGGGAACATCGATGTCTTGTCCCCATGTCTCTGGTGCAGCGGCATACGTTAAATCGTTTAACCCTAATTGGTCTCCATCCGCCATCAAATCGGCCCTTATGACAACCGGTAATTAACTAATTGTCTTCAAACATGCTTAAGAAAGAAGAAGGAATCTATATACATATAAATGTTCTAAAGTTGTTTGAGTTTTTGTTCAGCTTCTCCAATGAGTGTGAAGACCAACACGGATGCCGAGTTCGCGTACGGGTCGGGCCAGATAAACCCGTTGAAGGCGAAATCGCCCGGTTTGGTTTACGACATAGCCGAATCCGACTACGTCAAATTCTTGTGCGGCCAAGGTTACAGCAGCAAGAGCTTGCAGCTCGTCACCGGGGACAAAACCACGTGCACCGCCGCCAACAACGCCACCGTTTACGACCTCAACTACCCGTCCTTCTCCGTCTCTGCCGCCGCCTCCGGCGGCTCCGTCACCCGCGTCTTCCATCGGACCGTCACGAACGTCGGATCTCCGAATTCGACCTATAAGGCGGTGGTGGCGGCGGCGGTGGGGCTGAGCATCCAGGTCCAGCCGAGCACCCTCACGTTCAAATCGGTTCTCGAGAAGCAAAGTTTTGCCGTTACGGTTACCGCGGCGGTTAGTGGTGCCGTTTTGTCGGGTTCGTTGGTGTGGGATGATGGGACCTACCAAGTGAGGAGCCCCATTGTTGCTCATGCAGCTTGATTGATTAGGTTTCAAGAATTTGAATATTTGTTGTTATTCTTTAGTGATTATTTTACGGCAAGATTGCATTTTTAGCTTTTGTCTTCAAGAATAATATTGGCGTGCACGTGAT